GCGCGATCGTCGGTATGACTCGCGGTCACGGCTCGATCGTCAGCATGACTCCGCCATCACGGCATGATCGTCAGTATGACTCCACGGTCACGGCGCGATCGTCGGTATGACTCCGCGGTCACGGGGTTATCGTCGGTATGACTCCACGGTCACGGTGCGATCGTCGTCATGACTCGCGGTCACGGCGCGATCGTCGGTATGACTCGCGGTCACGGCTCGATCGTCAGCATGACTCCGCCATCACGGCATGATCGTCAGTATGACTCCGCGGTCACGGCGCGATCGTCGGTAGGACTCTGCGGTTACTGCGCGATCGTCGGTAGGACTCCGCGGTCACGGGGTTATCGTCGGTATGACTCCACGGTCACGGCGCGATCGTCGGTATGACTCCGCGGTCACGGGGTTATCGTCGGTATGACTCCACGGTCACGGTGCGATCGTCGTCATGACTCGCGGTCACGGCGCGATCGTCGGTATGACTCGCGGTCACGGCTCGATCGTCAGCATGACTCCGCCATCACGGCATGATCGTCAGTATGACTCCGCGGTCACGGCGCGATCGTCGGTAGGACTCTGCGGTCACGGCATGATCGTCAGTATGACTCCGCGGTCACGGCGCGATCGTCGGTAGGACTCTGCGGTTACTGCGCGATCGTCGGTAGGACTCCGCGGTCACGGGGTTATCGTCGGTATGACTCCACGGTCACGGCGCGATCGTCGGTATGACTCCGCGGTCACGGGGTTATCGTCGGTATGACTCCACGGTCACGGTGCGATCGTCGTCATGACTCGCGGTCACGGCGCGATCGTCGGTATGACTCGCGGTCACGGCTCGATCGTCAGCATGACTCCGCCATCACGGCATGATCGTCAGTATGACTCCGCGGTCACGGCGCGATCGTCGGTAGGACTCTGCGGTCACGGCGTGATCGTCGGTGTGACTCGTGGTCACAGCGTGATCGTCGGTAGGACTTCGCGGTCACGGCGCGATCGTCGTTATGACTCCGCGGTCACGGCGTGACTGTCGGTATGACTCCGCGGTCACAGCCCGATCGTCGTTATGACTCGCGGTCACGGTACGATCGTCGGTCCAATAATCGCGGCCACGGCGCGATCGTCGTTATGACTCCGTAAATGTGTCCGCAGGCCCGCGTTTCTCGGCGTTTCGTGTCCGCGACAATGTCGCAGCGTCGCTCGTTGTTCTGCTTTGGGGCTGAACAGGAATATCCCAGGGATAATCCTATATCTCATGGGATATTGGGACGTTTTGGGAACTCTGTGGGATATCCTGAGGATAGTCTGTGCTATGTGGGGCCACTGAACTGATTGAGATAGGCCTAACTGATAAGGCATAGGTCTAGACCCATCTAGGCTATCTAACTTAGTCCAATGGTATCACACTTGAGGTCTGAAGAGATTAATTATTGAAAACAAGTACTCTATTGAACTTGATCTTTGAAGAAATAAGTTATAGCTATTTTATTCAACTAGAGAGGACTTCTGGCAGCTATCCTAACCCCTAACATTATAGGCCTATCTACCTACATAAACCTACAACTATTCTGTTTAATTTTACAACTAACTTAGGCCTACATTGCCAGATACAACTCTTACCTGTTATTAGGTCTCGCACCAGTGGATTTACTTTTTCTAACACCACCGTGGATGCATCTATATGAAACTTCATAATACTTTAAATTCTCTCTGATGGGTCTTTTGACTCCCCTCTTGGCCGCTGCTTCAATTGTTCTGGAATCTTTTATAAAGAACTGAACAAAATCAGATTTTTCTTTTTGAGCAATATACTCCTCTAACTCAGTAAACGACTCGAATTTTGTGATTAAACTTTGACTTGTCTCCGGTTCATCCATGATTTAAGCGCTATCGGTAAGGACTGACAGTCAAGTCTCCGACAATGGTGTCGCCATACACAAGTCACCGACAACGCCGTTACCGTACGTCTAACAAGCGTCCGGCACGTCGCGCCAGTTACCGTACGTCCAACAAGCGTCCGGAACCTAGTGACGTCATGCTTCGCCTCCACAAACCGGTGACGCCATTACCGTACGCCTAATCGACGTACGGTTACCGGACGCGTATCCTCTGCGTATTAAGTTACTAGGCCTATTAAGTTCTTGACTGAGTAACACACCAATTTCACTAAAACAATACCATTAAGGACCAAAGGCCTAGGGCATATACCGGTATTGAGGCAGTCAATTGTTTTATGCTTTCTATTGATCGATTCAACCCCATTTAATCAGCTGTTTCTTGTTAGCAGTGTTACCACACGCCCTAAGTTAAACAAAAATCCTGCTTATGTGGTTGCTGAACCCTGTTTTATTAACCTATCCCGCTTTAAAATCCTAACTTATTTTTTCCGCATTTTAGTATCGGTACCGTATCGTACAAATTATGTCACATCTCAAATGATCTTTTGGCCGTGTCCATGTGAAAATTGCCATTTTAACCTTAACCCTAGATGGGTATCGCACGTAAATATGACGTTGTGCAAGTTATTTTTAGCATCTCAACCCCACCCCCTCAACCGACAATACCCTCCTTCCGGCAGTGCTCTCAGCAGTCATTTGCCGTGCGATGGCTGCCTTGGTTTGGTCGTAGTGTGTTTCTTTATGCACTTGCCAGTCAATTTCTTGGAACGCATATCAAACTTACGTGTCAATACCCTTTGTGGAGGCCTATAATAAAACGGCCGGCTAGTTTATGGTAAAACGGCCGGCAGTACATAAAATTTACGTATTGATACCTTAAAAGTGTCATACTATATGACGATACCTTACTATGCGATTCCTATGAAACGTCAAATTTACGTATTGATCCCCTTAGCGTCATGCTGTATGACGATACCTTTCCAGGGTTAAGTGACATAAGTTACTAGGCGTAGGAAAGGTACCTAAAATCCTATTTCATTCCACATCACGTTTTAATCCCTCAAAAATCCTGGCTTTGTAATAAAAGTCTTGTTTAGCCTATGGAAGCACTGCATGTCAGAAATTCACTCTTGTATCCTAAAGAAGGCAATGCTTATAAGCCTATTACCCATTGTCTTTTAAGTTCAGACTTTTGTAACTTAGGCCTAGACTTCAACTTTTAAAAAATTTAGATGGGAATTAGGACATAGGCCTAGCTCATTGTTGTTTTTTGATGACTACCGGTAACTTAGTTTCCAGTTGGTAAAAATTGACAGGTCGATTTCTTTTCTGCACAATTAATTAAACAACCTGTTCCTGTCTGTTGAGTATACTTACCTATTCAATCTATGGGACCGGTAGGCTAAGTTAATTACGGTATTAATTAGTTTTTATCTTTAGGCACTTAACTTTGAGTTATAAAAACTTAAGTTGACGTTCAAGTCAATGTTAAAGTTAATTCAACGTTAACGTTAAGTCAACTCAGTTGACTTAAGTTGAACTAAATATCTTATAACTTATAGTTTATTTTAGACTGGCCCACTAAGCTCTGTCTAGGTGCGGTAGCAGTGGATGTCTTAGGATTGAGTAGAACATTTATTTGTCAGTACGGTACCGTAAGCTCTGGGTATTCCTAGGTAGGATAAGACCCTGTGAATAAAGGTGTGCAATACACCATTGTGGGGAAAAGAAAGATATAACTTAGAAAGAGGGATTCATGTCACACCACGTAAGAAAGTGTTCTTCATTTTATGTCTCCATGGGGTAAGATGGGAGGTGGAAAGGGAACTCATTTCTCTGATCAGTGCTGTTAAAATATTAAACTGTGGTTTGTTTGTGCTTAACTTTGGCAAATCAACCGTGCAGAACTAAAGCTTATTCAGCAATTTCTGCACATGTGTGTGCCTAGTCCCAGACTCAGCATCGCAGTTACCTCTCAAACGAGTTACAGTTTTTTTCCGGTAATCCTGGCCGGTGGACGTAATATCTTTATAGGAGACGTTCTGAAATAAACCTACAAGAAGCCTGTATTTCCTAGTACTGTATACTTTATTGATATGGTAACCTGAAAGCTCTATCTTGTTTATAACAATGAAAGTACTTTCCTGTTAAAGGGAGCATTCATTATTATGGATGATTTGTTTGATGTGTATCGATATTTTCTTTTTCTTTCCGATATTAAGTAACGAATATTAAGTAGGTAACAAATTGAAACAGTCAGCTGACACTACGATGAATAAAAATATTGTTCAGTATCAACAAACAATTTTAAAAAATATCAAAATAAATCTGATCTAAACTAACCTAACCTAACTTACCAACTTGCTAACATTTGAAACAATTCAGCAAGTTTGGTTAGATTTAGTTATTTATGTTAGGTTGGTTTAGAACACAGTTTCATTTTTTGATCAATATCAATCATGGGACGCAACTATGTCCGTATTTCAACCCAAATATGAGTGAAGGATGAGTGTAGGATGAGTGTAGGATGAGTGGCGCGTTCTTGTAGTCTTGTGAGTGACTAAGGTCGACTTATTCACTTAGACATTAATAGCTTTTAAGTAATAGCCCATACAGCTAATGGCAACTAAGGGACCTACTACTACTACAGGGGATGAACTACTAGGGGGGGTACTACTATAGGGGATGAATTTTATAGTGGAATCCGAACCACATTTTTGCCGTGGTTATAACGTATCAGTCTAATTAGGCCTATCATTATAGTACTGCAGATAGTCTTAGTACGTTACTCACTAGTGATGACTTTAATCCACACCAGGTAGTATCGCATCCACATTGCATGCCCATAAATATCCACAATTTATGACCTCCTAGTAGCTGGATTACAGGATGACACCTTTGTCCCAGTCATATATTGGCGTGTTTTTTTATATCAGCAATTACTGTAATTCTAAAAATATGAGTGGATTTAAAAACCTCCAATCTTCTTTTTTCACTTATTATTTAACATAGGCGTATTTTGTGTGTTGTTACAAGAGTGTTGTTTATAAATTATATTCTGTTACAAACATATTCCATTGTGATAATGACAACATGTATGTTTTTCAGGCTGCCATTTGGCATTGCTTAAACAATTACAGTTATGGAGATGCAATATTTCTAGCAGAACGCCTCCGAGCAGAAGGTAAGGACATCTAATGTTTGTTTATTTAACTTTTAATTCACTTAAAAGAGGAGATAAGTAGGCGTTCTAGTAGTGACTAAATTTAATTAATTCAGAAATTTGAACATTAAACTTAGCGCTTAGTAAAGAAGTAAACATGTTTAACCGTTTTCTACAGCTAATTTTAATTGTTGACCGTTTACTTTGTGAGTTGGACTTCAAATAAAAAAATGTTTGGAAAGTGAAAAAGATATTTGCTACTTATTTAGGCCTACCGGTACCGTAATTAAATTTGAATTCTTAGCATTGCCCTACATAGTAAATGCAATAAATAAGCTACCGTACTATTTGAAAGGAATTTTATTGTAAGGTTCTATGGTGAAACTAAAAGTTCAAAAATTGGTATTTTGGAGATGGTCGTTTTAATTGAAGAGGCGAAAATACTGGCTGATGTTTTGGATGTGTTTGCAGCAATGTGTCTTCGACATGCTCAACTGACGTATAGGCCTATTAAGTACATGTATTTTTTTATTCATCAAAATGAGAAGTAGGTTTAATTATATTGTAAATGATCCAATTTAAGATATTTGAAACCGTGTTTACAGTGGAGTCAGATGAAACACTTTTCCTACTGGCTACATGCTACTACCGCAGCGGCAAACCTGCGCAAGCCTACAACATCCTCAAAGACAAAGGCCCAGTCTCGGCTCAGTGTAAATACTTGTTGGCCCGCTGCTGTCTCGACCTACAGAAGTAAGAACATGTTAGAAATTATGATAACAGTTCCGCGGAGATCCTACAATCTACAATATTATCTGATGAAATATTAGTTTGATGTATAAATAAAATCGGATATAGTTTTCAAGCTTTATAAATATTGATTTGGCTAACTTATATGTATTGAATTAGACATGAAAATGTTAAGCCATAATAGGCCGAGGGTCCTTTCAAGAAGACTCTTTCACACTCATCTGCGGCAGTAAAGTTAGTTTAGTCCAGTTTGGCAAAAGTTGAAATGTTTTGTTGTTTGAGGAAAAAAAACAAATAAATTTACAAAGATGTCAGTTTGTAGGCATATTCAAGTTCTCTTTTTTCATGAGTAAGAAAAAGATTTATTTTGTATATGTTAAGTAACTACCATGTTTGTGATCATCACTTAACTTAACGAAACTAACCTAACCCATTGAAAATATCATCCGATAGTAGTAGTTGTAGGTCCTCTGCGGAACTGTCCCCGTAACTTTTTGTGATACATTTTGGCCAACATAAACATAATAAAAAATGCAAAACTCAAATTGTCTTTAAAAATACCATTGGAATGATCATGAATTTAATAGGCTACTTAATTCATTAATTGAACATTATATTTTAATTAATCAAAACTGTAAAATCTAATCTGTTTTCGTTGCATTTATCATAAGAACAAAATATAATATATTTGTTATTTATTAGTGGAAACAAAATTTTTTTAATGAAGACTGTTAATGAACAAATTTAGATGCCTTCAGTAGGGTATTTTTTTTCACACAATCTTTCTTTTGATTTGACCTTTGTTTGACAACTTTTAGCATTTTAAGCTAATATTTTCTTCCCACTGTCAGGAACGCAGAGGCTGAGGCAGTTTTGACTGGAGGAGATGCCACGCGGACACGCAGCCTAGACGAGATCACAGCAGAGTTCGGCAACTTGTCGTGCTTCGCTCTGAGTGTGATTGGTCGCGTGTGCTGTGCCTCGGAACGCACGGTGCGCGGTGTCGAAGCCTACAAAAGAGCTTTGAAGCTCAACCCTCTACTGTGGCAGTCTTACGAACAACTTTGCCGCCACGGAGAGAAGCCTGAACCCAACAAAATCTTCTCGATGAACCATCTTGACAATCTCGGTCACATTACGGGCACACAAAACCCTTTTGTTTCAACCAGTCCTGCGGAATTCGGGCTGGAGAACAATTTAAATATACAGTAAGTCTAAAGTAAAGTTGCTATTTTACTTTTAGGAATCTCGATGATTTTGTTTATGTCTATTAACACATAAAATCTCAGTTGTAATTTAATTAGTAAGGTCTCAAATTTATATGTAACGTAAAAGGCATAACTAAAGATTATTTATACAACGCTTACTTTTATTCTCTTCTATATGAATAGTCAAATGAATCTGGAATCATTCGCCACCAACCACTTTGGTTCTAGTTCTTTTAGATTACTATACAATTTTTTTGCTTGAACTCAAGTACACATCCTGTTTTTATGATGTAATTACATTTTAAATAAGTTTTGCGTTTGTAATTGTCGGTTTGGGTGCAAAATTATCCAAAAATGTTACAGAGTCAAACAGGATACCATAGTATATACTCAAAACACTTCTACCAAGAGTCTATAGGCCCTACATTTACCACTATGATAACGTATATGCTGATTTGGTTGTTTGTCAGTGGAGACGGCTTTGCTTCAATTTAAATTTAAACCTCTGTAATTTTCAATATGTATAAAAATCCTTTTTCTGTTTTCAGAACACCGATTCAAATAGAAAATATTTTAACGAGTAACAAGATTGAATGCAGTGGTATTCGACCTTTCTCACCTGACGATAGTCCTATGTTGCCTTTGCGATCTGCCAAAACTTCGGGATTTAGAAAAGCGTTCTCAGGAAGCAGTGTCAGCCCCTTAACTCCGAGGTAAGTTTGTATTCATGATTGAATATTTGCCTGACAAATATTGTGTATTTGATATTTACCTATCAACAAATTAAGTTAGGTTTTGGTAGAAAAACATTTGCTGAAGAATATATTAAGGAAGAAGAAATGGATTCCCATCTAACTTACATTAGAAAAGAGTACTAGGGAGTTAAAAGTACAAGGAAAGTCAACAACACAATAAACTTGATATTTCGCCCATGCTAGAAAGAAGTAGAATACCAGTTAGAAAATGGCTTCCCTAATGTTATCAAAAAATAACTGAGACTTGAGATTTTTTAATAACACTAAAAGATCTCCATGATGCTTTTCAAAGTCTTGAATTTTAACCCTCCTTCAAGCATATAATTGATGTTTGTCATGTTTTTATTCATAATAAATAACCAAATTTTTTTTTTTAATCAGCATTATACAATGCTCAACAACTTAAATGACTAATTTTTAGTGATAAGAGACAAAATGCTTAATTGAAACAACTTCTTTATGGTAATTTTGTTGAGTTTTCTGCACTCCGAAAGCTACCATATTGTTCATAGGTTTAGCCATGACAAGTGTATTTTTAATGACATAAACAAAACATTTTTGAGAGCCTATCGCTGTGTAATAAAGACTGACAGTAATAATTGCTGATTTGACAATGTATTGTCCTAGTTTCGGAGTGATGCCGCTAGTAGACTGGTCTCCTCAGGACGTTTACCCATCTCCTCTTCCTGTCTTCTTTGCCACTAACTCAACGTTGACTGATGCCAACGAACAAAAAACATTGGCAAAAAGAGTAAGTACTCAAAATGCTTGGTCAAAGTACAGTTGGTCAGTGACAGTGTTATATTCTAAGGTTTGTGTACATAGTGTAAAGTTTTATGTTTCCTGTGCCAGTTTGGACTCTTTCCCATTCAGGTAAACCTGCTATCCTCTCAAAAAATCCTAAAATTTTTTGGTTAGTGATGTTTGTTTTATATTTGCTTGGGATAGTTCCAACATTTTAGGTATTAAGAAATTTTTAGTTTTGTTTTGGGGTGTGACAGACTTTTTTGGAATGGGCAACCTAGCGATATTATCATCTTCATAAATTACCTTTTTGTTACACTGCAATTGTAGGTGATGATCATAAGGTGCTTCGATTCTTGTGAAAATGGTCTTAAAAATCAAATTGTAAGTATAAGAATGGTTTCAAAGTAAGTTTATAATAGGGAAAATACATTTTAATCACTCCGTAACGAAAGTAACTATTTTCGATAACAGCTGACATCAATGAAAGTAGTTGTTTCCCAAGCTCTAATTTAGGGCGAGGGAAAATCGATCAGCTGATTTTCCCTCGCTCTAAATTTACATTCCCTCGCTCTCAATTAGTTCTCCATTTATTCTCTACGCGCGCTAGTGTTTTGTTACGGTTTAATTTAATGATTTGAATCAGCTGTATGTATTGTTAAAAGTTGTTTTATTCTTTTATTTTCATGTTTAAACAAAATTTATTGAGAAATATACGTAGGTTTCCTTTTAGAAGATTTTATTTTATTTTGATGTTCAATCAAATTAATTGAGAAATAAAATAGTTGTAATATTACTGAGGTTTGCTAATCTGTGTTTGTGTATTTTTGCGTCGTGATGAAAAGTATCGTTCATAACTCGTACCGAAAAGTTATTATCCGGCACTTGCTCCATTATTCCCGTCCTCGGCTTCGCCTCGTACGTGAAAATAGCTCTCACATACTCGGCTTCACCTCGCACGTTAAATTGGGGTTCCCTGTGTTCGGCTCCGCCTCACACAAAAACTTGAGCGCGCGACGGAAAATGCCACTTTCGGTCCTAGTAATGAAATATACTATTTTACACCAGACACTATGTACCTATTTATTTTGCAATAATCACACTTGAATATGTGATGAGGAATTCAATTTTAAATGTTGTAGGATGTGCGTTGAGATTTGGATTTGTTTCAAATTTAGAGATCCAAATTTGCCGGTATTGACCATCTGTGTGTGTGTTGTAGCAGTTGATCAGTCGCAAGGAGACGCCACTGCAACAGTCCAAGACTACAGTGTTCTCTCAGTCATGTAACACCTCCCACGTGCTGACCACACCCAGCGCCACACCTGTACCCGGCCCTCTCAACAACACGGCGCAGAACGTACGCAGGTCCTCGCGTCTCTTCACCAACAGCTACTCCGTCAAGGTAACATCCACAGAGTGTACCACAGTTAATTCTATTTACTGCCCTAGTTTTTGTTACTATGGTTGATGTGACTTACAATAACTCGTCTTATCATGACTTGGCTAAAAGTTGGTGTATTCCACAGAAATCGGTAATATATATCAGTATTCTATTTAATCAGTTCTAAGCAGGAATTTAAAGGCTAAGTATATTCAAAGAGATCTAAAACAGTATTAATAGTAGGCCTACCGATAGTTTTGTAAATTGATGTCATCTTAAATCTACAACTGAATATACAACATTTATTTATTTCTGAAAATAGTTAATAATTGTTTCCTGAACTTTTTGAACTATATCAAAGCATGAGATCCATGTTGTCATGCTCTTTTAGACTTCGTTGGCCAAGCCACTGCAGGCAGTTTGAATTTTTTTTGATAATGGTTTTTGTTTAACTGAGTGCTGTTAAAAGGCAGTTTATTGTACAAAAATCCCTTCATAAATTATTTACCAGATTTGGACCATAGCTAATCAAGGTTCTACAGCATTTATTTTTTTATATCTGATTTATAGTGAAATTGGCATTGCTAACATAATATGTTTTGCAGGAAAACAACAAAAGTCCAAATCGGAACAAGTTTGCCACACCAAAGTCACCGTCGAGGAAAACAAAGTCGTCGCGGTTAGCGAAAGCGAACCTGAACAAAACAAATTTCCAAGACCTGAACGAACGGAATCGCCTCGGCGTGGTGGGTGAGCGGCCGGAATCTATTGTGGGCGACAACTCCAACAGCCAGATGAACTGTGCGACAATGACTCAGCAATATCTAGGCATGCAGAAACAATCTATTGGTGAGTGTGGTACAAGTTACACATGTGTGTTTATCGTCATGTTGTGCTGTATATTTCACTAAAATATACCCCTTATCGGCACTTAGACAGATTGAAAATGTAAAAGAATTTCAGGAATAAAATATGAACTTATTATTGAGTTGGAATGCATTTGCATCCAAAAAACAGCAACAGCTGTTCAAGTATTGTAAAATAACTTCTTGATCAGCGTTGTACGTGTTATTAAATTTAAGGAAAAGTAAATAAGAGAGACGTCTTATAACACTTAAAACATATATTTACGCTTATACTGTTACTCACAAGACGGTAAATATACAAAAAAGATGGCAAGTGGTTGGTTTACCATTTATTTAGTTGGACCACTTACCATCTTTTTTGTATACCTACCTATTTACTGTCTTGTGAGTAACAGAATAAGCGTAAATATATGTTTTAAGTGTTATAAGACGTCTCTTTTATTTACTTTCCGTATTGTAAAAGACAAAAGAAACCATTTTGGAGGCTAAGTGTCAAAAATGTATGAAATTTACTTTTTGTAAATTATTTAGTTTAGAGAATGGTGCAGGACAACAAATATAGTTGCTCGCACATCAGCCAGCCGAGGCAAAAAGTCAGGTTTTAATCCTTAGCTTGGGCTGAAAAGGAGTCACTTTGAGCAAATACACTACTTATAATATTTATTATTTTAGATTCTAAAATATCCCTCAGTTTCTAACCATCCCTGGTATGATTGTTACAGAAGGCTTGTTGACTCTACTAAGGGAGGTAGGCACAGCGTATCTACACCTGTCTCAGTTCCAATGTCGTAAGGCTATAGAGTGTCTGTCGTCTCTGCCTTCGCAACAGTACAACACAGGCTGGGTGCTGGGGCTGCTGGGCCGAGCCTACCTGGAGCTCACTGACTACCAGAAGGCCGTGCAGTAAGTTGTCTAAGATATAAGGATTAAAATACACAAATAAATACATAACACATTGAATTTACAGAGCTACTAGCTTTTTCTTTTGTAGTAGTGTCTTTCCATGACTCTTCTTCAGACGGAAAGATACTAATACTAAAGAAGGAGCTAGTAGCTCTAAAAGTTCTATGTTTTTTGTGTTTATTCAATTATTTAACTTATTTCTAAACTTTTCCATTATCGACTTCAATTTATAGATTCGTTACAGATAGATTTATGAAATCTAATTCACTAGTCACATTCTAGTCACTAATTGTTGATGGAAAACCACTGATTTCAAGTAATATTCTTAAGATTCTCGGTGTCACTCTCGATTCACAACTTGATTTTTCTCACCATGTCAAAGCTATCTGTAAAACAGTAACAATACGTTTGAAAACTCTTCGCAGACTAAGCTCAATTTTGCCAGAACTTTCTAAGTTGGAAATTGTCCGCTCAACCATTTTTCCTGTTATATACTATGCTCTTCTTGCTTTTTCCTGTTGCCTTACTCAGGAAAATCTGATGATCCTTACCCGGCTGCAGAACAGAGTGCTTAGATTTGTCTACAATCTGAAAAAAAATTGATCACATTAGTGAGCACAGATTGAGTGCCAAGGTGTTGTCAATCATGGGGTACTCTGACATACAAACTGTAAATCTGGTCCACAAAGTTCTTCAGACGGGAAAACCTGAATACCTTAGGAAAAAGTTGGTATTTAGACATGAAATAAGTGAACACAGTACTCGACAGGACAGCCTGTTGCACTTGCCAAAGACAAAACTGGAAACGGGGAAGAAGGGGTTTAGTTTCTTTGGCCCAAAAAAGTACAATGCTTTGCCACCCACTTTAAAGAGTACAGTTGTAATAGGTTTAAGAAATTGTGCAAAGGAAATGTTTACCTAAACTGTATGGATAATTTTATTTTTGATTTTATGAATAGACTGTTGTAATGTTTTATTTACTTAATTGGACCAAAGTTGTCATGAAAAACAGAGTTTGTACTTTGATGAACGCTTGGAAATAAAGACCTTATTTATTTATAGATTCATATGGGGAGTCTGTGGGTCCTAAGTATTTTTGGCTTGGTCGGAGTCAGGCCAACAGTTTCCCCAAGGGAGTGGTCCATTCCAGAAATCATTTTTGGGTCAAACTTAGGTCGGGTTGACCCTAGTTGAGTCTTTATGTTAGCAATCACAGAAAGCAGCTCTGAAGATATGCAATCCCAAATTTACATTTTGTGAGTGATGTTCACGGTTTAATGCGATTGCGGAAGATGTGTTGCCATGGCCACAGACTTTGCTAAGACAGCAGTAGAGGTTTAAGGATCTGCCGTGACTGCGGGAGTTACCATAATATTGTCGTTACTATGGAAGATGTAGGCTACTTGATTTCACTTTGTCTGCATGAGGTGTTCACGATTTTGCCTTGACAGCAAAAAAACTAATAGTTGTGTGACTTTGTAGCTATTTCTCCCAAGTGAGAGAGAAGGAGGCTCATCGCATGGAGGGTATGGAGCTGTACAGCACGGCTCTGTGGCATCTACAGCGGGAAGCAGCACTGTCAGCGCTGGCGCAGGACCTTATATCACTAGACCGCCACAGTCCCCACGCCTGGTGCGCCGCGGGAAACTGCTTCAGTTTACACAAGGAGCACGACACCGCGATCAAGTTCATGCATCGGGCTGTACAGGTGAGTTGCCACTTTCCGTACGTAGTTCAGTTAATTGATGTTGCATGTTAGTTACAAAGAATTCTTCATCGCCTGTGCTCTATCTATTGATACCCAAGTGTTGTATGATTTGCTTTTGTTAAGCTAGTTTAATTTAATTGCGGTAGTTTAAGTGATAGCATCTAAAAAATGTTGTATATAAGCTAAAAAGGTTGTTGGTGTTCACTCACAATTTAGGAAAATTTGGATCTGTACTTAAATTAAATTTCCAGTTTTTAATTGTTGACAAAAGTATATTTGAGTAATAAATTCATTTTTTTTAACTTAAATGTTTTACGCTGGGAAAGTTTGTTTAATCAATATTCACTCTTAATGAAAATGTTCAATTGTAATGTTTCCCTTATTAATGTGTTCCAACTTATAGCCTAAACAATTTAAGATTTGATTGAATGCAAAACCATTGCACCATTTTATTACCAAATGAACTCCATTTCTGAATAACAAACTGCCATTTTATAACAGAAACAGGATTTAAACATTAGTGTTCCCTTAATTTAAGATAAATCTTTTTCAAATAACCAAACTCACCAAATACTGGTTTTCAGGTCGATCCAAACTTTGCGTACGCCTACACACTTCTAGGTCATGAATACGTGGTGACGGAGGAGCTAGAAAAAGCCATGAGCTGCTATAGAAATGCTGTACGGATAGATTCTAGACATTATATAGCTTGGTAAGTTTTTGTTGTAACTCTTGTATTGTGGTTCAGTTTAATAGTTCTATGAATAGTAGGCCTACTACAAAAAAATTCCATACATTAAAATCTTAATTATATAACAACGTTAATGTTTAGTTATGTTGTTTCCAACTCAATCAGTTTCTTAAATGGTTAACCGTAGGATGTCTCTCTGGTAAATTTTTGTGTAATGAGCTGTCACAAGTTGTCAGGTTAAAAAATAAAAAGTTTTCAAAATCAAAACTCAAGCATTACTCTGTTTCAGGTTCGGGATTGGGACAATATACTCCAAACAGGAGAGGTTCCAGTTAGCAGAGGTACACTTCAAGCGAGCCCTCGCTATCAACCCCCACAATTCTGTCGTCATGTGCCACATTGGTGTCGTAAGTAGCTGAACTATGAATCTATGAATATTTATTAGTCAATAATTTTGACATGAATTCTGGATGAGACAGTTTCCAGTTTTCTGATTCCTCTGAATTGACTTTAATTCTTTTCCTATTCCAGTTCATAAAATTTCTCAATAACATAGGTATTGAAGTTTTGAGGAATTGATAATTGGAAATGGTTCATCCATTAGTATTTTACCGTGTGCCTGTTGTTCAAAGTCCACTCTCAATTACAGGTTCTTCGATAGAGTAAAAACATATTGGCCTTGTTTTAAGAAGCTTCTCTGTGTACAATAGCTTTTACTCCTAAGGATATCATTAAAGGACAAAGGATTTTGAAATAATTTGAACACCTAGTAATATAACACTTTGTGTTGGCTCAAAGTGATGTACACATGAGACTCTTATTTCATCCTTACTGATAGTGATTGTACAGTAGGCTAACTTTAGGTTTTCCTCCAGGTCCAAAATGCCCAGCAGAAGACTGACCAGGCCTTGCAGACGCTGGATGCTGCTATTGCCGCAGATCCCAGTAACCCTCTGTGCAAATTCCACCGTGCCTCCATCTTCTTTGCTGTCGGTCGTCTCAAAGAGGCACTGCAAGAACTGGAGGAGCTCAAGGAAATCGTACCTAGTGAATCTCTAGTCTACTACCTAACTGGGAAGGTTAGTTCTGTGTAGACTGTTAGACCTAGACATTCCATTCACATGTTAAAGTAGTCGTCTGTAAGAATAAAAATGGACGTAGTTGTATTGAGCCATTAATAGAGTGGGCTAATGTAAATTACAGATTTTGTTTAAATACGTCAACTTTTTTAGCTAGTCAAACTAAAAGGACGTCTCATTGTAAGCTATGGCATCTTTTTCAAAAATGTTTACGTCAACAGCGGATCAGTCAAGGCTGCATGGTTGTTTCAAAGTTTACCTGGTGTAATTTGTTTGTTTCTCTTCTGCAGGTACACAAGAAGTTGGGTAACACACATTTAGCGTTGATGCACTTTAGCTGGGCCACCGACCTAGACCCCAAAGGAGCCAATAGTCAAATCAAGGACGCTATTGACCCTTCGATCTCACGATCCCATACAGAGGACTCGGGTGAGTTGATCAGGTGTTAGTTACATGATTTTGGTAATCCATACATTAAGCTGGGGAACTAGATTTAACTATCATCTCACTTCTCACTTTACATTGAGTGGTCATGTGTTTATTAAAAAGTAATTTTTTTGCCGAAGACCATCGCTTTTAAATTTTTGGTCGGGTCAAACACTTTGGCAGTCAAGTCACTGGGAAAATTAGGGTCGAGCCAAATTGGGTTGCTTTGGGATAATATTGAAAAAATATAATTGTAAACCACATTCAGCAATATCGTTCTTTAACCTCCTGCAATTGGCGTTGAACCGTGAAAATCTTCCACAGTCGTGGGGTAATCAAGAACACCCTCCTCAAAATGACAGGGAGTGTACTGAAGTAAGTAGATAAATCAAGAATAAATAAAAAAAATCAAGACTATAACACAAATAAAAAAAAACATTTTGTTACCTTTTCAGAATAATTTAAAGGACGTGTTTAAACAATTCTTATATCATTTTCACACTTGCATCACGAAGGGGCATAAGTACATATGATAAGCCTATGTACTTACTTCCCTTCTTCTTGTAAGCCACGAATTTCATTAACAAAAGTTTTGAATCAATATTTTTGTTTATTTTCAGATTTTGTCCAAGTGTTTCCGCCAGCTGAAAGCTCACAAGAAATGAACTCATTGCAGTTACAAGATAGCGATGATAGTCTTCTATGAGGTAAGTTTTTCAAAGATTATTTTTATCTCCTGGTAATTCATAGCAAGGAATGAGTTGGCTTTGCAATGTTTAAAGGGGCAGACTTTAGCAGAAATTGTTGAAAAATTCTTATATTAACCACGTATGGCAAACTTAACGGTAACACCATCTGTCGCTTCCGTTTGCACGCCCATTATCCTGACATCTTAAAAGTTGTTTTAGTTCCAAGATAGCTAGCTATCACCTCAACAACACATTTTTTTTCAAATGCTAGCCTTTCAAGCATAAATTTTTCTGTTGGGATGCAGGTTATAGACACTTTTCTTATAATCTAAAGGTTTTGCCCGAAGATTTGCGAAGTATTAGTTTTGCGTTATGTTTCAGTGACTTCTGGGTATTAGGTAGCCTAATCTCTCCCTCTAGTCTCGCAATTGCGTCGGGAGATTTTCACACAGCTTAAGTTTCATCGCAGCTAACCTACCAGTTTTATTATATATTGTAAATTGTATAAGTTTATATGTATATTTCTACTGTAAATGTGTAAGTGTGTTTGCTGAAGCGTACTGTACGGAGCTGAAACGGTTTGATAATTGTTGTGTTATTAATTTTGGATTTTATTAGACTTTTCTTTTGTACATTATACTTTTCCTTATTTCAGTGCCTGTAAAGAGAGGAGTGATTTATTTAGGTTAATTATACAGTGTAAGCATTTGTGGGTGTTTTAATGTGTCCTTTAATCTCAGTTTATATTTTTAAATTATTTTAGCGTGTTAACAAATTATTATTTTGTAGATTATATAGTAGCTTTAATCACGATGACTTTAGAATAATTATTTTTCATAGTGAAAATAAAAACATAATCAGTAATAACATAATATTTGTCACTAAGAATTATATATTTTTTTTTCTTGTCCTAAACATTGAGTTCACCTGTGGCTTTTTGTATACTGTACCATGTTAAGAACTATTTCAACATCTACACATGACAGAAGATCTTGGATAGTTATTTTGATTTACGATATACTTGTAATTCTCTTCAACCACAAAAATAACTTAAATTAGTACAATTACTGGATTTCTATACATCTTTATATATGACTAGCTATCCTAAACCCCAACCTACTAATTGTTGCTCAACAGTTTTGCAGAAAATATTATCAGAACACTAAAAGTATGTAAAAATTAAAGCTCACAAAATTTTTGTTTGTTAAATATTTGTTACAGTGCCTGCATTTATACATGGTTATGTTTTACAGTAAACTGGGTTCGATATACAGTTGTCAGTCAAGTCTTTGGTTAAAAATACAATACCGGTACTTTGAAGTAGACACTCCATTTTCATATTATCAACTTATTTCAATTGAGCCAATGATACAGTTTGCGGATGTAAATAGTTTCTAAGAGAAAAACAGTCAAGGTTCATGTGTTAAATCGATGGTGGAGAGTTCCGAGTAAAAGCTGTGGCTCCACCAGTAACTAGAAGAGAAAAATATCTTCACTAGCACACTCTATTTGAAGCTGTACTTGTTCAAGTTTTGGCCATTTTACAACTCAAAATGGACGTTAAAGTGAGCGACTGTCAGATTGTGATTTTGTAAATGACTCATTTCTGTCAAGTATTCAAACTGATGGGACGACCTTGTTAGCTATAATCATCTTTTATTTCCTATCGGCTATCTCAGTAATTAAAATATAAGGTGGAAAATTAAATTTTATACATTAGCGCAACCTGTGACTGGCTTACATAACTATGTTCTTTTTTTTAAAAACATTGGCAACAGCTGGTTCATATGGATGGTATGTCTACTTCAGTATCGTAAAGTCAATGCTCAGTCAACTATTTTCTCTTTAAAAAACTCACTACAGAGCTGGTTCATATTGAAATGTCTACTTCAGTAGCCAAAGCATATTATTGTTTAGTATTACCTTTTTTATGCATTTTTGAATCATTGTATTGTTACATTAAAAATGTTATGACAATAAAATACACGAGTAATCAGAATCAAAGCTGTGTCAGACAATTGGCTGCTTTTGTGGTAAGGTAGTGAACCTTAACATGTTATGATTTAACCCATTGATGCCGTTTCTTAAGTGTTGCTCGTCACCGCATTCCGTGGCGTGGTAGCCTTGCTGCTAACACACTAGCACTTAAGTTTGTTGATTCTAACCTGCGAGAGATAGTGTTGACATATGATTTTAGTGGCATTCATTCCAATTCGTTGCACAGACGAGTGTAGCGTTGAGGCCTTTCTACATGCGCGTTTAAATCCCCTGTGCAGTCCATATTGAGCTTACTAATGTGTGGGTTAGCTAGTGGGAGGACCCACCTTAAATAAACGGTGTTCGGCTTGGGTAGAAGTTGACGGCATTAGTGAAGTTAATACTTTAATACTTATCAATGAAATGGCGACCATACAAAGTAGATATTTCAAGCCAAGTATGAATGGAGATGAGTGTAGGATGAGTGGCGCGATAGTGATTGCAAAATAACTTCTTGAACAGCATCGTACGTGTTATTAAATTACCTGAAAGTACAAAAATACATCAAATAACACTTGTAATAAATTATACTTTTCCCTAGTCACCTGACTAAGTGGGCTTCCTTGCACAGTTTATAGTACAGAAAGCCTTACTTTGGTGCACAGTTTTTACTTTAGAATACACCAGTATTCCAACCAAACAACACAACAGCGTGCTTTTATTATGCACATAATCTGTGTACGCTTGGAAATAAGTTCGCAACACTTAAAGGTATACGACTACGATCAGCTGGTGCAGCGTTTCCCATTTCGTTCAGTGTTTGGATTTACCCTAACCTTATAACGTGTTGTACAGTGTTTGAAAGACTAATTATTTATATGATTTATAGTAACTGCAGGGAAAATATAATGTGTACCACGAGTGCAAACTCTTTGCTATCATAGGCTAACTCGAGAAACTTTCCACACTCGCCTACGGCTCGCGCGTAAACATTTCTCTCGTGTGCAGCAAATTGCCACTTTGCCCACTAGTTACACAAATAACTATTTACTCTCAAGACGTATTTACATACATATAAAAGATGGTAAGTGGTGATCGATTTCGATTGGACACTCCAATCATCATCAGACAGGCGAATGAATGCACACAACTGTTTTTTGTTGTTCTTTTATAACTATACAATAGGACACAGATTTTCGTTTTTTGGCTTACACTTTTGTCAAATATGGACATCGAGTTGAAATTGTGTGCGACAAAAGACAAATAACCTAAAAAAATAATTAATTTATAAAATAATCCGGTGTCAATGGGTTAGATCTTACTCCAAATTGATTGTAAGAAACCAATACTCTTTGTAATTCTAGTTTAAAAGATCTTGTTCTGTTAAGAAATTTGACATTTATCTTATGTAAGTTATGTTTCTACTACTGTGATAGTTTTGACTGCTCGAAGAAAGACTGAATTTGAGTTAAATGAGCTAATTAACGTAAAAACGAAATAATGCTTTTAAATTTTCCAAATTTGTTGAATGTAACAGTTCATGTTTTCTTTTGTTTGTCGTATCTAGTTTGAATTACAGGTTAAGTACCTTTGACTTTTAAAATAAAAACCGGCCACCGACAGATTGTGCTGATGTAATACTGTTATTAAAATTCATTTGTGGTTAGAATTTTGTTCCATTGTGTATTTTACTTGAGTAAATACCTCCTTATCAATGGTAAGACCAATTAATTGGAAATAAAAAGTGAACAAAATGGTTTTGTGAATTAATTTGCTTAAATAATGGTGCAGTATGACAAATACAATTAATCACATGGGCCAAACTGTCTTAATAACCCTTCCTTATTTCCCAAACGAGGCTTCCAAAATTGACTTGGGCCTGAGTGATAAATTCTGTGGAACCTCGATAATCCGGCTTAGTGGGATGTGCGGCAGGCTGGATTAAGAAGAAGGCCCGACCATCAAGAGAGCATTTAATGAGCAGGTGCCGGACATCTGAAATCCATGTTTTGTCTCGCCATTCGTCACCACTTGCCAGTACTGTAATAGTGCAGTTCCGTTTTGTTAGCGATTAAGTTCAGTATAGAATATTCAACTGTTCTACAAATTTACAAAACTATTCTTAGCCCAGGCATAGACTTGTAGCTCCTAAAAATTTGGGGAAAGCTGGAAATTGTTTTAATCTGCTCTGGAGATCCTAAATAAGTTAAAAATGAGTTAGCAACGATTTTGTTCATTTCTATTTATTCGCTTATAAAACAGTGCATCCTACAAAAAAAAGGTTTTAACATATTTTTCTAAAGAACATTAAATTCCGCGTTGAATGATGTTAAAATCATCAAAAACGAGTCAGTCGTTCTGCTACAACAGGTCGTCAAAGTTCAGTAGTTTTAACATTCTCCTTGTCATCCTATTCTTGATGATTACAGCGTATTCCGCCAGATAGTTTTCGGTTAAAATTACTGAACTTTGACATCCTGTTGTAGCAGAACGACTGAACCAGATTTGATGATCTTAACGTCATTTGACGCAAAATTTAATGTTCTTAAAAAAACGTACGCAAACACTTTTTTTGTGGGATGCACTGTTTTCGAGTTATGAGCAAAATCGGCCTAGTTTTTTGCCTCCCATACACTTGGCTAACTTCAGAATCCGTCGCAAACTCATTTTTAACTTATTTAGGATCTCCAGAGCAGATTAAAAAGATTTCCCCCAATTTTTTGGAGCTACAAGTCTAATCTGCCTGGGCTAAGAGTAGTTTTGTAAATTTATATTAAAGTAATGATGAATATTCTATAATGAACTGAACTTTAATAAGAAATTTGAAGCTGACTTTTTTTGGTGGGTGGGATTGAGCTAGATTACGAGAGGCCGGATTATGGAGGTTCTATTCTACAATTTATGTTGGTTACCAATCTTCTAAGTTTCAGAATGCATGCATATTTTAACGTACTTGTAATGATTTTGTCAGATTTGTTGTGTTGTGATAATTTCTATTTCAAGTTTATTTTTTTAATTCTTTACTTGGGCCATATAATGTGCATTGAATTACCTCAACTAGCTTGTTCAACACCGGTATGAATACTACTTAAAAATTTATGAATGTTATGTAGATGTTGTTTTCAATATTGTATATATTATTTTAACTGTCAGTATCTGAGAACATATATAATATGATGAAATTGTAATGTATTTTAATGGAGATTGTGTTTTTGTATGCGTATAGATTAAGCTAGCCAATTTTTGTAGCTATGTATCATACAAATTGTGTTAATTTATTCAAAGAATAATATCGAAGGGAGATACAATCTGGTGTTTTATTGATCCTTTGGCTTCAACACAGTTTTTAGAAAAAAAATAGTGACAAATCATTGAGTATGACTTTTACTTATGACCGTTTTTTAAACTAGCTTCTCCATTACATTTTTAGAATGGAAGAGATCAATTTACCACATTTTTTACTTTCTTCACAGCACAATATTAGTGTGGTAAAGTAACGGATCAGCTGGTAACGACCAATTCAAAATTGTTCATCTGTCGAAAACTCACATATTCTTTCCTCGACCCTTGGTGAACTCAAAGATTTGCTAAAAGATTGTTAGAATGTCAGATAATTCTAGTGGAATAGACATAGAAGGGCTCAAACGGTTCGTTATTATCTTTTACCGCCTTAATCAAAGAAACGTTACGAGAAAATCCACCACCAATTTATCAAATGGACAGTAAAAATAAAGTTAGACCATTCTATGAATAAATAATTTAATAGATATTTTAATTTTGTTTGTTTTGATTTAAATGTTGGGGTATCTTTACACAATTGTGTAATATACTGTTATTTCATTACTAAAAAAGTCTGGTAAAAATCTTTTTATTCTTTTACTGCTTTTGGTAATTTTTAGAAATTGCGAGAGCTCACCCAGTGGTTGAAAACTCGACCAAAAGTATGTATTGTGCAAACTTCTCTATTTTCACCCCACGCTGTAAATAAAACACATGCGATTGGAATTTCTTTCATTTGTTTTGATTATCTGTTTATATTTTGTTGTTATTTTGTCACCAACATGGCAACCCATAAGGTCCATGTTAATTTAAAAAAAATTAATTTCAATTTTGTGCTTATTTTTTAGCATATTTTAATTTATATTGGGATTCTGCACATGTACAGGAAAATATGCCTCATTTGGTACCAGCGTGTAATTTGGTACAATACTGGACAGGCTAGCTGTCAATTTTTTTATATAAAATTTCATTTCAGAGGTAAACATTAATATTACGTACAGAATTTAATTTAAGGTAAAGCAATTTTATTCCATCTTTATGAGTACATAGAAAAGAAACTAAACTATTCTATTAAAATATACACAAAATGTACAGTTAAAATATGTAATACAAAGTAACTTTAAATGCTAAATTCACTTTACACCTCAATTTGTTTGTGGTGGCGATTAAAAAAAATTTACAATCTCCTTCAGTTAGTATACATGTTAAAGTAACCACTTATATTCTAGATTCACTGCACAAGCTTACAAGTATCATACAACTATTCGTTTCAACTTGTACTAGTTTTGTATTTATCCTAGGTGTGGCTATAAAATAAGAGGCATTTTTAAAAGAAAAACTGCATGAGCATTAAGGCAAAACGCCATATTGCCAAGTTGCCTGACATCCCCCTCCACATTACAGCGTGTTTAGTAACTGGCATGATAAGACTGAACTCTTTATTTAATGTATCATAGATAAGATAAGTTTTGTGCACTGACCACAAATGGACAAAGTGGTCAGTTAATTTCCGAATTGTCTTATGATTTGATGATTGTTTGTTTTTGAGGAAATAAATTTATTATTCATTGTTTGAGGATTCCAGGCTGCTTAGTTCGACTACAGCCTTCGCTTGTATTTGGGTTGTGTACTTGCTTCTCGTCAGAAAATAGTTGGCAATATAACTGAGCAACATGTAAATTTTTTTGTGAATCACTATTAAAACACTTGAAAAAAATACCCTAACAGTTTAGGATCTTTCTTGATGTTTACTGCTTTCCAAGGTGTTAGAAGAAATTTCCATCCGTGAGTACTTTTGTTCAGGCATGATGATTTTGAGCACCAAGTCTCTGTTGTGGACTAACTGAGCTCTACAACAAATTTCCACGGCAATGTTGTTCCATATTTTTCTGATGAGAATCATATACACAAATGAAGACTTGGGCTGAACTAAGCAACCTAGTGTCGTAGCGTAACCGGTCGGAAAGAGGCAATATGAAAATTGGCCTTGAGGCTCATTCTTAGAAAACCAGTATCGTTATTTTATAGCCACACCTTGTGCATAAAGAATACCTAACCTTAAAAAACATTGGACTGGTTTTCATGCATAACATCTAATGCCATTTAGATATCAACTTTTGGAAAGTCAACAAATAAAAGTATAAGACAGTTTACAATAAAAATATGGACAACTTCCAATTCTGTGAAACATTTGAAAACGTTCGAATTGACACGACAATGGGTTTTAGGATACATAAACACATTGGTAAATGTAGAAGTGTAAAATCAACTTATAAAAATGTCAATACATTACACAGTTAGTTAACGTGGTTCTTAAATCAATCATTATTCATGATTGTGAAATAGAGTTACTATATTAAAAGTTCCAAGTTGACTCTTCTTAGTAAATGTATTACTTAGCCATGTGCCCTTTCGTGTAAAAAAAACTAACCTTTATAGCTTATACCTACCACAAATTCTACTGATTTTTCCACTTGTTAAAATTTTGAACATAACAAAAGAGTTATCTCCCAATCATTCCACTCGCACTAATTTTAAACAATCAATTCTCAATATGTTTTTAAGTTTCAAACCAACATCAAAGCACAATTATCTAGAAAAGAAGCGTCCCATGTGTCTATTCTGCTCGCTGCGATGGGGAGGCCCCGCTCTCATGTTGGGGGATGAGAACCGCTCCCTGCTGTCCTTGGTCGGCCAAGAGTGGCTGGGCGGGGGAGGGGCCCGTAGTGGAGCTCGCCCGTTGGAGAAGTGGCCGGACCTCATGTCAGGGGGCAAAGCCCTGAAACTCCCCCCACTGGGGCCCGAGCTGCCTGCAGCTTCAGCGTGCCAGTGCGGGGATAGGCTTTCTCTTCCATCTACAACACATGCAAAAATGCTTCACAACACAAACCCTCTGGAAAATAATGAATACACAGGCAAAGACGTCAAGACTTGCCAGGAGTAACCAATGCAGAAAATAGTTAAGATTATGAGCCTTGCTTCATCACCAAGACAATAAGTCCATCCCTAAATAGCAATGCAACATTACCCAATTGAGGTGGGGATTAGCCTACACGTACGTTACCAGTACAGACTAAAATATAAATCCTCCTAAACTCAATAAAATAACCCCAACCTCCTCTCACAGCTAGCTTAAAACTAAAAGCAATTGACTTAAAACTGTTCTCCTTACTTTTTTATTTGTTTTATATTATGCATCTAATAATCACTAATAAAACTAAACATTTTGTTGAGGCCACAAATTGGAATAATGGAGGTTTCAGACTTCTCTTCCGATTAATCTCTCCAAAGAAGTCTTAGATTAGTACAAAACAGCAATTTTATGATTTGTTTAAATATACCCTGGATACTTTTTTTAAATTTTGTAGCTAAGCTGGCTGAACTCTATCTCTTTAAAAACTATCTAATCATCCACTTGATTCTTTCACTCCTCATAATTGGACCGACGACCTTCCACTTGCTATCCAATTAATAAAATAACATGAATATGGAAAATTACCACTTTCTCTTCTGCCAGGATACGGTGTAGGGAAAAACCTTCCTCCACGGTCAACACCAAATGGCCGAGGTCTTCCACGAACTCTCGAGGCAATTATATCCTAAAAGAGAAAAATTGTGTCAAAAAATTTTAAAACGTTAGTTTTTAGAGATAGTCAATGATCAGTAAAAGTAATGTTCTCAAAATTAAATGTATTTTCAAAATAATACTTATACTAAAGTAAGCTGCTACGTGACATAAATTGTTAATTTTAAAAGAGGTTGAAAAAAACTTTTCTAGATCTGCATCAAGTTTAACTTTTCTTAGCCAATTTTTAAAGATTCCAAAATAGCTGAAAAAATAGTTTTTTGTTGTGCATACCTGTGCGGCCCTCATAGATATCTTGTTGTAACCTGTCGGACCAGTAGGCTGAGCGCCACAGGTCTCCAGAGCCACAAAGTCATCCACATGGAGGGAGGGGGGACGAGACGTGTTGGGCGGACGAGACCTGAACATGTCTCCTCGCTGCACGGACCCTCGGAACCCTCGGCCTCGCATGGGTGCGACTGTAGAAACGGGGTGATTAAGTTCACATACAATACACCCAACACAAGTTACAATGGTTAGTTTTTTAACCCACCATATCTAATATTATAGTACCCCCAATATTACTAATTATCTATCCTTGGAAACAATATTAATTTACACACAAAACCATTGGACGATGTGCAAGGCATAGAAATAGTAGCTGGTGAATGCTGGCGCTAAACCTATAATCCAATAACCCATTTTTACAGTGGGTTGGCAAATTCCTCAGCTGTCCAGTTCAGTCGCTTTGGAGAATTAGTGAATTGCTTGGTTAGACAGTTTACTAGCTCTGCCAACCTCAGCAGAGTTAGTGAATTTGTCTGCAAGTTCTGTCTCTGGAAGAGTTGGCAAATTCCTCGGTTATCAAGTTTCCAGTTCATCTAATTTGATGTTAGTCCATGCTCCTGGATCTGTTGTCAATGGATCTGTTTTCAACAACACTTAGGCCTAGCCTAATTTCTATAGGTCTAATAACAAATGTAAATGCTTCCAAAAGCAAGATTAAATCATTAGATGACATACCGAAGGGTCGTCGACTAGAGTTGTCTGCTGTGGTGTTTGTGTGCGTGTTGGGTGAAGTAGAGGTGTCCAAGTCCCCCACTGCCTTGTGTCTACACAAAGTCGCAACTTTCTCCGCCAACGGGAAGTCAGGAACATCCTTGGCTACCACTTCCAACAGGTCTGCTGCAACCTGGGAAGCAAACAGTAAAACATTACCGTAATGTGGATGGAATACCTATCGGTAGTCACAAAAAGAATGTTACATGTTGTGTCGCAGTGTCGTTTCCAACTTTCTCAGTCTACGAATCAGATGTATTTACTTAATTATACGGATTATCTAGTAATTATTATGAATCATGTTGAACGAGTTTCAGATCGTTGTACCACAAAACGTTCACATCATTACATTTTCGCCTCCAAGTGGACTTCTTCGACACTTGGAACTTTCTAAATGAGTATCACCAATCGTGATATAGACTGACTGTATGAAGCAATTAAAGTAAAATAGATTACTGTAGATTTTCTTGCTCAGGCCCTTTGAAATTAAGCGTGTGTCCAAACTAAAAAAAACCTCAAAACTACCACAAGTTCCATATTGGATACGCCAAAACACCTACGTTTCTTTGTGTCTAAGTATTTGTACGATGAACCATAACACCATAGTAGTAAAGTCAGAGATTTGCTTCCCGAAGCTGTCACATACAATTTATCATTAGAGAACCTACAAATGAGTTAGCTTATCCTTGCTTTTTTTATGTTTCTATCCTTCTTTGCTGGATACATCCACCAACAGCCTTTGGATGCGAATGGACAACTAAAGAGTTAAAAAGGCTAAACTTCTAAAAAAAAAAACTAATAATCAGTGCTGGAAAACTGGGGACTTTTTTAAGCAGGGGACAACACAGCTCCTTTGAGCAAGTAGGTAAATTGGGATAATAAGTGGCCATTCAAACCTACAAATCTGAACAAGAGCCAGTACACTGTACCACTAACTTACTGCTGTCATTAATGGTATACTTTTTTATTCAATCCCAAACGATTATTGATGTTATTGGAAAGTAGTTTACCTGTTGCATCTCGCTATCCTGATCGTCCGGTGGAGGTACGGAGAGCCAGTAGCCTGCGGCGAGTCTGTCGTCTTCTACTTCCCCCACCACAAACACAGGCCGAGCCGAGAACTGAGCCAACAATGTGTCTGGCGACGGCAACATCGGTTCTGGCACTTCTGTGGACCAGGAATAGGAAAACTTAGGTACAAATAAAAATTTTCTGCTTTTGCTATGTTTCACAAGACTTTTTCAGTTGTTAACAGACAAACTAAGAAACAGTTGAGTTTTTTCTTTTATATACCAGATTGCATATATTCATGTAGGAGAACATTGGAATCTTTCCTTCAAGAAATGACAAGACCATCTTCCTGCTATGCAATCAAAAAAAAAATTTTTCCTACAGTTACCTAACAATGTACATGTTCTCTCACTGATTTGAGAAAGCAAAGTGGCCAATTCGCTCACCAGTGAGACAATGTTAACATTGTCTCACTCTAATTACTTTGTCTCACTCCAGATTTGCAACGTGAAGGCACGAAATAGTGAGCGCGTAACATGCAGACAAGGTTGTATGCGCGCGAAATACGTTGGCAGCACTGGCTGTAAATCAGCTGATCAGCTGTTGTACTGTTGTATTTGTCATTTCACACTAAATGTCATATTAAAAGTTCACTTCTGTGTAAAAATATGTTACGTTTCTTTACCAATTTATTTGTTTTATGGTAACTGTAGGAAAAATATAATGTGCAACTCGAGTGCAAAGTGCAATTGCCTCACTCGAGAAACCATTCCTCACTCGCCTACGGCTCGTGAGTAAGGATTTCTCTCGAGTGAGTCAATTGCTCACTTTTCTTACTAGTTGCACAAATAACTAATGTTGCCTCAACCTGGCGGATCTCTTTGAACACAATAATCAAATATTGCCGACCTCTACAGGGAAATCATTTGCATAATTGTAAACCTATGTCCTTTACCTATAGAATGATGAAAAATAAAGTAGCAGGCCTACCCAACAAAGAATGACACAAGTTAATCTTACGACTCTTCATGAGCCATAATGATAATTTTTTACAACCAATGATTAAAATGAATTAAACTATGATGAACAAGTCGTGTGTCTTAGGCCTGACATAAGGTCAATTTCAAACCAAACATGTATCTTTTTAAATTTTTAACTCCCATTAATCTTAACACTTTTTTTACCTTTTGTCTCAAGAGGTTTTGATCCTTCTTCTTCCAACAACCGAATCAACTCCGTAACATTTTCACAGAGGGATTCCAAGGTTTCATCTTCAGATCGGCTTTCCTAAAATTATCAATGTTTAAGACTGTGCCTTAAGAGATTTTGGCAGAAAACGTAAAAAAGGAATAGGATGGATCTAGGATTAGGAACAGAAAGATGTTGGCAGTTTTCATCTGATGTTAATGATGTAATAATTTAGGGCACAAGGCCAAGATTTTAAGTATTGCAGGGACAGCAGGTTCACCTGAAGTTCATCAAGAGACATGAAAGACAAAAACCTTACGCTAAAAAAAAAATATTAAAAAAAAAGTTTTTAAGTTAGAAAGATTTGTAGGCTCAAAGGTGGCCAAGAAAGCTGAAGAGTATATTGTTTCACAGACAATTATAAAATTAATTTAAGAAGCCTAATCAGTGGTCCAGAGGAGTATTTAAATAGTTTCACAACCAAACTTGTAAAGAAATTTGACATCTTTTAATACGGGACTATTGTGTTAAAAATGTATTTTGATGCCTAATACCTGAAGTAAAGTATCAACAGTGTAGAGAGGATGCTTCTTTTCCTCAGAGTTTTTTTCCCATCCGAGAATGTTGGCAAGCTCTGGCGGAGACAAGGTGATTGCTCGGGCAGGCAGTCCTAACACCTGAAACAACAAAATGCAGTAAATAAATGGTAAATATTTTAATTTTAATTGTCCTCCACCATTTTGTGTTTTTAAAATGCCAGGCTACATTCAGCACATGTCAAGTTCAACTTTTAGCTGTTTCTAGAGTTACACTCACATAGGTAGTTCGTTGAAGTTTGTTCATGTTATATCTTATGTTAGCTGTTGGATCCGATTGACAGCATTTTCAGCTCAATAGGTTAAAACTAGGGATAAGTCAGCTTTTTAAAGTCGGATGCCAGTTTTAGTGTTTTTCGGCAAAAAACCAAAACTGAGCAACTCAGAATTGATGGAATATATCAGTTACAGTTTATCGATTGTTGCGTAATCGTTTCATGCGATGGTGATGTCTACACGAAAATTGTAAGCTTTCCCCACAAGAGTGACGATAACGTTTTACATGATCACGAGAGACGATATTGATGTCAATAAGACTGCGGGAGATATGCAGGATTAGCTGTGATCGTGAATGAAGTGTGCGATGATTTTTTCAATTTAAAACCGACAGCTAATAAAACAAAAACCAATCTGAAACCTAACTTATTGAAATTGTCAAGACATCAGTAGTGAAAACCGTCACAAACTTATGACTTTTTTTACCTCATCGGGTGCGTCAGGAGTAATACAGCCTCTTAGAAGCTCCAATAGAGTGCTGAGTGTACTGAGACAATCTGTACGTTCAGTGTTCCACACACTTACTATCTTAGCCACCAAGTTCATCAGTGCTTCTGGCTTCTTCTCCAGGCAGCTGAAACAATGTGTTAAGCTTTATGTTAAAGAATTCACCATATACAAAGCTAAACAACTCTACCCATGTAACATTCTAAATGATCAGACTTTTTTCCAGTAAAATATTATATTTGATACATATATTGACAATACAAATAAAAAAAGTATAAAATAAGAAGAACAACACAAACTGAAATACAGGTGGCACTGGAGAGAAGAAGAAACATTATTCAGTAAGTTTTATTTAGTCAGTGGCAGTGATAAGATAGTGCTGATCAGCCTGTATAGTTTTAATCAGTTTTATCAATTTTTATTCCATAGTTATTTTATTAACATGACAAGTTTTCAGGGCCGGATTTCCCAATAGGCCCGGTAGGCCCGGGCCTATGGGCGCAAGGTCCCAGAGGGCGCACGGCCGAGAGTGAATTTTTTTATACTTAGGCGGCTATATAAAAATAAAAATAAATAGTCATAGTTGATAAAAAAAACTCTAAAGCATTGTGATTCTGAAGTTCATAAAAAGAATGAAGAAATAATTATTGTTAGGAAATTTAAAATATTTTTCAGAATTACGCATCAATTTCGTTACAAAATTGGTAGCGAACATTGGTTATACGGGAGTAGGTTATAGGGATGTTGACGTTGACGTGCGCCCAAGGAGTACGCATCATATTGCCACTGCACTGCCACATTATGCTGGGTCGGGCTCGGCACTACTGATCAGAGTGATTAGGGGCGCATGCGTGCTAGACATTGTTACAGTACCACCCTCAACTCACAAAACAAAAGTTATTAACTAATCTTTTGATTAGTTTACAACAATCTGCAGGATCAAGTTAAAATATATAATAAGTTGTGTTGAATAATAAAACAACGATGAATTTACCTTTGAAATTAACAAAAAATATCCATCTCAGATTGCATTAGATTTTAGAAAAATGAAATACCCTCCAAAGCACCATTAATGCTGTAATTTTTTGTACTCAGATCTGAGGATCGGTACGGTTGGCCGGAATATTGCATTGCTCTGTTTTGCTTTGGAAATTAACCTAAGTGCAGTGCGACCATAGATTAAATATTAATCAAGTCGACTTCTTATGACATTGTTAATTCAAAATTGTTTTCATGTCTAGTTCATGTTGGTGACACTGGACATTAGTTTTAACGTAATTTTGTTGCTATTATTTTTGGGTTAGTTCTATTGATGTGTGTTTAAATTTCTTGTAATAATTACAGGAGACGACCTAGCTATTGTTGATGATTAGATCGTTTTATTTTGGATAAACTAGGTTTAAACATAGATAAAACATACTCCTTAAACAACAAGAATTGTTTTCAGCTAATCCAAAATGACGACAAATCTACTGGAGTATGTTTAATCTTGGTTTCGTTTGGAGCAAATGTTTTTGGATCTGGAATTGGAATCAATGGCCATGTTTTTTGCAGGAATGCTCGGTGGGTTGAGTTGTTTCGTTTCAGTCCCACGGCCACAAACGTGAGCATTAATTAAAAGCATAAAATTGCTAAAAGTGTTTAAGACGACATTTTGTTAAGGGTAAACAAGTCAATTCTTAAAAAAAAAAACTTGCAATGATTCCAACGAGGAGTGGTATTCAATCAATTAACTTAGGCCTATGGGCATGATATAGTTAAGGTTTAAAGGAAAGTAACTGTGGCCAGACTAGGGGGCGGAAAATTATTTGGGCCTAGGGGCGCAAAAATGCTAAATCCGGCCCTGCAAGTTTTAGTTATTGTGATTGTGACAGTGTTTTAAAGAACCTATTGACATACCACAATGTATAATATCCACATTCCACATTGATGATGTGGTTGCACACAATGACCTAACTAAGTTCTAAAGAACGAAACTAGTCGTGATAACAACAACTGTGGTTGGATATGGTAATTGTGTTAATTAATCAATAATATATTCCAAACAAGGGTCACAATAATAATAAGAATAATAATTAAACAAAGTGTTGCATTATGGTTTTCATTTTTGTGGGCTTTGTGTTGAGTTAATTAATTGTTGTATAGATAAATTTAAACACCAGTAAAATAAATAAAATAAGTCCTAAAACTCGTCAAATTGTTATTTAAGAATACTGCGGATATTGTCCCAAACATTTCATAAACCAAAACCATTGGCTTTCGATTTGGATACTATAGTAGTAGATATTCTATGTATGGAAAGTATTTGATAATTTACCATAGAATATAAATTGGAAAACAACAATGTTCAGTTTTAGTTAGGTCTTTATTATTGGACTACCTTTAGCCAATTTTTATTCATGAATATAACTGAATTAGCCACCCACAGAATTTGCTACAGTCTAAAAGGTATTTTCTTTATTACTTTCAATGTTTTCCTGTCCGACATAAACACACTATATTGGTCGCTCAATTCAAAACCCTCGTTTATTCTAAAACTCGCAACAAATCGTAATGGAAGGCGGAAGGTCTACTTCATCATCCAAAAGCTAACATCTAATACCGTTGCCGTTGCCAACAATTTCATCAAACACCTTACTTTTTCAAGTGGAAGAACCCGTAGTCGTGTTCCGTCAGCATGAGGAAGGTGCGTAGAGACGGCTGCAGTGTAGTGAGGTTGTTCCTGGCGTCTCCGACGTGTTCCAACATGACCAGCAGCAGTGTGCCGAGCAGGTCGCGCGGAGGCAGTGTGTTGGCGAGGTATGTGTCAGGGTGGGGGGTGGTCGCTCCGACTAGCACAACCCCCGGCGGCGGCACCAGGGTCAGCTCACAGTGGCACAGCGACTGCACCACGGACACAATACATTCCTACAACAAACACCGATGTTTTACATATACTTTTTGAATATAAAGGTTGAAGTTGTTTGAGATTAATTAGCTGATTTTTTTTTAATTTTTAATAATTTGCTGGACCATTCCCTATGCAATTGCTTGACAGTGAAGACATACGGACAGCACCAACGCAACACCAAACGTTTCAGACTTCTTTTAACCTTCTTCTAGAGTACCTAACGCATGAAACATCCAAGTCTTTATTTATTTGTGGGTAATTTCGGACACCAAGCAGAAGCAAAAGATAAAATCACCCGTTTTTGCCTTCTGGCTAAACTCTTAAACTATCGTTTAGTGTTTTGTTTTATGTGATGTACAACTACTTTACATCGTTATTGTTTTTTTTTTTTTTTTTACTATTGACACACCTCTTCAAGCTATTAGTTTTTATACAAGAAACTGACAATGACTGAAGAGCTGAATTGTGTATAATCCAGTCAGGAGGAAACGACCATAAGGCAACAAAAGGTAATTAAGCCTTTTTCCTGGTCTGTTAAACACAATAATAACACACTTTCATACAATTTACAACACCGACCTGAGCCTGGACATGTGTAGGACAGTCGTGAGGTGCCCTGAGTATATGACACAGACTGACGACTAGATCTGGGTAGCGCTGGTGAGCCTTGTCAGACGACGGTTGTCGGACGATCAGGTTGAGGAGCGCCGCTTTGACACTGGCGTGTGTTGTCATACAGGCGAGGAACGTCAACAGTCGCATCATGTGACTAGTCACCGGACGCTCCGGCGGTGTCACAGCCTTCACGATAGAATCCAACACCGCTCGAGTCACCTGTAGTATCACTCTGGTTTAAGGTTTTGCTTGGGGTAAACACGTTTTACAGTTTTAAAGTGAAGTGAAAAAATCTGCTGAAATAGCTAATCTAAAATAATGTTCATTTACACACTTTTACCACACTGTGAGTTGTGTAAGCTTTAGAACTAGAACACTGAATAGTTTGATCCCCGTGTGTAATCATTGGGCTGAATAAATAGTTAGAAATAAACTAATAACAGTAAACAGTAGTCACAAAGTTTAGGCCATCTCACCCAATTTTACATTCTACATTCAGACTGTATTAATTTTTTTAATTTAATTTAATTTTTTTTTATTATTTTTTTTTTGCATTCAATTTGCACACAAGTGTAAAGATGTCAACTAAATCTAAGTTTTTGTCAATTATTCAGGTGGATTGTATTAGATTTTACATTATTTTGATATGTCAGGGTGAGTATTTCAAAGTAAAGATGAGTTGTGGATGAACAGCTTTAATATCGACTAGGATCAGCTGTTTCTCCAACTCCGACTGTATAAAACAATAAAGCCCAATCAAGGACAACTGGGCCAGGTACCAAACCATCAAAAAGCATCTTACTTTTCTCACTGAACCGGAAACCTCCTCAGTAGACTTACCGTGAGGGCCGTAGGTGCCGCCAGATCAGCCAGTTGGGAGCACACACTCCTCAGCAGCTGCAGCAGGGGGCTGTAGCTGGAGCAGCACATCGTGGTGATAGTCTCGTGTATCAGACTGCCGAGGCAGTGAAGATGAGCTGACCACAGCTTGCGACAGTTCACCACTCTTTTGATCTCCTCATCAGGCAGAGGCGACCTCGTTTGAACCTGAGACAATTTCATGTTTATTTAAAGAAGAGTAGGTAAGTTAAATGAAATTACCTAATTGTTTGAGTCTGAATTAAATGTTGATTTTAAGATATTTAACGAGTTAAGTCATGATGACTTGTGTTATAAAATTCTTTTGAACTTTTTTAGTGTAGGTGAAAATTTACGTTTTTTAGGATTAGGTTTTTTTAGGGGTTATTACAGACATTTCCCATCCTGATAGTGAAAGACAGAAGAGACTCAAACTAACTAGTGGGTCTTGCTGGAGTCATTATCTTGTGCAGATGTTTCCACTGGATTTGCATAATTCTTATTATTTTTTGGGGAGAGTTTCTTAATTTATTGTTTTGACTAGAATAATGTGAAGGTTATTACCTCGTCTGCAGTTCCAAAATTGTAGTTTGTACTTTAATAGTTACATGTTTCGGCGGAACGCCATTGTCAAACTGTAGTAGTACAGGAACATCAAAATCCACTTATTGTAGCTTCGTCAGGTAGACATTTAGTTCACATACACACGATGACACGTACACGACGACACATACAAGAAGACACATACGGACGAATAAAATACATTTAAGTAGGCCTACGACAGTTTGACAATGGCGTTCTGCCGAAACATGTAACTACTAAAGTACAATCTACAATTTTGGAACTGCAGACAAGGTAATAACCTTCACCTTATTCTAGTCTAAATAGCTGTTTCGGGGCTACAACAATGGATTTTAATCTATTGTTTTGATCACTGTAGGGTTCTTTTTGTGGATTTTCTTTTGTAAGTTTCCAGCTTTTGCTAGGTTTGTGAACTATTGTTATGCATTAGATATTTTCTCATCTGAGGAAGTGATCAGATTCCACATATTGAAACGTGAAAACTTACTTTTTTACTAAATATGACGGAAAATTTGCACAATATCCCTTAATATATTAAAGTTGTATGGAACACCATAGCATCTCTGTGATTAAACACTAATACCTCATCTGAGACATATTTGGGACCTATAGACCTATTGGTATCGAGCAGGATCTATCTGTACAAAAACTCTTCCTCTACCCCTGTCCCTTATGTTAATTTGTACAGTTCCAACCGTTGATTGCCGTTGGATTGCGTCTAAAGTGACTCTAAGTGTTGATCGGAGACCTTCTTCATTACTTCTTACGCGCCATTGTAATTTGAAATGTTTACCTGTAGAGGTAGAGGCAGCAGCTCAGACAGCAGGGACAGTCCAGGCAAGAAGTTGTGTGGAGTTGCTACAGTAAACTTCAACACCTCTGTCACCATGAGTGTCCACAGACTCTTGTTGAGAGCCTCTGTCTCAGAGCTCGGGTCCGCGGCCACAGGCTGAGTGTAGGCCAGTAGAGTCTCTACCACGTCTCTACTCACCTGTAAAATGGAGAAATTATTTGGTTTTACGGTTTTATGTGTTTAAACTATTTTCTAACCTCCTTTCTCCCCTTAAGCACCACAATGTTTCTATTCTATACCCATAAGGTATCCAGGGGCTCTGTGATTCTTGTTTAGGTTTAAAGTCTTGTCAATGCAAGTGTTCATATTGAAAATCACACTAGTTTAATAATAACAGCATTCTTTACGATCATAACCAACTCAAAATTACCACCCTAAATAACAGATAGCGGAGAAATAATGAACTAAAGCCAAGTTAGGTTAAAAATAGTTGATTTTAATTTCAGAAGACTGAACTAAGTAGTTGGGATAATATAATATGAATAATAAACTGGAACCAAAGTTAGCTACAAAACCAGTGAAGATCATTTTTGATGTTAATGGTTGGTTACAAAACTCTGAATATTTCGGCGTTTGCCGTTTAGTTCATGAAATTGTTGATCAAGAGCTTTTGAGGTACCGGTAAGCATAGTATATGATATACCGGTAATAAAAATTAAAGAAACCCAATTTATTTTTAGAGGTTATAAAAAAAATGTCCGAGTGCTTGAAAAGTGCCGTAAACAAAAAAATCGACTGCATAGAAAACTAAGCTTAAGAGTTTCTCTTTAAAACCTATGTAACATAATATTTTAATATGAATACTTTTAAAGTTTTTATTCATTTATGGAAACTTTCTAATCAACTCTCAATATCATATCAATATAATTATCAACTATTATGGTTTGAAAATCATAAAATGTAGACAATGGAATGTGAACCATTAAAATTTACGATAATCACAGAGCTCTCGGTAAATCTAGAAAAAGAGTAAATAGTATTATTTGATAAGCCTTAACTGATATTTAAAATAAAGGGCAGTAAATATATAAAATAATTTTACAATCTAGAAATGCAGAGTTGAAGAGAAAATTTAAAACACTCACCTTCTGCGCTTCCAGATGTGCATGTGCAGTAACTGGAATTGCCTGCATCAAAGAGTACGTCTGAAGAAGAACAGGAATCATGGTGAGATCTTTGAACTCCGTGTTGCGACACTTGATGACGTGAGTCAGAACTTTCCGGATGAGTTTCATAGCCGGGTGTAGGAATGAAGTAAGAGCAAGACCCTGTCTTCCAACCAGCTTGGCCGAGTGAAGAGCAGGCTGCTCGTAGTTTTCACACAACTTCTGTATGACAGCTGACAAATGACTGATGCCTTCGAGAGAGAACAGCTGGATTATCACGCACTTATATTTCAGCTCGGAAAACCCAAATGAATCGGGTACATTAATGCTGCGTTCTGAATCGTTAGGTGGAATTCCCAAATACTTCAAAACCCTCACAGCCGTTATCAACTCTCCTGGAAGAGACGTCGCTTGTTCGATGTTCTTTTTGATGAGTTCTACCAATCCGGAGATATCATCGTAGGCGAAAGCGGAGGGATTTTCAACCGGTTTCAGCCAAGAAGATAATTCATTGTATTCTTGAGATGAATCGTTCACCACTTTATCCAATAACTCTTTTACGTATTTTTGCAGGAACGGAACGTAATCAGAATATTTTATAGTCATGGAGATTAAATCTCCGATGTAAGATTTGCCGGGGAATTTTTTCACTTTAGAATCCTTCTCGACAGTTTTACCCTTAAAATATTTTAGAAGCACTGCAGCGTTATCTCCTTTACTCAACACGTGCACAACAGCCATTTTCCCGATCGCTGAGAACGTCAGACAGTACAAGCTTTGAAGATGCTCAATAACTTCAGAATCCTCTGCGTCTGTTTTTCCTCTGGCATACAGATCCATCAGATGATCAATGTGGGACATTGCCTGAAGCCTGGAAAATTTCAAATATATCAGTAAAATATATGTGTGTGTATAAACCATGATCTCAACAGTGTTAAGTAATATAAACCAAACTAAACCATAGTTGCCTTTAATATTTTTTAAAAATTATTTCTTATCCTAAGAGATGGTAGTAACTTCAATTAAATCTAACCCAGGCTCCTATTTGACAACAAATTATTAATTAGGGTTTATGAAAACTTACTGTTTAAATGTACTTAACTTTTTTTTAACTTAGTTGGTCTCACAGTAAAGGACGTTTGAAATTGAAGGATGATTAACTGACTCAAGTGAATATTTTTTACAACAAATTTTTTTTTAGAGTAACTTAAGAAGGAATAAACATATTTTACTAAATAAATATTGTTTTTGGAACACGTTTATTTACTTTTTGTATAAAAGTTATAATTAATTTTGTTGACAAGTTTTTTTTGTGAGTTTGACTGACAAAACCCCTGAAGGTTTTATCTTATCAGCTTACACAGTTCTACTTTTATTGTAAATTATTTGTATTGCGTAAACATCAATTTTAGCCCCATAGTTATTTATATATTGGAAAAATAATAATGTACTCAGAAAACGTTAGTAGGCCTAATAGAGAATAAAAGTAAGAGTTGAAAAATGCAATACTAAGATGCAGTCATGTTATTAGGTCGTGTTATTAGAATGTATCGACAGGGAATTCCTAGGAAAATGGATTTAATTGGTGATAGAGGAATGGAATCTGACAAGGAATGGATGATGGATGGATGAGGCAAAGAGGAATGTTGATAAGAGAGAAATGAGATGGCAGATAGTGAAGGAAGAGAAACTAAAGAGGGGATGGAAGATAAGACCTGTGAGTCCTGGGGAAGGGAAACGGAAGAGGATATGTATATAAATCAATATATACTAAGAAACTAAAACAATATAAGTAATCCTTCATTACATCTATGCCTCACCTGTAGATAAGATGCAATCCCAACTGTGAGGAACTACTCTCTTGGGTGTCTTCGTTTTCCTCCCCTGAAGAAGGACCTCCCAGCAACACCCTGATTAGGGGGTTAATGGTCTCCGACACTGCATACAAAAACCGCAGACCATCCTGTGATTCCTGCAGAATCGTGATCATTTCCTGGATAGGAATCACAATTGAGGAATAGCAAGATGTACCGGGATGAGTCAACAAGATCAAAAACGACTCCAAAAGTCTGTGAGTTCGAAAGTAAGTGAAGAGAGCCGGGTAGGGGTCTGGATTTGACCCAGAGTTTATTTCAAACTGAGCGGAAACCGAAAGAAACCGTTTTGGGTGCGAAACCATTGTAGGAGCGTTTTTGTAAACATTAATTATCTGTTCTATTGAGTTTGCGATACTTTCTAGATCCAACTCGGCTGTTTCACTCTCGTTTTCTTTTCCCTCTTCGACAACCAGTTCCGCCACGGATTTGTTGAGCTTGTCTAAAGCTTCGTACAAGTGCAGCTTTTGCAGGATGGAAGTGATCGCGTATTGCACTCGAGCTAGCTGCTTGGCTCGTACCATCTCCAAGAGTTTCTTGTAACCGTTCCAATCTTTCCCTTCCAAAAAGTGTTCAACGGCCTTCTTGTAGCGTAGACTCGCATCTAGAGAGCGCAAGATCATCAGTTTGATCGAGAGTGCCATGTAGTCTTGATGGAACAGCTCTATCAGTTTTTTGTGAACGTTGACCTTTGCCATGAGTCGTTCGGTGACCTCTTCCCCGCACTGGCAGAGTGCTTCGACCAATCGGATGCCAGCTTTGATGTGTCGCAGCTTGTAGCCAGGCTGTGGTTGGCTGAGAGCGTCCTCAAAGTCTAGTCCAATGTCCACCCAGGATATTACAGTGTCAATGACTTCTGTCAAACAAACGAAGCGTAGGTTAGAAGTTAGAACAAAACTGTTTTTAGATATCCCATTAAATATTTCTAAATTCATAATTTTGTAGTCAATTATTCTTTACTAAAAATATAAAGATAATTCCAGTTGCAATGTACTGGCAACTCACTGAATTCCAAAGGTTAATCAGTGATTTAATTATGTTCTATTATATTTTTATTTTACACTCAGAAATCAGAAATCTTTATTCACCACTGATCATATTACATGAAATAGGCTTTGTCATACAATATAAATCCGTCATAACACTCAAGAAAAGAATAACACTTCTGCACATATAACACTAATCTTATGAACGTTACGTTCAAATTTGTTTAATGAATTTTTTGGTGGACACACACAATAAGAACATAAAAAAAGTTATAAAAAAAAGAAACATGCCTGATTTTAGGTGTAACTCAGAAAGAATCCACCTTCAAGTCAACTTCCACCCAAGAAACCCAAAATTTATTTTAGCTAGGGCCTTTTTTGACAAGCTTCATCTCAAACTGGGACCCAAACCATAAATCTATGGAGCACCAAAATAGATAAGAGAACAATATTATGGTGAACTACCCCTCCTCGTCTCACATTCTGGCCATATTATTTGATGGAAGTCTTGGCCAGCGATCCAACATCTCAGACTACTGAGCCTTTGATTAAACGTACATGTACAGCTTTCAGTTAATTTTGTACATTTACTAGCATAGATACATTTATTAGCATAGGTAGTTGTTAGTGTAAGTTTGGTTGTGTTACTCTTGAGTCCAATATATTTGCATTTGGAGCTCACACGACTAATGTTGTATTCCAAACTATGCTTTTACCTTTCCTTTGCAAACTTATACCGAACTTTACACATATCCATCTAGACTTCCTTTGACAGGTAATGTGGTATGAATATTGGCCGAAACAACTTCCGTTTCCAAACAATTTGAAAAAAAAGTCAACCTGAAATGGTGAGATAAAAACAGTACGACATTAACTAACCATCAAACTTGTCAACATGAGGCAACGCTGCGGGCAGTAGAGTGATGAGCTGTTCTGCAGCATGCACCCACTCTTCTCTCTGTGCTGCGGTAGAGCGCTCCTTAGCCACACTGGCCAGCAACTCCCCCACCTTGGCTGCGGAGGGGGGAGAGGGGTGATGACTGCGCTGCCACTCCAATGAAGTCTTGGCTGGGTCACTCAGGTGCTAGCAAACACACAGTACTTTGTTATGCACACTATATACAGGAAAAACACCTTTCAACCACACCCCATCAAACTGAAACGCATGTTATAACAATTTTACTGTAGCAAAACTTCAGTTATTTAAATCAAATATTTGGGGGAGCTAATAAATATTTTAAATAAATTTTCGCTTTTCTAAACTAAAGGTTTTTTTTTAATTTATTACTGAATTTTTCATAAAAGAGAGTATGTCAGTCTGTTTCATCTTGCTTTACCTTATCCACAAAGGCTAAAGGAATTCAAATACCACTGAGTCAAATAAAAATGATGGATTCATCGTGACTTTGCCTAGTCGCGTATTGTGTTCTAGGGGATCAGAGAATTTACTTCAGTAATGTAGAGTCCTTTCTTTGAGTAGGCATCTGGACTCGCAGAAAGTTATCATTGTCATCCTCATCCAGAGCAATCACACACCGCCTTAACCTTCCCTAATCACAAAGGGTTTCCTTAATTCCTAGTATTACTTCAACTACAGTTTATGTAAAATGTATACCAAAGACAATCAATTACTTACAAATTATAAGTAGCCAATAATTACAAAGAGTTAATTACTCACCACAAAAGGCTGCAGTTCAAAATTGTAAGGATTGAAAGTCTTCATGGCATCTTCAGCATAATCTGGGAAGTCGTAGTCAGCCATGTCCTGAAACTGTGGCATGTATTCATAAACAACATAAATATTTGTAGCGCCAAACACCTATTCCAGTTAACTGGTCCGATGATAGCTCTATGTAACGAGCCCGGAATGTCAGCACATATACCTAAAGGTGTTTGTCTTTGACCCGGTTTGACCCTGAAGACCAAGTTTGTAGTGATGTGCATACTCAAATTGGTCAGTTTTACTTTTTCATTTTGGAATCCCAAAAACCGTTTTTGTGACTAGTACAATAATCTACTAAAATAATTTCTTCTCAATACAATATTTACTCTATTTCTAATAATTTCTAAAACCTATATTTGATTTTCAAGCCTTTTTACGCTAAAATTGAGGCAATATTGCCACAATCTTCTGTAATTTTGTTTTGATAGGAGGAAAAAGCTTACTAGCACAGCGAAGTAACGGCTGCTCTTACGTCTGCTGAACTTAGGTTTGCTCAGTGGGAAAGTAATTTAAATACTCACAAACAATGAAATTTTCCATGGTACCCAACCACTTACTTAATCACAGGGAAAGGAAGATTACAATGAGCCAAGAGCTCAATCTAGGTCAAGTCAAGATTGTTCTGGACTAGATCTGTCGATCAAGAACATCTAAATATGAGATTAAGTGCATTTAAAATGTAAGATTTAGTTTGCACTCATCACTAATATTTAGAACTATGGCTACATAGATTGCTATTGTGGAAGAACAAAAATCAACCTACCTGAGCATCTGTGTCATCAGGCATCTCCTCGTCGCTGAGAATGGGTTCGAAGGGCTCTACGTCCATTGTAGGTTCCTCGGGTGCCGGTGGTGGAGGTGGGGAGGGTGTGGAAGGTGTTGCTTGACGTACAACGGCTCCCTCTACCCCCTCCACTTCCCCCTCTGCCTCGGGGATCTCTCCTTCAGATATTGACTCCACATCTCCCGGTGACAACGAGTCAAATGGTGCTTGCGGAGACGTTGTATCTGCTGTAAATAAATAGATCGGTTATTGCTCTATTACGACTGTGTAATATTAACCCTTATTATCTTAACATGTTTTGCCTTTGTTGTACAGTAGAACTTGAATCAGGACTGAATCCCATTCAATTACTTACTCTTTACACCCAGAGCCATTCATATTGAATGTGATATTTGGCTGCAACATTTGATTAGCCTAATAAAAAAAAACAGATAATGGTATTCTTCATGAAAAATTATCTAGTGATACTAGGTAGATAACTCATCGCACAATCGATATGACACTACAATAGACTCACCGAATGATGAACACAATTAATTGGTACATTAAAGTATGTAACGGATAGCTCCAAACTGCAAAACTTGAAACAAACATTGATTTTTAGAGAATTCACTTTAAGGTGATACATATCTGGATGTTTAAATCTGGATGGTTCTCCTATAATTTATTTGCACATCTCAATAGGGTGGGAGTGAGCTATATAAAAGCTCTCTCCCTGCGTGCCCTATCAACACTTTTCTCCATACACGTCTGTCAAATGGTAATAGACAGTAATAAACAGAGATTGATACCCTATAGAAACCTAATTACAAAACACAACGCATACTTGGCGGTAGAGTAAATTTTCCCTCACTGTTTTTGGCTACTACAACTACAAAGAATAATCATTGCATAGGGATGGGAACCAGCTAAAATACTAGTGGACTAACACTAGAACACAACTTTGGTCTCAGATCGCTTGGCTAAAACTAGAGCTAAATAAAGATCTTATTACAGACGACCCTTATAAAAAGGGATTAACCAGTACAAGTTTTTTTGAGACAACTAACCTCTTTTCTCCTGAGGTGATGTGGCAGGGGTAGGCTCCGCAGTAGGTGGCGGGGGAGGTGTCCTAGCCCCCGCTCTGTGAGGAGGAGGGGAGCGGGGCCGGCCAGTCCAGCCCCGGTGGTGCGGGGGACCACGGGGGTAGTGAAAATCCCCTCTTGGACCTCTAGCCCGGTCAAACTCTGGGCTATTGTGGTCACTGTTAAAGTATAGAGAAACGGAATTACATGTAGTTTAAAACAAATTACAGTGTTTTCCAGGATGAACTTAACAGATAATTACAATTACGAAACAGCCATAATGTTGCTTGTGAATTTCTCTCTAAGGATGTATTTAGTGAATTTCCTTTTAAGCAAGTATTTGAAAATCACTCATTATGTCTAATGTTGCATTCTTCACAGAGAGACCTAGATCTAGGACTGCTACAGTTAATTGTTTTAGGTTCACCTGGAATCCAAACAGACTGTTAAATTATAGAAAGGAAAGTGGAGAGCAGTTTAAAGTCAGAAATCTGTGACTTTTTAATCAAGTGTGAGCTTCTCAAGGAGAGTTACATAACAAAAAACATCATAAGAATACTTAGTCCAATCATATAAGGAATATCCCGGGAAAAAATTCCCGAAGATTTTTTCTCAGTGGGTTCTTATGTATTTTTTGACGCTGAATCAATTATAATTATAATTTTTTACGTGCATGGCATCAATTTGTGACCTAAATCATTAAAATCGGTCAGGTAGAAGAGCCAAACGAACTCGGAAAAGAGAAACCAAATTTAACTCCCATAAGAAGTACATGGGGAGTGATTTAGTTTACGTATACGCCGAGTGTGATTATAGATAAATATATACCGATGCTTGATGGCAAATCTGTGCGCGTACCTTCAATTTGAGACCCCAATCATGAAAATCGGTCGGGCAGGAGAGCCAAACGAACTTGGCAAAGAGAAACCAAATTTATCTCCCATAAAAAATACATGGAGAGCAAATTTTGTTTACGTATAACCTGAGTGGGATTATAGATAAATATATGCCGATGCTTGATGGCAAAGCTGTGCGTACATACCTTCAATTTGAGACCTCAATCATGTTAATCGGTCGGGTAGAAGAGCCAAACGTAGTCGGAAAAGAAAAACCATTTTTTTATATATAAGATAGGTACCTTTGAAAATTATTATTATAAATCAATGTGTCTATAAATGTAGTTTAATATGCTGGGACTGCAGTATACATACCATTTTCTCCATATATGTGCATTATATAGATAGTATCTTTATAAAATGTACACACTATATACAGAAAATAGACAGAGATTTTGACTGAAATGCTATAGACGAGCTTCTTTCTATTTATTAAATTAACATGTACAACTATAACTTTTATTTTCCTATATTCTTCTCACTTGTCGTCTTTATTTTCTTGACTGGCTAGGGGTCCTTGGATGTGGGCTGAGCTTTGAGATGGATGTTCTGTAGAAGGACCTGGGATGTTGTCCTCATCCAAGGGAACGTCTTCCACTTCATCATCTACGATGGTTTCGGAGTTGGAGCAGTTCCCCTCACATTTGCCACATATTTTTGAGCATAAGAGCCCTACTCGTCGGCAGCCGCAGTTACCTTCTTGCATGAGTATGCTACCAGTTTCAAGAGAGCATCTGGGGCTGGGCTCCGTGTAGCAATATGAACAAATGAGTTTGCAGTATTTCTCCAGCCTCAATCCTCGGGTGACTACTTCTTTCTTGAACTTGGTAAAACACCCTCTGGGGTTGTTTTTCAGCAGCAGCTTCAGTTGGTAGAAGAGATAATGTATTACCATTTATCTTACAAGCTGATGTAATACAACTCTTGAATCGCAGCTTATTCAGCTTGTTAGTGATATGGTTTCCACCATACAAGGCCACCAAGGGTCTCTCCCCTGCCTCGGTAATTTCGTTTGTTGTTGAATTGGGATTGGATAACCGGCAAAGATAGGTATAGAGGTCGATATGTCTTATAACTGTCTTATGACTCGACGTCCACTCTATTCCAACAAGGTAAAGTAAAGGCACTAAAGACAGTCAAGAAAATAAAGGTGGCAAGTGAGGTGTAGATAGGAAAATAAAAGCTATTATATAGTTGTACATGTTAATTTAATAAATAGAAGCTCGTCTACAGCATTTCAATCAACATCCCTGTCTATTTTAAAACGTTTTTATTAGGTCGCTTTCTTGTCCGCTACAAATTTTGCAACCGATTTTATACTAACTTCCCGATGAGCTAGGGACTTGAAACTTGAAACATATCTCACAAATGGAAGACAATGCAATATTATACAATTTAATTTTCATATTTTCCTTGGGCTACGCCCCATGGGCTTGTTTTTATTAAATCGATTTCTTGCAAATTTTGATACTTCCCGATGAGCTAGAGACTTGAAATTTGAAACATAGCTCACAAATGGATGACATTGCAATATTATATCATTTAATTTTCATATTTCCTTTCGGGCTACGCCCCATTGGCTTGTTTTTATTAGCTCGCTTTCCTACAAATTTTGATATCAATTTTAAACGATGTTCCCGATAAGCTAGAGACTTTAAATTTGAAACATAGCTCGCAAATGCATGACAATGCAATATTATATCATTTAATTTTCATATTTCCCTTGGGCTACGCCCCATGGGCTTCCAAATTTTTCATGTTTACATTTTGAAAGGATGTAAATATATCAATTAATTTAAGTCAGCTGTAAACATTAAATTTGACAGTTCGAAGAGCAGAGGTTAAGAGGTACAGGTTATGCTCCAAAGCTATTCTTTATACAAACAAACATTTCAAATAAAGATAAACAATCTGATTGCAGACATGAAGGTGTTTGTTAATAATGTCAATTGTTATATATTTAGTATTCTATACAGTCAATAAATTAAATGGATTGATATATTTATAGTTAGTAGGCAGGCCATACATTCAATCTAATACATAATTATATGAAAAGAAACTTAAATAAACCTTAGATTTCCCACATGCCTCTGTGTTAATCTAATATAGATGCTTGAAATATAAACATTCACACACACTAAAAACTAAAAAGTAGAAAATAATTTATAAATAAAAAACTTTTTTAAAACAAAACGTTTTTAAACGCACTAAAAAGTAGAAAATAATTTATAAATATGTGGAGAGTATAAATACTTGTAAGATTTAAAACTAAAAACGTGGTGTGCATGCAATTGATAATAATACATTAGTTCAATAGGTGAAGGTAATTGTAAATTATCTATTGCATGCGCCCCACGTTTTTCGTTTTAAATCTTACAAGTATTTATACTCTCCACATATTTATAAATTATTTTCTACTTTTTAGTGCGTTTAAAAACGTTTTGTTTTAAAAAAGTTTTTTATTTATAAATTTTCTGTATATAGTGTGTCCATTTATAATGATACTACTGTATCTATATAATGTACATATAAGGAGAAAATGTTATCTATATTGCAGCCCCAGCATATTATACTATATTTTTAATCGACCCTATGATTTATAATAATAATTTTCAAATGTATTAATATTGAAAATTGTTTTCTTATTAGCGAATTTCCCTATAGAGAAGTAGCTATTACCGTAGGTCTCATGGTAAGACTTAGGCCCGGGACCGATTTACTTTTTCATTTTGATGTCCCCAGAGGCCAAAAACACCATTCGTTCAAATTTTTATATATGTATATATATATATATAGATTTATATATTTTGTTATTGTATACATCAATGAGGGCTACTTTAAATGTTACTAAGCAAATCAAAATACCACAGTACCCTAAAAACATTTTATTTTATATTACTTACATGTTTCGGACATTAATGCCATGATCACATGTAATCATGGCATTAATGTCCGAAACATGTAAGTAATATAAAATAAAATGTTTTTAGGGTACTGTGGTATTTTGATTTGCTTAGTAAGATTTATATATATATATGTGTCCGTGAACACGATAACTTGAGTAATTTTTATCCGATTTTGATGAAATTTTGTTTGAAGGTGTAAGGCGGGATAAACTTGAATGAGTTCGCGATCCAGCATGATCGGACCATGGGAACAGGGTTTTATGGGGGGTTTTATGGGGTAAAAATTGGTTTTTCTCACTTTTGACCCTCAAAACACAAAATTTCCAAATTTTTCTCTAAACCTTCTTAAAGAGCTTAAAAAACACACAATTCAGTATATCAAAGTGTTTTTGTACGGTTATTGGTTACGGAGAAAACTAAAAAAATTGTAAATTTAAAACCCCCATGTTATTCTTATGGAGAATATTGTAAAATGTTGTAGTTTGCTTGTTTATGGATATCTTTTGATCAAACTTGGCAAATATTTTATACTAAGCAATAATTATTTTACTTAAAACACACACTTTATTAGTTTCCTTGTAGCAGCAAACCTAGGTACTCGTTAAACCTAATTTTATTTAAATAGATCAATTGAAAAGCAATTCAGCCAAATGGAAATTCGCTTAGACAGCAGGTTAGCTGCGGCGGGGGTATTTTTTTATGCTATGGTTACCGACTATAAACTTCACTTACATTTTTTTACCACTAAATGTGACCTAATGATACCATATAATCATAAAATAATCAATATTCATCAAATAGAGTTCGTTGGGTGTCTAATCCAAGGATTTATAATGGTGTTTTCTACGTTTTCCAATAGGTAAAAGAAAATGATGAATTTTGAGCGCGCTCTAGCGTCAGTTTGGAGCATCGTAGAAATAAAGTTACTGTACGTATATTGTAGGGAATTTAGTGTACTTTAATTTAGTAAATGACAGTTATTGCAAAAAAATACTCCGTTTGTGAGTTATACGCAAAAAAGTAAAACAAGTACAGTATTTTATTAGTTTTTTTGCGATTCCTGAAGTTAGCTCACCTCTGGCGAGGTGGCAAAGTTTAAAATCGGATTCAGCGTCAAAAAGTACATAAGAAACCACTGAGAAAAAAACTTCGGGAATTTTTTCCTGAAAACATAATATTTTTTCCTCATATGCTTGGACTAACTGTAGAATAAAAATTAATTTGGAGAACTAAATTGGAATTTCATTGCCAAGGGTTTCAGATCTAAATTCAAAATTACAACAGTAGTTGTTATAAGGAGTGCCATTTCATTTTTTCAGCATATTAAGAGACTTCACTGTACGATTGATTAATAAGAATAAGCCATCTCATCTGAGTTTTACATGTTTTTTAACAACACAAAACCACAATACATACAAGTGCTTATAGAAGTTTTTATTTCTACTTTGTTCAGTATATGTCATCACTCACCGGAACTCCCTTTCTCCACGGTGCCTCATGTCTCTCTCCCAGCCACTTTTGTCCTCGGGCGTCCGTTGGTCCCATTCGCCCTCGTACATCGGCTCCTTCGCCCCCTCGTAACCCTCTGCAGGCTGGCAACACAACAGAGCATTGAGATTTATATTCAGATCCTATTTCATTGGAGCAGCCTCAACCGGGTCTAGGTATTACCATGAGACCTACGGTAATAGCTTATTCCCTATATGGGAAATACGCTAAATAATAGAATATTCCACTATTACTGACAGCGTTTTTCAACCAAGGAGGTGGAAAGCGAGATGTATCAACGTTTGGTAATGGCCAGGAAGTTATTCAACCTAATATTTCCTCGGTTGAAAACCCTGCCAATGATATAATCTAATGTTGTGTATTGTCCTAAGTGTTTTGTGTTTCATGAAATGCTTTCTCATTCAGAAAAGCCTATCATAACAAAAGTCTTCAACTTTTACCGTAGGTGGCACGGTAAGACCTAGACCCGGGACCGATTTACTTTTTCATTTTGATGTCCCCAGAGGCCAAAAACACCATTCATTCAAATTTTTATATATGTACTAGCTGACCCGGCGAACTTCGTATCGCCTAAGTTATAGGTTTCCCCTAAGACAGACCGATGGAAAGAAAGTACCGTTACGTTTAATTTTCAAGATGATCTCGTTCGCATCGCTCAATCACGTCCTGGTTGAAGTTCGTTCGCTACGCTCACTCACCTTTAGGTTGGAGCTCGTTCGCTGCGCTCACTTGCCTTCAGGTTAGCTCGTTCGCTACGCTCACTCGCCTCCAGGTTGAAGTTCGTTCGCTACGCTCACTCACCTTTTGGTTGCAAATTAGCTGTTGTCATAAATGTAAAAGAAATAATAGTGCTGCACCCTGTTGGTAATCCTTGTAACTTTAATGCTATTGAACATCATAGAACAGAACCAACTTGTTTAATTGAAACAGCTGTTAAGATTCATTAATTCCATTTCTCATAAGGTTAACATGGGAAACTCCAGAGCCACTGGGGCGGAGCCCTTTTAAGAATTTCGAAACGGGAAATAGTTTACGTCCGATTCGCATACCTACAGAATTTACACACCAAATTTCATAACGATCGGTGAAGTCGTTCCGGAGGAGTTTGCAGACAAACACTGTGACACGAGAATTTTATATATTAGATATACATATAGTAGACTTTCCGATTTTGATGAAATTTGGTTTAAAGGTGTAAAGCGGGATAAACTTGAATGAGTTCGCGATCCAGCACGATCGGACCATGGGAACGGGGCTTTACGGGGGGTTTTATGGGGTAAAAATTGGTTTTTTCTCACTTTTGACCCTCAAAACACAAAATTTCCCGATTTCTCTTTAGACCTTTTTAAAGAGCTTAAAAAAAAATAATTTAGTATATAAAAGAATTTTTGTTCGATTATTAGTAACGGAGAAATTAAAAAAAATTTTAATTTAAAATTCCCATGTTATTCTTATGGAGAATATTGTCAAATGTTGTAGTTTGCTTGTTTATGGATATATTTTGATCATAAACTTGGCAAATTTATTTATTTTGTACTAAGCTATCAATATTTTACTCAAAAACACACTTTATTAGTTTCCTTGTAGCAGCAAACCTAGGTACTCGTTAAACCTAATGTTATTAAAATATATTTAAAAAACTGAAAATCAATTCAGACAAATGGAAATTCGCTTAGTCGGCAGGTTTGCTGCGGCGGGGGTATTTGAGTTTCAATTCCTTTATACTACTAAGTTTTTCCAGTCATAGATCGACTTCTTAAACTTTTATGCAAGAAACACCAGAATGATTTTCTGGATGTCTAAATAAGTCGTAGGTCACTTGTCTATTTGATGATAGTGCTAGGCCCTACCTGGGGCCATTCCTCCTGGTACGGGTGTGGGTGCGGGTGCGGGTGAGACGGGTAGTCCGGATGTGGTGGAGGGTAACTCTCCTCCGGGTAAGGTCCTGTCATGTACGGGTCCCTTGATGGTTCTACTACGTACCCATCTTGTGGAAGCTCTCCTACCTAAAGAACAATATGGTTTTATTAAAATTATACAAAAATAAATAGAATATTTTTCCTAAAGGCTTTTGTTACAGACTGTGCTTACAATAGACATTGCTAAATCGACCACCATTTGAGCCTGCAAGAATTACTTATTTGGTAAGATAAGAGCGAACATTGTTTTGTAAACAATGTGATAAGAACGTTAGAAAAGGAAAAGGGTGTGTTCCTGCTCCGTTTTCAGATCACAGTGTAGTGTGGTCTACTCATCAGCCTTAAAACATCGGTAACTGTGATACGCTACTTAACTTTGTACTAATGGGTACTTTCCTGTTAAAGGGAACATTCATTATTATCGATGATTTTTTTCTCGATATATCAATATTAACAAATTGAAACATATCAGCTGACAACTACGATAAATAAATATTGTTCAGAATCGACAAACAAAAATTTAAAAAATATTGAAATAAAACTGTTCTAAACTAACCTAACAAAACTTGCTGTAACATTTAAAAACTCCATTTAATATTCTCCATTCGCCTTTTCTGTTATCAAACGGAATTTTTAAATGGTACAGCAAGTTTGGTTGGTTATGTTAGGTTAGGTTAGCTTAGAACAGATTCATTTCTTTCCATATAATAGACTATATTTTAGCCTAAATATCAGCTGTCAATTTTTAATGTATCGTAAAGGGAAAAAATCTATATATCGAAAAAAAATCATCGATAATAATGGATGTTCCCTTTAACAGGAAAGTGCCTACTAATGTTTATTTTTGTTAGGTACTACCATTGACTATTGGATACTGAAGGTAGGCTACTACACTAGTTTTTACCATACCAAAGTCAAAATTGAAATCCTTATGTAACAATACCATTTGATAAAGAGCATAAGGTCACAGAAATAAGTAAAATGCACTTCAGCACCTTCACAAGTGTCACAAGCTCAATAAACGCTACAATGTTTCCAGTAATTTTAATACCACCACACACACCTGTACAATTGTACATTCCTGTCACTGAATGTGGAATTGAGTTTAGCGGCTAGCTCAGTGAGAAAGTGAATGGTTCAATCACTGAAATGTTCACAAAAAATTGATTTCACCAATTTGAGGGGTGTTCGGCTTAACCTATGAAGCATTTGCGATTCCTCTGAACAAAACGCCTCTAGTGTAGTTATTACAGCTAGATTCACAAGTATTGTTTTGTGGGTTAGGTTACCTGTCCAGTTGGTTGCCAACCCGAGGGAGTGACGGGTCCTGTGTCTACCGGAGGACCTCCGGGAACTGGTGGAGGTGTCTCATGTACAATGGCTTTAGTCAGGTATCCATACACAGCCAGGGTGATGGTAGTGTACCAACCTCGCAACACCAGCCCATCAGTTGGTATCTGCAAGAATTATATATGAGAGGACGTATGATATTTGCAACGTCTTAGCAAGATTTACTATGATCCTATTGAAGAGAAATGTCTTGGTGAAAAATTAAATAGTAGTTTTAGTGCTGCGTTATTAAAACTGTCTGTACAATACACACAGATGGTCCAAGTTGGCAGTCCGAACATGTAAACCAAGCAGTGATTACTGTGGCCACAGTATTGGTTGAATATTTATTTGCTGTCTTGTCTAAATGAGTTTATTTCACATTTATATGTTGTAATGTTTTGTTGACCTCAGTGATATTTTTTACAACAATCCGAAGAAGGCAACTTAGATGTTGAAACTGAAATAAGCGTACCTACTCTATTCTTAGAGTAGGTAATAGGAATCAAGGTAAACTATCCTCTTATTAATATGTTTTAAGTCAATTGAGACCACACAAAAATGGAAAAATTCAATGACCCTGAGTCATTGCCCAGCAAGGTTCTCATGACAAATGTTCAAAGTAGGCCTACCTAAGCTCTTCATCACAGAAAATGTACTACTATAACCCAGAATGCCAACCGCATGGTAAAAAGCATTAAGCGGTTTGAGAGAGCTTTGCCTGTCAATCCGTAGGTAGCGCCACCAGCGTTGCCATGCAATAGCATAGCAACGCTGGTGGCGCTGCCTACCGATTGACAGGCAAAGCTCTCTCAAAACACTTAATGCTTTTTACCATGCGGTTGGCATTCTGGGTTATAGTAGTACGTTTTCTGTGTCTTCATCACCAACTAGGGCACAGATGGAAAATATTCTTAAATTACCTGAGCATTTTATTACCCAGTAAGGCCCAGATAAAAAATATTCGAAGTACCTGAGCATTTCATACCCAGTAAGGCCCAGATAAGAGATATTCAAAGTCCCTGAGCATTTTGTACCCAGTTAGGTCCAGATGAGAAATATTCAAAGTACCTGAGCATTTTATTACCCAGTAAGGCCCAGATAAGAGATATTCAAAGTCCCTGAACATTTTATTACCCAGTAAGGTCCAGATAAGAGATATTCAAAGTCCATGAACATTGTATTACCCAGTAAGGTCCAGATGAGAAATATTCAAAGTTCCTGAGCATTTTATTACCCAGTAAGGCCCAGATAAGAAATATTCAAAGTCCCCGAGCATTTTATTACCCAGTAAGGTCCAGATAAGAGATATTCAAAGTCCCTGAACATTTTATTACCCAGTAAGGTCCAGATGAGAAATATTCAAAGTACCTGAGCATTTTATTACCCAGTAAAGTCCAGATAAGAGATATTCAAAGTCCCTGAGCATTTTATTACCCAGTAAGGCCCAGATAAGAAATATTCAAAGTCCCTGAGCATTTTATTACCCAGTAAGGTCCAGATAAGAGATATTCAAAGTACCTGAGCATTTCATTACCCAGTAAGGTCCAGATAAGAGATATTCAAAGTCCCTGAGCATTTTATTACCCAGTAAGGTCCAGATAAGAGATATTCAAAGTACATGAGAATTTCATTACCCAGTAAGGCCCAGATAAGAAATATTCAAAGTTCCTGAGCATTTTATTACCCAGTAAGGTCCAGATGAGAAATATTCAAAGTACCTGAGCATTTCATTACCCAGTAAGGCCCAGATAAGAGATATTCAAAGTCCCTGAGCATTTTATTACCCAGTAAGGTCCAGATGAGAAATATTCAAAGTACCTGAGCATTTCATTACCCACTAAGGTCCAGTTGGGAAATATTTAAAGTCCCCAAGCCATTTATTACCCAGTAAGGTCCAGATGGGAAATATTCAGGCACCAAGTCCTTATTGATTTATTCTTAGGAACGGTAACTCTAATAAAAACTCTCAAGACCCAGAGCTGACAATTTTATGTTGATGAAATCACAACTAAATGAATTATACAACTAAAATCCGTATTTTTTTTAATACAGTTTAAAATATAACTATTATTTATTTATTAATATGTAGGCCTACAGAACATTTTTTTAACATTTTATTGACACATAACTTAATGGTAATTGAAATAACTTAATTTTTTAAAGTTTGTATTGGGGATAAAACAGTTTTTTTGTATTTTTTATGAGAAGCAATTTTTTTTAGTATTCCGTGTTTTGTTTATAATCATATGATTATTGTTATTGTTTATGTTTGAATTATTTACAAGTTGTACACAGATTTAGTTGAATTAAAAAAAGATACATTTTTAATTATGAAAGTTAGTTCATTCTAATCAACATGTCTCCAAACTAAAAATGTATAAGTCTTTTTTATTTAGTTACCAAGAAAGAGATATTGAGTAGAGTAAAAAAAAAACTAACATAATTTTCTCCAAATAACAGCACCATCAAAAGTAATGCCATCAAGACATTATTTAATCAAGAAGTTATTCAGTAAAACAATCAACAGAAACACTTTGGACTCTAAGTTGCAGATAAATAATTGCCGATTCTCAAAGATTGCCAGAGCAATGAATGAAGATTGAGTCAGAATCTAATGATGAACTGTTTGATGATTTAAAGGTTGCGACAAGTGGAGAAAATAAACATTGCTAAGCCCATCTGTTCAATCAGCTGTTGATAAGACTTGTGATAACAATGAACATGGATACCGAGGCTCTCCTTGCTGATAATGATAACGATCAGGTAATTAACTGGGCGATGGTAAATATTAATGTATTTTGTGATTTGTATTGTTCATCAATATCAGTATTTATTTACTGAATCTTTGACACACATCTATTTTATTTAACTGTACAATATTATGCCGTAAAATTCGGTTCAGCAGAAAAATGTACTGAACTATGTTGGATAAGTTAACATAAATAACATAAAATGATTAGGCCTACGTATTGTGAATTTAGTTGATGTACCTAATACGTCATTGGCCCTGCATTCTTTTAACTCTTCCAAAAGCAATTAGATAGCTGGAGCAAGTTCCAAAGATCACTAACTAATTGTTTACTCAAGAAAAAGTATTAGCAGAACAGAGTTATAAATATTATTTTTGTTTATGTTTTTGAAGAAATTTAAGAAAATGTCTTGTCATAAGTGATAGGTCTGATATAGGCTACATGTATAAGCCTACCTGAAGTCATTCTAAAGCAAAAAATATGTGAATAGTCATAGTGGCATAAAAGGTTTAATTTAAACTAGGCCTACCTACCTGTGGGTCTAATTAAAATTAAAGTTTAGGAACCAAGGAAAATCATTTTTTTATTAGGTACCAGTGACTTGTAATTCATTGAATTGTTTTGTTGTATTATCCAACTGAAATATTTACTGTGATGTGTGATTTCGGTTGAAAAAATTTACCATAGTTTGTATTTTACTTGAACGTTAAAGGTTAAATTCAATATTATATATCTTAGTCTATTAAATATTTGTAATCTCAAATAGTTTGAACTCATGCTTAAAATCATTAAATCTAGGCAATAATAGTTAAATCTAATTTAGGCCTAGGCCTATAGAATTTTAAATACTTAAAATCTTTTCTTTAAAATTAGTTTCCTTTTAATTTGCACTTTTAATCATAGCCCTAAGTTGACATCTTTTCTGTCAAAGAAATCCTGTGCAAAATGCAAGATGATAAGAAAAATCAATTAAATACAAAAAAAAACCTTGATAATGATACATAAACAGTGGAACATGCTTGAATTAAACTCTCTTAACTTAATACAAAAACATCTTTAATTCAAATCTTTGTCTCCGTCCTTAGAACTTCCATGTATAATCCATCAAAGTTGAAAAACTACTGGTAATTCAAATATAATTTTGGACACTTTGAATCTTTTCTATATGAAGTTTTCTGTACCACAAAAAAAATCAATTTTACATGTACAAAATACATAGATCTAAGCACTTACTCTCTGTTCACACTCCACGTGTATGTTTCCGTTTTGATTGTACTCCATTCCACCGACGCTCTCAAACGCTGACGCTCCCGGTTTGCTCAAATCGTTGACAAAGAACTCTATTTTAAATTGTGACGGGTTGGTCGCTCTGTAACATAGGAAAATATATTTAAAGTGATACGATTACTTTAACAATCGTCGTTATTTTGCACAAAAAGATCCTTAGACAAAAGTGTGAATATAAACCCAATAATCATTTATCGATTATCTAGAAATGGATTTAAAGAAATTGTTTTATCAAGATAAAAGTTAAAAACTAACTTGATGTTGTATACATGGCCTAACTCGTAAAATATTTTTATCATGAAATTTAAAATATACTCTTTTAGATGGGTTGTATATGCTTTTGCTATCGGGAGACAAATAGACATTCCTTTCCCATGTTTAAGTATTAGCCAATTTAGAATGAGAATGAAACATAGTTTAAATTCAGCCACCAAATTTAATTTACACAGGGTGCCAATAACTTTTTTCAGTTGTCATAAACTTTTAACCAAGCTAAAATGAATGGACAACTTAATGCAAACTTTAGTATATTTCATGTCACATCAATATTTATAATGCTAGCCTTCAAATCTGTAGGATAATGGTACAATCAATTTCGGGCTCGATTATGGACTCAGATGTAGTTTCTCAATAGGTTATCAATCAAAATTCCTATCTAACAAAATTATTGAAGTTACAATCGTTGAGCGGCTCATTCTACTAAGCTATACTTTAATGTAAAAGCGACTATATTAGCTGGTTTATAGATGTATCATCAACAAAGACCATATTGTTGAAAGTTACTAGCCAATTTTGATAACTGTTAAATTAGCTGTGATTCAGTGATCATTGGTACTTGATTGATTAATTGGATAACTCTGTACGTTTATCACTCACCCGAGCCTGACTCCCCCAGGAAAGTCTGCCTGAACCCTCGCTCCGAGAGGGATGACTCTCACTTCCGTCACACAAACTGTCTTTGTAAACTGGACCAGGTCTAAATTGAGTTCCTGAAAAATGAATTAACCAATACGGTCACTTATTCCCACTTATGTGCTACACACCAAGCAAAAAATCTTTGTGTTTTGATGTCACAATGTTAGGAAAGTTATGATGAAAGATTTCTATCACAAACACTTCCTAATTTATGACACTAACAGTTTGTGACTCCAGCAGTGCCGGATTTCCAAGAATGCCCCGGCATTCCTGAGCACTGTCAAAAAAATCCTTAGTTGCAAGAACACCAAATATACAGCTAAAATGGAGATTTAAGGGGTGTTTTACTAGAGGTACGGGGTTTTTCCATGTTTTATGGTGAGGTTTTAATATACAGGACCTCTGATCCTTTGATACAGGACCTTTGATTAATAATACAGTATCTTAAATCCCTCTTATTGCAATATATGAGCAGTAACCAGATTGACTATGAAGGATAATTTTGAATACTGTATTAAATGAAAATAATTACACAACCTGATACAATTTTTGTTTTTTTACAAAGGTTGAAGTCTTATCCTAATTTAAATTTATACAGCTTGATATTGTTTCCTTTAATTTAAATAATTTTAGTCTGATTTATAGAAATAGTATATTACGATACTAGTCCTGAAAATAAGTGTTTGCCGGACGAGAGTGGTCGTTCCCGAGCGAGACAAAGTCGAGTACGGGATTACCATATGAGTCCGGTAAACACATTTTGGACGAGTTGCGTACGATAGTTTACGCCATACTACTAAATCTGTACAAATCCTTATACATTACCACCAATATTACCACTCATTGCCACCCAAATACAGTATAATCAGCTGATTGGTGTCCGGTAAAACTTGTTACAGTACAGTAGTACGCAATGAAACCCCATTTGATTAAGCTGGCGGCAAAGAGCTGTTTTCTGGACTATATCCTTGCGTGGGAAGTTTGTCAAAATAGTGTAGTGTGGCGTAAAAGTATTTTTTGCCAAAACTATTGAGTTTGAGTTTTGGGTGGATATATACAATTTTGGTCCCCCTTGACCAAAATTGTGGGTTTTAAAGTGACGTCTGTGTCTGTGACTGTATGTGTAGAAATGTACAGAGCTTCAGACCGCAGGAGTGGTCTCATTTTGACAAAATTTTATATGAAATTAAATTAAAAGAAAAATGTCTTTATCTAAGAGGCAAAGTTATGTGGGTGCTAATGCTTGGTATCTCCAGGTGTTGTATTAATTTTAATTTGTAATGGTGATTTTCCTAAATAAAACGCATAATATAACAGATATGATTTTCAAATAAATGGCTTGTACGATTGTTATTAAACTTTGGTATCTTGTGGTCCTTTTAACTCTATAATAAATGGTCAAACTCCCGATGCTATTAAAATTACGGTTTAATAGTTAGGCTATTGCAATTTTTATTTTTAACCATAAAAGTCATAGATATCCCGCCGCCTACCAAATTAAACAAGCTTATGGGAGAAAGTATGTTTCTGATACATAAATGACTTACCCTGATGCTTAAATTTAAATATTAAATAATAAAAACATAATCAAAGTACTGAAAGTTAAATATATTTTAGCAATTATTTAGAACATAAATTTTTTTTAGAAAAGATTATTTTTTACAATTAACAATAATAAACAAAAACACTTTCTGCAAGACTACTTAAAGAGTCGGAAAGAAACATCATTTATAGAGTCTCCTTTGAACAACATAGCCATTTTAAGAAGTTCAATCTTGGCATCTTTGCATTTAGCTGAGCTCAGTTCATGCATATAGCACAGGTTGGAGATGAGGCTATCCTGAAGACCATGAAGTGGATCATTGTGCAATGCTCCATCCAACAATCGAATGCCTTCCCTCAGATGTCCCGAGTAGAAGAGACAAACGGAGCAATTGTTCATCACCAACAAACTAGAGGGATCTATGAAAGACGCTTGTTCAAAACATCTATACCCTTCTTCAAAATCATTACGAGCAACAGCCAACAATCCCATATCCAAGATACTGTCAAAGTCTTCAGATGAAGGCTCAAAAGTTGAAGAAGTGCTATTTTGTGCCTGTAAGAAACAATATTCAGCACTCTTCAAGTCTCCAAATTGTAGATATATTCGACCAAGAACTGAGCAAAGTGTTTTCTTTTTACCGAGGGAACTCTCATTTTCAATCATACCATTCACAATATCTACAGCAAGTAAAAAATCATTTATTTTTAAAGCGACATTAACGATTGAAATCAATACACGTTTCTTTCTCGCTTTCCACAAATTGTAAGCTTTGTCTTTTTCCAATTCCAATCGACTTGCAGCCTCGTTTTCCAAATTCTTCTCTATCTTTTTGACAACTGCTAAAATTTTAAAAAGTTTCTCCAACGATTCTGAATGTTGACCACACAAGCTTGGCAAATTAGCGAGCAGCAACCTCATTTGGAATGGAACCATGGAACCGCTACGACCGTGGTAGACTTCTGGGTAGAACTGATAGTACAAGTCAGGCTGATCCCCATCCCTCCAATAAGTTGCTTCCATAGCAGCTACATCAAACTCTCGCAGCTTCACCAGCAATGTTAGCCTTGTAAACCACAACTGTATTGACTGCGGAGTATGGTAAACTGACGAATCACTGATTCTACAATTAGTTTTATGATCTGTCAACAGCTGAGCGGTAAGGTTAACAGCAGTTGTATAATCCTCTTTCCTGACCAATTCTAAAAGGGAGTCAAATCCATATTTGGATGATTTTTCCAAATCGATTGTTCTAAAATTGGTTTCTTCTCCTTCAGTGATCGAGGTTGCAAGTTCACCAAGTCTGCTAGGTACATTGTCGTCGTGAATTTCTGGGACTGTAAAAACATCCCTATCAGAGAATTGAGGTGGAGGATTTAGCAAAGCATGTTTTGTTCTCTCTGATGGAATCCACAAATCACTTTTGTAAATGTACGCTTCATTTTTGTCAAAATTTGTAATATTTAAACTACAAAAGTCATCATCGCTAGTCTCCATATTATCAGAGAATGTCAAAAGATCTTCGCTTAATTCATCGGCAGAGGATATATTTTCTTCGTTAAAGAGTGGTGAAGATTCTCTCTCTGATTTTGATGAGCTAGGAACAAAACTAAATGTAACTTCTCCCTCCGATTTGTTCAAAAGACCCAACTTAACTGGAGGCTCATTCACATTTTCAGTTTCCAAGTCAGTGTCTATTCCCATTGCTTTGTCAACATCTTCATGTCTGTTCTGTTTGGAAACATGGAGTTGAGTTAGGTGCATATTAAACTTAACCATAATAAACGTAATAATTTGTGTACGGTAGTCATAAGCACATAAAGTAGTATCAACTTATATCTAATTAGTGGTGTACATATGTGCGGAATACAATGTGGAGGATGAGTGAGAATTGAGTAAAAAATCTTTGTTACTTTGTTACCGACTAAGATCAGCTGTTTATTTAGGCTTACCTAGAACCATTTATTGAAAGCATTCCATTTGACTTGGCATTTTTTAATGGAACAAACTAACTGAAGTATCTTAAATGTAGGCCTAATAAACAATTCAAAGTGAAACTTTGTTTTGCAATTTTGAAAACCGTCTACAAAATACATACCTCAGATGTTTCATGAGAAAATGTATCAAAGAACAACAGTTCTGGTTGTTCTGAGGCCATTATTTACACAGTTTCTATTGTTCTCCCAACGTGACAATTTTGTTCAACCAAATTTCTTCTGTGACTCCTCTTTACCGAGGCTACAGCAGGCACGCTGAAAAAATCAAATATTTATTTAATAGTAAGAGAATTCAAGTCATGAAAATTATAATGAGAAAATTTAATGTTTGGAAATGTTATGCCTGTTGATTAAACCACTGAAATTTATTTCTACTAGGCTACCGTACCTAATAACTTGATAAAAAAAAATATATGGACCAAATATTTTATGTCATACTGTAATGGTTCCGATTGATAATAGGCTAGGCCTAATCAAGTCAAGTAGCCTACAGTAGGCCTACAATTGTGTTCGTATGATCTGACTAAGACTTAGCACATGCAGTGCTGCAGGAAAGAAACAACCTAATCTAGGCTATGGGTAGACTTCCATATCTGTTGGCACAAACAACTGAATAAAAATATCGATTGTTTGATTGTTTCATTTGATATATCGTTTGGTTAGTTAGGTTAGCTTAACCTTACCTAACTTTCATACGGTTGTTTGTGCCAACAGATATGGAAGTCTACCCTAGGCTATCTAAGAAGTACGCATGATCTAAGATGTTTCAATCTACGTCTAGGACTAAGTCTTAGGGCTAACTCTGAACTCTGACAGGTTTTGCAGTGTATATTTAATTCAATGCCACAAACTTAAGAACTTCCAATCCTTAAAATGTGAGCCAATAGGCTAACTTATGTAAATTTAGGTTCAACCAAATTGTAAACATTGACCTAAACTTAGCAACTTACCTACGATTCTTGACTAAACTATGGAGCAATCAATTATCAAACACCGAAATTACAGTAGCCGAGTATAGATTACAATTTTGCAACACAAGCCAATACACATTACAATTGTTACAATTTCATTAATTTATAGTAATTTTTTTCACAAATTAAAATATAAGTTAAAGCTTATACTGATATATGGCTGACTAAATTAGTTTATTTTCTAAGTTCTAGATACCTGTAGGTACTATTTAAAAAATAGTTTTATACACAAAGTTAAGTGTTACCTGCAGAAATACTGTTCGGTATATTATTTATTTACTTTCTGGGGCTGCACTTTACTTGACGTCCTACACTCATTCGAATGAAAATATCGATCGATATATCGATTGCTTCATTCGATATATCGTTTGGTTAGTTAGGTAAGGTTAACCTAACCTATCTAACCAAACGATATATCGAATGAAAGAATCGAATGAAAATATCGAATCGAAAAAACCAATCGAATGAGTGTAGGACGTCAAGTAAAGTGCAGCCCTTTCTGGATACTTAAATACATTAATTAATACAAAATCCATTGCTAAGCCTTGACAATATTTTTTAACAACATTAAAACTTATCAAACTTCACTTGAGCTTGATTGAGGTTAGTTGAATCGAATCGGCATTCATAAACAATTTATTACCAACCAGGCAGGATTCAGGAATATTATTTTCTGAAGTATATATCGGTTTTGTACCATTGGTTAAAGTTTGAAACTACCGATTGTCAAAGCTATTGCATAGATGTAGGCAATGCAATCATTTTGACACCACCATCAAGTAAAACAAAGGCACCATTATCAAGATCAAGTTAGTCATAATGATAGTCATATAATATTTATTCAAGAGTACAACATGTTGCACCAGAATGGCGTTATACAATTAAATTATATGATTATATTGTTAAAACTAACCATATATAAAAAGGCTAAATAAAAATACAAAAGCTTATAACTTACAAATCTACAATAAAGTCAACCAACAAATTCATCTAGGGAATAAACGGGCTTGGATAACATACAAGTTTTTAGTTGTTTTTTAAAATGTATTTATGTCTGTAATTAATTTGTAAAATATTATCAGGTAGAAGGTTATAAAACTTAATCGCAGCATAATAATGAAGGGTTTTCAAAGAATTTTAAGTTGTGATTAAAAAAACTGATTTTATGTCTGTGCCTTTCCTTGTCCCATAGCTGTGGCATGAACCCAAGGTCTCGAATTTTGGTAAATAAGTATCTTTTACAAACGATATCAAATAAAAGATATATTGGGCAAAAACAGTTAGAATACCAAGTTTTGAACATTTTTGTTTCTGAAGTTGTCCAATCTTGAATGTTTAACATGATGTGAAGTCCCTCTTTTTGAAATGATAATACAGTATTTGTTCCAAATTTTCTTGGGAGGTTGCCTATATACACTACTAATAACCTCCTTATAACATATAACCTCATATAACAATTTACAAATATAGATTTTTAATTCATATTTTTTTTCAATTCTGTATGTTTTATTTTCAATATTTTAATAAATTTATGTTCATAAATTTTAATTTTAATCAATAAAGTGCGAATTAATGAGCTGATGCACGGCCACCTTTAACTACGGAGTTAAAGGCGGCCGTGGCTGATGACACCTGTCTATTATCAAGGCCGCCTTTAACTACGGAGTTAAAGGCGGCCGTGCTGTTATCTTATGGGACGTCTGTCACTAAACAACACCACTTGCGACGTTGCCAATTCCACTAGGCCACGGCCTGTAGTTAAAGGTGGCCATGGCATGGCTACGGCCACAGACAAGGGAACAAAAATCTTTTATTTCCCTAGTCAATGCTACGGCTTATGAATTAGCTCATGTTTAAAACCAATGTCCAGTGAATGCTGTTGTACTGGCTGTTTGTTTCCACATTTCAGATTATGGTTATGTTTACGTTTATCTTGCTCCTTGCTGTCACTGACAGTTTATTATTGTGAGACCCAAGACCCAACAAATTTTCACTTTTATAAGCATTAACGCAAAATTAAGCAGTAATTTGTTTCAATTCATGTCGGACATACGTAAGTGCTTTTCACATTCAAAAGGTAATTTGTATATTTTTAAATCTATCAATTAAGAGAAAGTAACTTAGTAGAGCATATTTTGCGAATAGGTTATGTAGTTTCATTTTGGGTTTATTGCTGAGTAGACATCAATTTTTATTTTCTTTCTGATTTATCTTAAGTTTTAGCATACTAACTCATTTCATTAAGAATAACATTTCTCTAATTAATTTACCTAAAAAAGTTGTCTCTCCTGTAAAAGGCCTATCTTGTAAATCGATAAGTTTTCAAATGTTGGCATGGCCGAATATCTGTAGCCAAGTCTTGGAATGAGTAAATAATAATGATTATTCGATTGTTTAATTTGATATATCGTTTGGTGAGTTAATTTATTGATATTGAATAGGTGAACTCTGCGTACAGGTACACCGGGTCTCACCATTATAACGTAAACTGGCAATTGGCAGGATTTGAACCCGTAATTTACCTCCAAAACAGATGCCTCCTACCAATCATTTGTGCTATTCCCAATAGTCCTATTTTTTTTAAAGAGCTAACTTATGTGTTAGTTAAATAAGATAAGATTAATTTGTTATCACTTTTACTATTCCAAGGATGAGATCACGAGATACTAAACTTAAATACTTTTTTTTCAGCATAGTTTCTCAGTGTTGGCCGACATGGGGACCAACACAGGCCATGTCATGACGCTAGCCAACAGTATCATTGGCGTAAGCGTGTTGGCAATGCCATTTTGTTTCAAACAGGTACGTTGTTATTTTACAAACTTTTGCATAAATGTTTTATAATCAAATCATCACTATTAACTATGTAACCATATGTTGTCTAGGTAACCAAATAGACATAAGTTAGTGCTTTTGAAATCCAAAGTCGATCTTCTAGAGGGCTCGGTCCTTAATCTTGATGCTTTACATAAGATCTATTTTACATACAGAGAAGATTGGAGATTCTACAGTTTTCTTACAAAAATTGTTTGAAATCGCCAATGGTGTTGACAATATTTTAGCTGAATGTAATATGGTAAGCACTAATACGGATTTCAATGCAATGTGGATAGTTTTAAGGTAAGGTAGGCCTAGTAATATTTTTCTCTCCAAGCTGTAAGTTAAGTGTAATGTTGATTAGACAAAATGTATTTTTAAAAAAGCAATACATCATAATAAAAATCCATTGTAATCAATTTGGGTAAAACTTTTATACAGTCCCAACTAGTCAAGATTTATTTAATTTAGTTTTACATACAGCTGTCACAGAATGAAGTATGAGAGCCCAGTTGCTCAATCGTCATACGTTTATTACCTTCTAGTGATTGTTCCTATGTTTTTTTTCCTTGAATTACTGGCTGTAATCAGCTGTAATCTAATAGGTGTTTTGTTTCAGTGTGGTATTATCCTGGCCACTCTAATGTTGATTCTCAGTAGCATCATGACTCGTCTAGCCTGCTATTACCTGATAAAGTCGGCAATTCTGGCCAGAAGAAGGAACTTTGAATTTTTAGGTCAGTTGTTCAAACTGTTGATGTATTTTTTCTGAAAAACTTGGCAAAGTCATATAGCCTATTTTCCAATTAAGTTATCAGCCTTATCGTGAATATTTTGTACCATTATCATAGAAAAACAAGCTAAGTGAAAACTTTTATTAGGCCTATACTAATCTTGATAATTTACTGGTATGCTATGCGATAATCCCTCAAGTAACTTGCCTTTGCCAAAAATGAACTATTTGAACCAAAGTTAAATGTGATTGTTTTAATGTTGATTTTTAACTGCAAGGTTGGAAACAAAACCTGTTTATTTGTCTAACTATAATTTCTAGCTTGTTTAATCATACACTATTTATTTTCTATTCTTTCACTTCTTCACTTTTAAGTCTTTCAGTACTTTCACGTTTCGGATCGATTAGTGCAATTAGCTGATCTCTGTCTGTTAGAAAGCTACAGAAAGTATATTCCGTAAAATGGTCTCTTTAAAACTTCTAGGGTTTCACTCAGAAATATCACTAATAATGTATGCTATCAAAATCTTTATATCTCAATACATTTTAGATTAATATTAAATCACCTCTGCCGCATCTAACTTGCAGACTGAGCGAAAACAAGTTCAATAATTTACAGTTGCTAAAATTGATTAATTTAATCCTAAAATTAATTATCAGTGAAATTCGCCTATTGGGTCTGATGATGATTGGAGTGTCCAATCGATCACCATTTACCATCTTTTATAATGTATTTACCATCTTGTGAGTAAACAGTATAAGTGTAAATATTAATTGTTAGTTGACATATTTTTTGTGCTTTCATTGAAAAATAATCCAGATTTTAATGTCTGCATCCTCAACAGCATGGATCATTTCACCAACAATACAATTTGTAACCAACAAACAGAGCAGTAAATTAAGTGATTAACTGCAACCTGTTAGTAGTTCGTCAAATAAACAATTAGGCCTATTTTAATTCATTCATACTATTCTCAATAACTGACTTTCCCTATGTTATGTTCATATATATTTTCGACCTGCAGCTTTCCACATATTCGGCCCGCCTGGCAAACTAACTGTGGAACTGAGCATCATCGGGTTCATGCTCGGAACGTGTGTAGCATTCTTCGTGGTGGTTGGAGATCTCGGCCCGGCTATTCTCGGACCAATACTCGGAATTGAGAATCCACAATCCATTCGAGCAACTGTACTCATTGGTGAGACACCTTTATTATCTCTTTTAACTTTCTAGAGCCTATATTTTAAAAGTAAGATATTAGTTTTAGTTTGTTTCTACAGACAATCCTATTGTTTTTTTCAATAAATTACTTGATAATGAGATTCGGATTATTTAAATATATGGTGTTTTTAGTCTTCAATTATTTTTAGTTTATGTTGTGTGACAGGTATCGCTGTGTTTGTGGTTCTCCCCTTGGGACTTTTACGCAACGTTGACAGTTTGTCAGCCATCAGTGCTGCCACTATTGCATTCTACATCTGCCTGGTGCTCAAGGTTGGTACCACTACCAAAGGGGTGTAAAACCCTGTACGGTAAAGATACTCTTACATTCAGATACCTTATGATTGGACCATTGTCAAAACCGAAACTATATAAGAACACTCAGAATATAGCTGCGTCATATAGTGTTTGATGATGTGTTGTAATTTTTAGATGACTGTCCAAGTAGTCAATGGTAAGTAGATGGCCATAAATAATAAACTTCTCTAGTTTAAGACTCTCTAGTCATACAATTGTTAAGTCTTATTTCTTTTTAAATTGCTCATGATGTCATTGTTTTTGTATTGTATAAGTTTTAAATTGTTTGAGTTTCAATCTTTGAGTTGTGCAAAGAACTATACATTCCATTCCCATGTAAAGTAGTAGCCAGTTTATAGTGAAAATGAACATAAGTTAGTTGAATTAAGCCACCGACAGAGTGTTCTGTAAATTATCGATTTCTTTTGAATACACTCACTTTTAAACTAAGATTACTTAAACAGACAAACTATCTTATTATCTTTCAGAAGTAGGCTGAAGCCACAAGGCTCTTTCAATTTAGTCAAATTATTGCACACATCAATAAGCTGGTTTATCCTTAAAGATCCAAGCACCTGATAAAAGCCTGTATTCTGCCAATTAAGGCATCCTCTGGAAGGTAACTACTTCTTACTAATTTACCAAGAGTTCTTTCTGACCACAGAGAGCTCTTCACAGTCAAAGAGCAGTTGATCAGCTGTTTCCTCTGACCTACCGCAATTCCTACAGACTGGTTTGTCACCATACAGGCCCATTTTTTCAGCAACAAAGAGTGTCTGTTTAAACTAATGTCACATAAACCACCTTACCTTACATCCTTAGCCGCTGAAACCCTTGTGGTGTTTGACCCTGCTAACAATGCCCCTCCATTCTTCATTATCCTTTGCTATTTCAGATGTTGTCTCTAGTGTTTCAAGTTTCAACATTGTTTAGCACTTGGCTCTTCCATTTCCTCATCCTGCCAAGTAGTCTTTGCATTCATGTCTGTCCACATTATTGATAATTAAAATACTATCCTGCCTTTATACTGTCCTGATGTATCAGTCTTCTGATTAAAACTACGGGAGAAAATGGAATTTGACACTAGCTCACTCTTTGAGTTGCTCACTGATCTGTATTCTTCTTTAATACAAGATGGGCTACAGCTGGTCCATACAACTTGATATCAACTTGTACATATTGATGTACACTGATGTGATATCGTTGGATACGTGTCACGGATACAGTCAATGTTTTCAACCTGCCAAGGTCTAGACTCAAGGCCATTGTTTGTTTAGGTGATGGGAGAAGCAACCACACACCTCGTAGCCTGGGACTGGGTGGATCATGTGTACCTGTGGAGACCAGCCGGACTACTACAATGCATCCCTATTTTCTCCATGGCACTATCTTGTCAAACGTAAGTACGATATTCATTTGTAAATTGCAATTAACCCTTCAATTTTTGAAGGGAAAAAAACATCTTGGCTTTAAGAACTTTTAAGGAAAAAGGAAGGATACAACTACATCATCTGAAGAAAGAGTCGCAGGAAGTTAAAAGCAGATGAAAATTGTAAAATGTGTTTATTTTTTGTGTAATTTAACTTCCTGGGACTATTACTTCAGGTGAGTTAGTTGTGTATCCTTTCTCTCCGTAACAAATAACTCATCAAGGAGGATTCAGATTTATCTTGGTCAAGAAATGCATGCTGAATTACCATACAGCAGCTAAATAGATAGGCCTAAGTTATTTGATTCTAAAAGTGATCAAATACTCTTAAGGTTGTTTAATTACTTTGTAAATTAAACAGTTGAGTATCTATAGACTTTTAGATGACATGTTTTTCATCCTCAATGTAATTTCAATAAAAGTTATGGTTTTGATTTTGCAGGCAGCTGTTTGAAATATTTGAGTCCATCCCTAACGGAACACTCGACAAGATGACAGTTATCGTTCGCTCGGCAGTCAACCTCTGTACGCTGATGTACGTAGCAATGGGGTGCTTTGGCTACATTGCTTTCTGCACACAACCCTTCTCTGGTAAGTTTTAATTATTAGTTACAACATCTGTTATTCTGTAGTTTCAGCCCTTACAGTTAAAACTTGCTAATTTGGCACATAGAACTCGCTAAACTGCTGGACTACGATCTAAAAATAGATCCTAGGAGGATAACAGAAATGATGCTATTGTTGGGAGTCAAAAGGACTATCATATATGATTCGAGCCACTTTTCTGTGTTCAGTTGTGATTTTTCAGTAGCCTACTCCAGCCTTAAAAAAGTTGCTTATGAATTCTATTGGACATGCACAAAAGGCTACTTCAGTGTCAAAAACTTCCTACCCAATGTCGGATTATTGGATGTGCCAGAAAAACGAGACCTAAAGGTATTACCTGAACATGAATTTTAATTACACATCTTGTTAGCATGCAACTTTCAAGTTCTTCAACATGAGCTGGTGGGAAGAGCCGACATGTTGGTTGCCGACCCGAGAAAAAAAAGAAACAGTTCATGATAGGCCTGGTTAACGACAGAGACAGCTAATGTTGATTTTACGCTGTGTTTGTCAATGTTTATGTTAAACATCCGAACTGTACAACAGGACAACAGGGCGCAAAGGATTTAACTTTATAATTTGACGTTTGATTCTATATAATGTTTGATTTTTTAGGTAACTTGATGCTCTCCTTCTCTCCCACCCCTACAAGTGAAGTGATCAAGATGGGTTTTGTGTTGAGCGTCGCAGTCAGTTTCCCACTCGTTATCTTCCCCTGTCGTGCGAGCCTTCACTCTCTGCTGTTCAGAAGGGTATGTTTAACTAGTAGACCCCAGCTTGATTCTGCTGTTAAACATTTGTTCGTTAGTTTAAAACTAACTGTGTGTTTCCAGATGTCTGCCTTGTAGCATGTTTCAGACCATAGCCCAAGAATGTTCTAATCAAACAATTTTTATTGCTGTAAAATTACATCAGACATAGTCTTGAAATAGTTAATCATAGATACGAGTATATTATTTTCAGTTCTACAAATGATTCAAAACTTTTTGGTTAAGAAAGTTTATTGAAGTAAACTAATAAAGCGACATTGCTTCCACAAAGTAAAATGATCTTTCTGTATGTGGGAGTGAGATATTACTTTTGAATTTTTTACACTAAATAAAGAAAAAATGTTTCTTGAATTATTTGATGTTTTGCTAAAGAACCATGGTACGCATGAACATTTATTATGCTTTGTTAGTGTCAAACAGCTTGTGACATCTAAGCTGGCACTTGGCCTAGCGCGGGCAGTGTAGGCTTGAGGAGGGTGGAGGGAAAAGACCGGGCTGCAAACATTTCCGCTGCTTCACTGAGTTGACTCCCCTTGTAGTATGGACTTGAGCCCCTTCATGTGAGTAGCGAGGACAGTTGATGCAACCTGCATGACGGGACATAATGTTTTTGAACTAGCTACTAGTAGCGATCGGCCAAGTGCTAGCTTAGATGTCACGAACTGTACATTTTGACTATTGGGAAGGACTGTAAAGACACAACTGTCCAAATTCAAGTGTGCTGACATCAACTGATGACTCACACGATTGTGTCTGGCTTTCAAGTGACTGATTATCAAGATTCAACTGTAGAACGTGTCGTTTGTTTCAGGGTATTCCTCCCCACCACGAACTCCTGTCCGTCAGCAACCACATGCCGGAGCTGAGGTTCAAGTGCATTACAATAGTCATAGTGGCCATTGCTCTCGTATCCGGTCTTCTCATTCCCAACATAGAACTGGTCCTGGGATTGGTCGGATCAACCATCGGAGTACTCATCTGCGTCATCATCCCCGCCACGTTCTTTCTGTGCCTCACCACCAAGAATAATAACGAACGGCTTCTTGCTCAGGTACTGGACGTAAAGGTTGACCGAGTAACATAAGGGGCTTTGGTTTATCTTATCTTATCTAACAGGGGCAGGTCGAGACCTTAAAGCACTTCATCCGAAATTGAATTATTGCGCACCCCAGATACTTAATTGCTTTCTTGTTGACCTACAAGTTGAGGCGCCCAATGAATGCCTGTAACTTCCCAATTAGTTCATCCTCAGGAAGATATCTACCTCTAGCCATATTTCCAAGAGTTATCGATCTAGCGTCAGAGAGCTCGTTACAATCAAAGAGTAAGTGATCAGCTGTCTCTTCTGACCTATCACAGTACCTACAGATCGGTTCACCATCATATAAGCCCATCCGTTGTAGATGTTTCCTGAATCTTCCATGACCAGTTATCAGTTCAACAATTAATTTAATTCTTCGTCTGTCTAGTCTCAAGAGGTCACAGGCAACCTTTTTGGAAGGCCTAAACAGAGTAAGCTTGCTGACCCTAAGAAGGGGAACATCGACCCAGCGTTTGCGATGCTTTTCCTTGGCTCATGACGCAATCGCAGAACATACACTGTTTCGTGAGATGCCACAGAAGGGTTGTGGGCCTAACAATGATGTCGCAGAGGCAGTATTTGCCAATTTGTCTGCAGCTTCATTTCCTTTAATGCCTGAGTGTCCTGGCACCCAGCAAAGCGTAAGGTCATTTCTCCTACCCAACTCAGACACAGAAGCAAGACAATCCCACACGAGCCTGGAGTTGAATTCGTAAGAGTTTAATGCTTTTAGGGGCTTTGGTTGTTGGGATAGCAGGTTTGATTGAGAAAAGTCGATTGTGGTGAAACACAAAAACTTTTATTATAATTGGATACACAATATTTAATTAGATAATTTTATTGTCATCAAATTGTATTTTCATCCTAAGAAGGATTGTGTAAGGAAAAATTATATGTTGTTTGGTCAGATGCTGGCAGTAGTGGTTTTTTACAACTTACAAGCCAAATAGTCTGATACAACTATTCTTAACTGTACTTGCACAACCCGACAGTTGTTTATTTAGTTACCAGTGTTAATTTATTAAAATTTAAGACCTACCTTTTTGTAACAGAACAGTTCTAACCTAGGTCTTGGTACTATCTAACCTTTAGTTTTGAACAAACTAGTCTAGTGGATATAGCGTGGGACTTCACTCCTTGAGGTCCTGGATTCAAATCCCGCCAAATCACCAATGGATTTTATCTTAAGTGATAATGCCTCAACCCCTAGGTGTAGACTGAATTAATGTGAAAAACAATCCCAGGCTCATGCCTAGCGTCCCAGGACAAAAAAAAAAAAAATACAACCTTTAGTTAGAATCATCAATTGATAGCACAATGTAAGAATGGCACCAGGCTCTAAAATAACCCTGCTCAGGCCAAACCAGCAGCCTCTAATTAAAGGTGAAAACAATCATCCAATTAGACGATGTCATTTATCATTAAAAACTATGGTAAGTTTATTTAAGTTAATAAATATGAATCATTAAAACTACAATATTAATTTTGAAACAGAAATATTTTAATCATCACGATTTGCTTACACATAAATCTGTTTGTTATTCAGATATTGTTCGTGACGGGACTAATGATCATGGTGCTCGGCTCGTACGCCAACTTGTACGCAACAGAGCAAGCCATCTCCAACAACGAGCCTCCGTCTGCGCCCAAGCTGGTCCAGCTGAAACCTCCGGAGATGCCTTCTGTCAACGTCCTTCCACCGGATACCAAGTCTCAGAGTGAGTACAAAGTATATGTAGCTGTACTTGTCATTGTATTTTAGACAATATCTGACTGACCAATCGTCATTAATTAAAAAGTATCAGTATCCCAAGTGTGTGTTTAATGTGCTCAGCCAGTAGTAGGACAGACTCAAAAGTCATGACAACATGGGTTTGAATCCTATGCTATTAAATTTTATCTGTGCAGTTCACCTTTTTACAGTACTGGCTCACACCTTGCTTTGCTTTTGGGGTTAAGTTCCACCATTGTTCCTCACACAGGCCTATGTGGACAGGCAAATATAAGGTTAAAAAGAAACTGCTGACCTCTTTATTAAAAAAAAGCTTATCCACTTTAACTTGCTGTTGTGTAGATGTTTTTCTTTCACTATTAATATTAATCCTCCTATAGGGGGGAGCGAGCTGGCGTAGTGGTTAGATCGCGGGACTTCAGTCTCTGGGGTCCCGGGTTCGATCCCCACCAAGTCACCAATGGATTTTATCTAAGTGATAATGCCGCAACCCCTAGGTCTAGCCTGAAGTAGGCCTAATGTGAAAAACAATCCCAGGCTCGTGCCTAGCGTCCTAGAAAAAAAAAATCCTATAAGATGTCTTTCCAACAATATATCTATCGTTGTCCATCGATTCTCTATCACCAGTTTTTCACTCGAGCTAGACTTTTGCAATTTTCCTTCTTCTGTTATTTTTCTTGGCTAAACAACCCTAGTATTTAAATCCTGATTTTTCTATTATTGTTCAATCATGTCCAACAATTGTCTAGTATCTTTTTGTTTTTGCACTGATGGTTTTCTAAAAAAATCCTCATATCATTTGAGAATTTCTTAAAGACCTATCATAAATAATGTTGGATACTTGTACTCAACGTTCAATGGGGCCACTTAGTTTAACCTATTTTATGGGGCCACAATGTACATTAACAGTATGTATCTGTGTATATCTTGAGAGATAACTTCTATTGAATGATGGACATAATTTCATGAAACTATAATTTAAAGTGTTTTAGTTTACAGAATGTTGACCATACCTGTGAAATTGTAGAGTTTATGTTAGACTTTGGTTTTACTGACATTTGTTTCTGTTCCAGTTAAGATGAAAGATGACACATTGAAAAACATCCAAAACGTGGAGCAACTCGCAGCAGCTCTTCCAAAACTTCAGAAAGATAATCCTGCTCCTTCAATAGAGAAAATAGAGGAGAAACAGGATGTGAGAAAAGAACCACCAGTTCCAGAAGCTCCAGAGGTGAAAGTCGTCAGTGAAGGTCCTCCTGAAGTGAAAGTTGCGGAAGCTCAAGTTCCAGCAGTGCAGGAAGTGAAGAAGTTAGAACCTCCTGCCGAGATTGAGAAAACTGTGCCCAAGAAAGAAGAAAGCATACACAACGATGCTTTCAAGAAAGAAGATGATGAAATAAAAGAGGTGCAGAAACAAGAAATATTAAAGAAGAAGGAAGAACTGATTGAAAAGCTGGAAGAAAACGAGGAAAAGCAAAAGAAACTTCTTGAGGAGCAGAAGAAAATACTGCAGGACATAAAACTTGAAAAAGAAAAACTAGTTGGAGAAAATAAACAACTTGAGAATATTGAAAAAGGAAAAGAGATTGAGAAGAATCAAGTCAAAAGTCATTTGACGAATGAAGTAATTGACGAGAAGAAAGAAGCTCCGATTGTCATTGTGAAAAAGGTGCCAGAAATTGCTGAAATCAAAAACACTCTTGAAGCTGTAGAGCCTAAGATCGTCAAAAAAATTGAACAGGAATTGAAGGAACCTATAAAGTTAATCAAGGACGACGTTGTGAAAAAGAATATGGCTGATGGACTACCACTTCCACTTGCGGTTCAACATATAGTGCCAGCATTGAAACCTGCCAAGATTGTAGACAATAATCTCATAAACCCTGATGAGGGAAATCCTGACTCTAAGGTGCTGCGGAGGGAAATATTGGGAAACAGCCAAGTCAGAGAACAAAGAGAGAAAAGAGACGTCATTGAAGTTTCTGACATTGACTTGAAAGAGGAGGGTGGAATAAAAATTGATAATACTATCCCAACCACTTCAGTTAAAAATCTTGAGAAGAAAACCCCTGGAAGTTTGGTACAACCAAGTAACTCTGTGATTATTGGTCATGTTCAAGTTAAACCGGTTGTAATTGAGTTAATCCCACCTAAATCTGAGGTTATTTCTGGAAAAGACATTGAGAAAGGAAATGATAGCTGGATATTAGGAAAGGATGTCAAAATAATTGCTTCAACTAATGAAGTAAAAGATGCGGTTAAGGATCAAGGAAATGAAATACAATCAAAGGAGTTAAAAGAGGTCATGGAAGAATGTCAAGATAAAAAGAAACCTGCCATGAAGTTCACTGATGAGCTAAAACCTTTGGATTTTCAGAAATTTGACAAGGAAACAAAAGACTTAGTCAACCCGTCAGCAGAAAAAGAAGTCTTGAATGTTAATGGTGAAGAAAAGGATTTGAAGCTTCTGAATGTCAATAAAGAAGAAACAACAGAATCTATAATAAAATTCCCAGCATTTCTGTCCAATCCAAATTTGGTCCTGCCATCGGATAAATTGGAAAATGCTGTTTTGGAAAACAATGCCATCAACAACGCGGCCAAACCAATGAAGAGGGATTTAAAATCTCTTGATCTGACAGAAAATCAAAATTCTAAGGAAGGAGAAGCGTAATGATTTCTGTAACTACATTGTTACCCAAGTATTGTAGTGGCTGTGGAAGAACTCAACGGGGTATTTTACCACTTTACCAAAGAGGTATTGTTTCCTAGACTACTATGAAATCCGACCATAAACTATTTTTTAACAAAACCTATTCAATATAAAAACTTGGAAAACCTCAATGAAAATGGTGTTATAAAAGTATATTTTTCTATTTGTATTATGTTAAGAAAAATGTGAGTACAATAATTACATTAGCAGATATTTAAAAGAAAATGTGTAAAATGTCTGACTAGGCTAACAGAAACTGTTCAACGATTATTTATAGTTTAGTGTTGTCAAAACTATATGTTTTGTGATGGTGCTAAGGTATTTGGAATGGTTGTGAATGTAATTTATCTTAAAATTGTATAATTGCATTTAATTGTTATTTGTAAATACTATTTCATAATAATTATTTATTCAATTTCCGATGTATTATAGTTGTTTTTTTTTCTGTAAAGGCCAAGTAGAAATAAGCTAGTTTAAGCTCATGACAAATGAATTATTTCCTTATGTAACTTTGTTCGTTTCAATCAAACTCCCCCAATTAAATGGATACATTGTGTATACTTTTTCTTTGGATAATTTTTGTTGTATATCATGATTTGTGTTTCTTTGTTTCACTTAACATGTTTAAAGTTTTTATTTTTTATTTATTTGAAAACAAGTGACCACATTTTTTTTTGTTTTAATTTTTAAAATTTACGTTTCTTTTAAAAATGATTATATAGGTATTGATTTTTTTTTTAAGTAAGTCAAAAAATCTCTTTTAAAGTAGTTGGGCATTTTAATGTATTTTTATACGAGAGTTTTATCACATTGTATCATCCATATTCAAAATAGTGTGCTGGCAAATAAAGTTAGTATGAAAAGTAATTTAAATCTTAGTTAAGTAAAACTCATTTGAGAAATACATTTTCAGGAAAGGCTCTAGGCCAGGATTTTGCATCGTATAATAAACGGGGATAGCTGCTAGCTTACCTTAGAAGTACTGGTAGGCCATAGAACCCACCTCAGAAGACACATAAACAATATTTCGTCCAGTGTGTGGATTTCAAAAAGTTGTTGCTGTCAAGGCTGTTACGGTACCACGTATGAATCGGTGGCAACATCCATGACAGCAACTATACATTTGACAAAATATCAAATTTTTTGTGTGTGTTCTATGACCTACCTGTATATGAAGCTAAGGTAAGCTAGCTGTTATTCCCTTTATTCTACAATTAACAATTTTCCGGTTTTTTGTTGGTAATCAATATTGTAGAAGGGGTGGAATGGTAAATTTTCTATTTTTGTTTGTGCAATTACATTACAATTTTATTAGTCAAATTACAACGATAATTTATACTTTCAGGTATTTGAATGTACTTGTCAACATAAAAAAAGACATTTAGTTACATACCGGTACACGTTTTATTATCTCAAGTATAACTCCTTTATTAACTAGGAATAGATATGAATAAAAAAACTGTAGGCCTATAACTGAAGTGAATTATTAATGTGTATCAAACATATCGTGTAACACAGTACATGTCAAGATAACAATTCAGAATTTTCCAAAATCAACTTTGAGATTTTGTCATTATGAGTTCTTAGTTTTAAGAGTGAATCATATTTTTGTAAAAAGTAGATATGTAGATTTGTTATAAAAATATAGTTTTGACTGTTATTTTTAAGCCTAGATTGATTGAAAGCAACTTTGATGTAAAGATCTTGTGTTCTGAAATGTATTAAATAATTTATTGTTGTTCATTCCATTAAGGTACGGTATTTAAATGTGTTTTTATCCTTTGCATTGTAAGTTTTACTTTTGAACGATTATTGATTATCTTTATTGTTTGTTATTTGTCTTTGTAATTTAACCTGAATACACCATTTGTTAATTAAATCTAGTTTTTGTTTTTACTGTCCTAATAATTTAGACTAAGCTGTAGCATATGAGCATCGTACATCCCTGGTTCAAGCCCAGACTCCTACATCATCTTAAATCTATGGTTGGTTACCGCTGGCTTAGCTTTGCAAATTATACCATAATGGTACTTCACCATCTTTGCATAACTGCAAGACCAGAAATCTAGCCTGGCAACTGAGGTAGTTTGCTATTATAGGATAAAAAAATGGCTGGCTTCTTTGTTTTGTTTTGTGTGTTTTCTACGCCAATGGCATTTTTTAAATGAAGTTAATGTAAACACTTATAAGGGAAAGTGGTCCAAATCCATTAAAGTGTTGTGGATGTGTCGGGTGAACCCATCTCTGTTGCATTGAAGTCAGAGACGCTGAACACTAGGCTAGCAACACATCCCAAGATTTTCTTCATTGGTCTTGCTAAAATGGTTTTACGCTGTGTCATTTCAGTATCACTACTTTTACACAACTGCACTTGGTGGTTAAACTATTGTATCATGTATTGAGATTAAATGCAGGGGTAACTATGAACGCTTATACCACCATTATTGTATTGCCATGTAGAATTATTTAAACTAAATCAGCTACTATCTTACACGCTAGTGTTGTCTTGTCATAAAACTTCCCTACTGTTGTTCTTTTCTGTGCAATCAGCAACCAGAAGAAAAACACAAACAAAGTTTCAGTTAGAGAAAAATCCACATCTTATAAGCTACGTTCAAACGAAGCCAGTAGGCGAGCAGGTTACTTGCCTTAACTTGAAATCCATCAGAGGCAAGTAGCCTGGCTGCTATACTGGCTTTGTGTAAACGCGGCTTGCAGGTAACCTATCTTTCTACTGGTCTCATGTAAACGCAGCTTAATTTCTGGCCAATTGTGACTTAAAAGTCCAAGATGTCTAATTAAATACCCCCCCCCCCTGAGTCGCAAAGAAAATTAAGCTGCACAGCAATATATAATGAGCGGTCGGAAAAATGCTCATCACTAAACAAGCACTTGGCAATAAAACATGGCTACTCTTCTTGTACAATATAATTTATCACTCTTTACCCTATTTAGTAAAAGGTACAATCTTGGAGGGAATAAAAAATGTGTCACAAATTATCTGTTTTTCAGCTTTACTGCTTTTCCAATTTCCGATGACATATTTTCTATGATTGTAACATTATTTGCACTCCCATCTACGAGGATTAAGTCGGGCATTTCTCTAAACACGGTATGCTTGTATTCCACATGCGCAGGCCACACGTATTCTTCAAAGTAGCGAACTATGTCAGGAACTCTTCTATTCCGTTTCTTACGCCTCGTTTTACAAGTGTCTTTTCCCAGGACAAAGAAGAATTTTACATCACATCGACTTGTGATCGTTTTGTCATAGTATAACATGAATCCGTCGAGGAATAAAATTGATGATGAAGTATTGTTCCTGCAAAAGTTAATGAATTTACTACTTTCAATTCTTACATCATAAAATTCCTCTTGTTTGAACAACTCAGGTTCAAACGCTTGTTTGAACAATCGGAAATTAATAATAAAAATCAAAGGATCTATATATTAATAGGCAAGCATGTTTCTTCAAAACCTTTTTTCTCAGCTCGTATGCATTGTAGGGAAAATACATCCATACTGTTAGAAAGATATTTTGCTGTAGATGTGCAGAATCCCTTGACAAATTTAAATAGGCTCAAAAATAAGCGCAAAAAATGAATTTGAATTTTTCTTAATTAACATGGGCCTTATGGGTTGCTATGCTGGCGACAAAATAACAACGAAATATAAACAGAAAATAAAAAAAAATGGAAGAAATTCCAATCACATGTTTTATTTACAGTGTGGAGTAAAAAATAGAAAAGTCTGAACACTAAATATTTTTGGTCCGAGTTTTCGACCACGGGACGACCTCTAGTATTATAATAATCTCTTACATGAATAAAAAAATTATCTGCTTAATCACAATTCATCCTGGTAAATATCTTCATCCAACTAATTTTCCCTATCAAATATCTCTAACAAAAAACCCACCTGTTTACCTGGAAATCACTTCACTAACGTCTTTGTTCATCCGTTCCATATCTATTGAGCTCATCAACTCTCTATTTCTCCAGTTGAGATGGGGCAGTTGTACCTGTCTGGGATCGTCATCTTTGAGGTAGTAACTGTCCTGCTTCACCAACACAGAACCGACGTACTTGTTGTGTAACGCTCTCGTAATCGTGCTCTTTCCTCCACAAGTTACGCCCGATACACAGATTACTGTCCAAGTTTGTTCTGTGTCGTAAACCAAGTCTAGCAGATAAATTACGACAATAAAAATAACTGTGTCCATCATTATAACTGTTGGTTCAAGGATTGGATGTTGTGCTTTCAAATGTTGTTTGTAGAGACAGTGACTAATTGAGCTATAGCTGGGAGCGTAATCTGATTAAATTAATTGTTGAGCTATTTTTAACCGGTCAAACTGTGTGAGTTAATTGTTGGGTATGGTGATGAGTTTATTTTGTTTTAAAACTAAACTTAGAAATTAAATAGTGATTATTTATACTTCAAAAACTGTTTTGAAAGTGTGATGGATTAAATTAAATTTATTTAAAATGATAAATACTAAGGTATTTGTGACAATTTACAAAGTAATTATTAATTTATTTCTAAAAAATAATATTAAAATAATAATTCACTAAACCTGCATTAATATAACTAAATTGGGATCAACGTTTTCTGGGTTAAATTTAAAATATAATATAAAGGCGGATGAAATATTGGGTCACGTGCAAATTTAATATTGACATAAACATCTTGTTACTACGTCTTAATCATTTTTTTCTCTAACATTTATTTCACATAAACCTCTACATAAACTATTGCTATCAACTCCATGTATATCACCTTTGTTCAACAAACACCAACAATACGCAGGGTAAAAAATTAACATTTTCATTAACAATGTAAAAAGTTTTATTAGTCAGGATTTACCACTTAATTCTTTAGTTAACAGTTCAACATATTCCTGAACCACAGAATGATTGTCTCTAGTGCCAGGTATCAACTGTAGATTATCACTGATCGTGAGCGCGAGCTGGAGATGACGTTCGTACTCGGGCCACACGACTTGCTCGAAGTAGCCCGGCACGTCGGGCGGGTCGTAGGTCCGAACACTTCGCCGAGCCCAACACTCTTCCCTAGTCAGCTGGAAGAACAGCTGGTGTTGACAGACGGACGAGATGTAGCGGTCGGTGAAGATGAGGAACCCTTCGATTATAAGGAGCGGCAGCTTAACCTCGGACATAGGCCTGAAAAATGATTAATTCTCGTATAATCTTCGTTACCCTGGAATGGAAAATGAAAAAGAAATTGTGGTTCTTCACCAACATCATGGACCATTCTTAATTCCAAATTAATGAAAAAATTCCTTAATTTCAAATTTTTCTCGCAGTTTATGGAATTACTATGTAAAATCAGGTCCGAAATAAAAAATATAGTAATTTAGATGTGACATTGGATGGTTAAAATTTGTAAGAACAATGGGGGGATCAACAAGGGTTTAAGAGGTTAAAGCACTAAATACTGGCATTGGATCACAGTGTGGTTGTAGCCTAATAATGCACCACATAACCTACTAAAGGTCTTTGCTTTCTCCTTTACTCCAGTGCCTTTGGTCTTATCTAGCTGCGAACGTTTTGTCATGGATAAAACATATTCCCTTAGTAGATTCCTCATTCTTATAAAACAGCTGAAGCCAATTTTATTGTTAGTTCTGTCTGGTACACTGTAGAGGTCGTGTTTTGTTTACTTTTTGTTTCTTGCTATTTCAGTTATTTAAAACCTTGTTTCGCCAAATAAATCTAATCATAAACAATAACTCGTTCAACAGTAAAGCACAAATCATGAATTAATACTAGCAATCAGTGTCACCGGACATGTAGTAGACACGAAAAATGAGCTTACAAAATTAACAATGGGATGAGAAGTCTACTTGTGTTGGATGGACTATGGTTTTGTGCAGTACTATTAAATAATTCTGAGCAAACTAGACAAACTTAAGTTTGGGGTTATCAAAAAGTAATGTTTGATTATTTTTTATATTTTTAACTAACTTGTCTGAAAAATTATTATTTTCCGCAAATACATTTTGGGCTTAAAAGAGTAATTTTTATTATTTCTAAAAACATTTTTTATATTACCAAGGTATTTTAAGACTATCTACAATTTATTACAACTAATATACACCTAAGATTTTAGGGGTCTGACTTAGGGGAGGTACGATTGAGGCATTAGTTCAAAATTCCTCCGTGAACAGCGCTGTAGTAGAGAGCATTTTGGCAATGAAGGTTTACTAATCACAAAAATAGTTCTGTTCATAAAATAAAATTATAAATGCCTCAAATTCTATTTTATAATTTTTTTATTATAAAATTACTATCATAACCTAACCGAACTAACCAAACTTGCTGATAATGAAATAATATAACAAAAGTTTATTAATAGAAAAAATAATTCTGTTCATTAAATGAAACTAGAAATTGCTCAATTAAAATTGTATAATGACTTAATAATAAAATTAAACTGTCATAACCAAACCAAACCAACCAAACTTGCTGATAATGAAAAAAATCTTAGTCAAAAAGTTGATGATGCCAGCGGGATTCGAACCCGAGACTCTCAACATATCAGCCCGGCACGCTAACCACTAGACCACCGAGGCCGATGGCTGCAAGACGTATTGTTACGGTAATGGTGTTCCCTCAGCTAATGAGAAGCTCACAGCTCTCATCGTAAGCTCATCTATACCTCCCCTGAGTAAACTACAGATTTTAGGAAAAAAATATGAAATTGAAATTCAACTAACATAACATTTATTTCCTTTAAGAAAATACATCAATGGCTACGATAAATACATCATAAAAGTCACGATGATTGTATAAACTTATAACTATGGATCAGTTTTACTTTATACTATAGATTTTATATTATATGTAGCCTAGGTATGTAATGTAATAATTCTTCTTTTCACTTGATTGGCCAGTCAAACGGACAATGTTATTGATGTTAACAGCTCACAAACGGTTTCAACATTAACTGTCTCTGCCGCTCCCATGGCCAACCCTTTTTCCGTCTTTCACTGTGTATTAGCTCTTCAGCTATTTTGGCAGCTTCATCCCACAATCCTTTATTATACCAGGGCTTAAAGTTGTTTACTTTGTATTCCTACTAAAGAGAAATGAAATACAATTTGAAAGATTCTCCTGTTTTTAGCCAGTGCTGTTGGACATGCAAGTGGAAGAAACAGCTGATATAAAGTTTATTAGAAATGTTGTGCAAAAGATTTTGGCTATTACAGCTGTTCCTGACTAATTAAGATAGCTTAATCATTGTCATTGTTAAAGTTAATCATAAAAGTTAAAGAAATCACTTCAACAAAGTTTAAGCCCTAATTCAGCTGAGTTTCGTAAGACTCTTTGGTGCACAAAATAATTACACATTCACAACTTGAGCTATGTAAGAAGCGTCAAACGGCAAAAACCTTCTTCATGATCACTTGTTGCACATCTTCAGCCACTTTGTTCACAACGGATTGTGTAGTTCTTGTCCCGTCGATGAATTTCAAGTCACTATTGATGTTCAAAGCCACTTGCAAATTGCGTTCATACTCGGGCCATAAAATGTTTTCAAAATATCCAGGTTTGTCGTGCCAAAGAGAAGCCCAAGAGGGATCAGGAGGTTCTTTGGCCCTTTCAGCTCTCCGATTGCGACACTCTTCTGGCGAGATTGTGAAGAAATACTTGAGGTCACACAGCGAAGATAAGAACGGATCGGTGAAGATAAGATAGCCTTCGAGAATGAGAAGTGCGCCTCCAGGATTTCTGAGGAAATAATCACCAGGGAAGTGTTTCAATTCAATAAATTGTTGGTGAAAAGTTAAAATTCAAATTAGTCTCATTCATTGATAAAAATTGTCTCCACATTAAAAACGGCTTCAGGATGTAATTGGTACTGGAAAAAATTATATTTTACCAGTTTGGTAGTTTTTTTAGTATGGTTTGTTGATACTTTCCTGTTAAAGGGAACATTCATTATTATCGATGATTTTTTTCGATTCATCGATATTCTATTTTTTGATCCGATATACCGATATTAATGAACTAGATGTCAGCTGACAACTACGATAAGTTAATATTGTTCAGTATCAACAAACAATTTAAAAATATTATATTGAAATGAAACTGTTCTAAACTAACCTTACCTAACCAACCAACTTGCTGTAACATTTCCAAATCCCGTTTCATATTACTTACATACATGCCTTTTCTGTTATCAAACAAAATTTTGAAATGGTAGCCCTACAGCAAGTTTGGTTAGTTATGTTAGGTTACTTTAGAACAGTTTTACTTCTGGATCCACATAATAATTTTGCCTAAACAAGATCAGTTGTCAATTTATAATTTAAATGTGTTTGCAGATATTAAAACAGAAGGCATGGATCGTAAAGGAAAACAAAAATATCGATTGATATATCGACAGCAATCATATTGATAATAATGAATGTTCCCTTTAACAGGAAAGTACCGGTTTGTTAATAAAAAGTAAAATTGCACCATTATTTGATGCTTAAGAGTATATAGCACACCTCCTCTAATACAAGGTTGGTATTAAATCACTGAAGTAAAAACTCCGCTAATCTGGAAAATCCTATTATCCTACATCAGTATAAAGGTTATTGATTTTTTACTGAAAACCTCTTCCAGGTTTATTTGTCTACGCAATCAGATGAGGTTGAACCGAAAACCCTCACTAAAAAAAAAGAACATGTACAAAAAGCTACAACGGCTAAATTTAGCAGGCTGTTTTTTGGTACCGGTAAGAACTACTAAAGTCCCGAACACACTAGATTAACGAATGTCTAACCTACCTGGTCAAAATCTCTCGTATATCGCTGACCATCCTATCCATATCCAACGCAGTGGCGATCTCCCAGTTGATGTGGTTCAGTTCTGGAAGGTGCGTGTGTCTTGGGTCGTCGGGCGGCAAGAAATAGTCGTCCTGACTAACTACAGTTGCGTCTGGAAACTCAGCTCGGAGTGCCGCAGCAAACGTAGTCTTTCCACCACAAGTAACCCCAGATACACCCACTACCGTCCACTTCTTCTCACTCATCGCTGCAAATATTAAAATGCTACTAAAAACTATAACACGCCACAAGTGAAATTCACTACAAAATTTAACTCCCTCTTGTTTTAAAAACATTTAATTGGATTTCTGATGTTTCAGAGTTCAGCCCGATAGTGTTTGACTTAAGTGGTTTGCTAATGTTGTAAGATAACGTAATGGGTTTAAAACAAGTTGATTCGTTTATTATTCAACGACTGATTGTTCTGAATTTTTTAGTTCATGATCTTTTTTTTATTTACCATTTTTTAAATGTTTACAGTATAAAAGTAGGCCTAAATATATCGGATAGTATTGAAAAACATTTGATTTACCGTAGGCTATTATGTTAATATTATAGTGCCTACAAGTAAAATTTGAATCCAGAAGTTTCTTTGGTGGCTTTTATCGAAGAGCAAGTTCAATCTTTACAAAAAACTAAATGTTCAAAATAGCAATTAGCGTAGGCTAATTTAAATAGACACTTAATAATGAGGATTTAAAATCAAGTAAGTGTCAGTACTATTTTTATAGACCTAGACAAGGTAGGCTACTTTTATTTGAATGAACATTCAAAAATTATTATAACTTACCGGTACCGTATATAAAAAGGCAATAGGTACGGATAATTATTTCCAAACAAATCTCAGTTAAAAACTAACAGTAAATACCATTAAAAACAACATTGGATTAAATTTACACAGTCAACATTTATGTACCCAAAAATTGGAAAAATAAAATAAAGTAGCCTGGTTCTCCCAAACCTAAAAATATAGGCCTACCCTATGACACAAAAAATATGACTACCAGTTTAATTTCATCAACAACATTTAGATAGGCTCCGTTATGTTATCAAACACCAGAGTCTCTGGGTTATCAATGTCTCTTGCAACACGTTTTTAAACAAATTAGTGATATAGCAGCCTAAATGTTAATATTTTAACAACCAATTCTAGCTGTGTATTGGCGTGATCATTCATATAACCATACTCAAAAAAAAATCCAACTATTTCATTGCAAAATGTAACTTAAAATACTTTTTTGTTAAAAAATAATATATTCCTTTAATAGTCACAATCTATTGATGAACTTGAAGGCAAAAAATAGTTGTAGAAGCAAAGTAGGTACTGGTAGCCTTGTGTAAGAGAATCAAGATTACAAGTAGGGTATAATAATCTATTATCTGCAAAAACCTCAAGAACTCAGGTTTCTACTCTGGTGATTCTAAAGTCTACTGTGGGAATCAATTAATCTAGGCCTACAGCGTTTTAAACTAAAGTAACATTTTTGAGCTTAAGAAATATCGTTAATAACCAGGCCTAGTTAACCTACCTAAAGTTTGAAAACAAATACTCACCAGTCAACTGAATATTCCAAAATTGCTAGCAAAATGTCTACACAAAAAGCACAGTTTTTGTCACCGAGTATTAATTGCAACAACGGTAAACACTATCAATGAACCGACAAAAATAGTTCCACAAATGGCCGGTATGAGTAAAGCATATCTGACGGAGGGAAAGAGCGCAGCAAGTGACGGATAAAAAGGGGCGACTATCACCCAGAGAGTGTAGTACGTAAAGAAAGCGACGGAACAAGCTAGCAGTAATGATCCATAGGTTGATGAGTTCATTAGTTCACTCTAGTCTGTAACGTATTCTTGTTAAATCATGCCAAGGTCTTCTTCAGAACGCAGTTCCTTCTAAAAGTTCATTAACGCACTCTAGTCTACAACGTATTCCCGTTCAAACATGGCAAAGTCTTCTTCTGTAAACACAGTTCCTTGAACGCTTTCCACCATTTCAGGTTCTTCCTTACAGCGGCTGCCTCTTTTGAAAATCTGAAATTAAGGACAAAATTACTAGTTACTTTGATCATTGAAGTAAAATTGTAATTTTGTGCTGATTGTTTGGTCAAATCCACAAAATTGCATCTTTAAAAATTGCTTTTTTGATCAACTATTTAATGTGACATTGGTAGAGGGAAGTATGACAAAAATAAAATAAAAAACAAGTAAAACATACAGTCAAGTGCTGTGGAGTCTTTATATTCCAAACTGAATTAAAATTCGAAGTACCGGTACATAGATTCAAATATTTTTTAAGTAAGAGTAGAAGTAGAGAGCTGAATGATTGAATCAAACATGCACAATAGGTTTATAGCAGCAGTTAATTTAAAAATGTTGTGTTTTGATTACAGTTTTAATTTATGAAAACTTAGGCCTAATTACATTGACCTGAAAACTAAAACTTATGTGTAAAAAAGTATGTGTAGGCCTATAGGCCTAATATTATGTTACAAAAAACACATATTTTTCTTTGCTACATGCAATTGCTTGAAAAAAAAAGTTAGCCTGAAATAGCATGTTCATAATAGCAGTGGGGATTCCACTGACGTTTAAGATCATAAATCAACAAATAATATCTTACCGATGTGGTTTTCTCCTTATTAACTTTGTTTTTACTCAATGCTCCTAACTTTCGGAGATTGTCCTTTGTGTGGTTCCTTCTTTTATTGTACTGTTTACGGATCTGGTCAATAGTTTTAACTGATTTTGTTTTCTTCAAGGACAATCCTTTATTAAAATTCAAATTATTTCCTTCTGATGATTTTTGAGTCTTTTTCAGATCTGGTTTGCTCTTTTTAGCTCCTCTATCTAAAAAAAATACATTAGAAATGAGAGATTTTGGATCTAACTTGCACAAAGTTAGTAGGTAGCACATTTGCTATGACGTGATACCATGATTTAGGTAAATGAGTCACTATCTGATATCTTATTGCGATAAAATCACTAGAAAATTATAGACCTGTACATTACTCACATTAACTTCCTCTGTACACTGTGGTCTCTCTCAACTTATTAACAAGTAGCCTACTAGAATACAACGAATACAAATAACTTAGTCCTACATAATGCCTAAGGACCATGCTAAACAAATTTGAAAATTAGTTTATTTATAAATAAAAAAATAGTAAGAAACCTCCTCAAACAACAGTCTGAAGTTTTTGGTACCTACTCTACAGACACGTTTCTAAGAGTCTTCAGCGAGTATTTTAACTTTATTCACTCAACAGAAAAAAAATATCATAAATTATAATTTCATTATAAAATCAATATATTGGAGATGGAGAATCCAGTTAAATTCTACGCCTCCCCGTTGTAAACAACTTGTGGAATGCAGTACCTACACAGCATACCTAGAATCACCGAAATCGATTAGTAGAACCTTCTGGAGCTTTTGACTTCCCTATGCATGAAGACAAATCAAAACTGGATAGGCCTAGATCAATCGAGAATATGGAACTTATATAAACTTTTTTTGACCAAGTACAGTATTAGATGTAGGCCCAACCTAGGCTATAATCGTCAAGCACCCAAGGCTAGAGAAAGAATTTGAAATAATGACACGTCTTAAAATAAGGGGTAACCTACAGTTTCTTAACTGGGATACCCTAATACTTATTGATTAATAATCAATATTTTAAACTATAAATTATAAAATGAAACTGTAAAGCACGGGTCACACTAGGCTAACATCAGCTGCACATAGATGAAGCCGCTACTGTCAGCTTAGTGTGCACAAAATTTGCAGTTGACACAGCCAGCTGGTGAGCATTTGTCAGCGGCTGGCGAACTGAAGTCAGACATGTTCAACTTTTGGTAGCGAGGCAGCAACGATACATAACTAATTCTGGCGATTCCTGGAATGTATGTATGGTAACATTCGTAAAACATTTTTGTATGCTTCTGATTCATCTTCTTTTAACTTTGGCAACCACCTTAAAGAAGCTCCTAACCATTCCTTTTTTGTATCCATGGCCTGGCTCACTAACCTTTCTTCTTGCGGTTAAGCATTTTTAAATGAAGTTCTTTCTCTGTCACACACATCCTCAATAATCGATAAGTACTGGTTTGTGAGGACCCAGGACGACATGGTGACAAGAATTGAGCTATAAACTAATTAATAACTAACTTTAACTGATTAAAGTAGTAATTTGTAGCATAGAAATAAATGAGCTTAAGTGATAGTAGAAGCAGGTTTTTTATTTCTTACTATTCGTGCTTGTAGGCTGTTTCTTCAAATAAGTAGGAACGTCAGAGAAGCAGTTTACAGTGAGTTATTGCTAAACGTCACAGCTATAAGTTACTTTCTCATTACCTTATAACCTCCTCTTCGTCTTTGACCAGCCAGGGCCGGATAGACAGTAACAAACATAAAAAATAAATAATAAAAATAACTTCTTCAAAAGAACATATATTTACAACTTTGCTTTAGTTAGATGATGGTGGGCAGTCAAGAATTTGTGCCTCCTCAAAAAACTCGTCAACAGAGTAGTACGCGTATTGCAGGAGGAGCTCCTTAATCTTTTCCTTAAATATTCGAGTCTCTAGCTCTCTCAGGTAAAGTGGCAGCGCATTGAACATTTGTACTGCAACTGCTAAGAAGCTATCTCTTGTCAGAGACAGTCTGTATCGCTGGGTATTCAGCTTCGGTGCTTCTCTAATGTTGTGAGAGTGGAGCTGACCTCGGATTTCAAAATTGTTCAGGTTGGCTCTGATGCGAACAACACAGGCAAGAATGTATTGGTTACTTAGACTGTTAGGATGTGTAATAATCTAAAAAGGGGTCTTCATGGCTTCAGCCTCCTGCTATTTGTTATTACTTGCAGTGCCTGTTTTTGTAAGAGAAGAACACGACTGCTGTTAGCGGCATGTCCCCAGATTTGAACAGGTACCGTACGCACATGGCTGTTAAAAAGCGAAAAATAGTCAATAAAAATAAAAAAAAATAAAAATATAAAAAAATATAAAAAAATAAAAATAGGCACTGTGCAGTTATCTGGAGTTATTTCTCAAGAGGAAGATTACTCTGATTAATCTCACACAGACAGAATTATAATATGAGGGCCCCACACATCCTTAATAAGTTTATCACTTAACTTAAGTATTCCTTAACGAGGTCCCATGGACGCTTATCACCAGGGGCTAACTAGCAGCCTAGTGTGACCCATGCTTTATAAACAAACCTGACCTTGCTGATAATGAAAAAAATTAGTGAAAGTTTACTAATCAAATCGATATTTTCAATCGATATTAGGGTAGCCTAGTAAAGAAAATGTATTCAAAATTAGTACAATGATGCCTACCTGCTGGTGAATCCCCAAAAAGTTCAAGGGATTGTTTCAAAATGGATTTCGACATAACCTCAACAGATCGTTTATCATTAATTCTTTTATAATTAAATTTGATCAACTTATTTAATAAACTCTATTTTGAGTGAAATTGAAATTGTAAGTAGGTAGCCCGTAAAGTAAACAAAATTATTTCAATTCATTCACGAATCGTGTAACCTCAATAACTTAGGCCTACGGCACTCACTAGTCACTAACCTTCAAAATTGAAGGAAATTCAATTCTCACCTCGGCTCGGTTTCATTTCATTCATTTCTTACTTTTTTTCTTTCTAACCTAAGCTATATAGTGTACGACGGCGCTGAAGGGCCACCAACTATAAAAAAAATATTTGTCTTCATCTCTGAGAAAAAACTTAATTCTGAGATTAAAGTTAGAGCGCGGGAAGTCGGCTTCCTCTCTGAGAAAAAAGTCAGAATTCTGAGATTAAAGTCAGAATTTAACTTGTGGGCGTTCCTCTCTGTGAAAAAAGTTAGAATTCTGAGATTAAAGTCAGAATTTAACTTGTGGGCGTTCCTTGAATTGGACGTTCGTCTACTGCCTAACGAAACGGCGAATTGAGCACCGAAATGGACACTAATGAAATAGAAGCCATTTTGGTGATTATTTTAGAAATGAAATGAAATTAAATGATTTATTGTCGTTAGATCAGGCTCTTGGCTCAGGCAGTAATATAGCTTTACTTTGCTTGTAAATATAATACTGTGTTGAGTATTAGATTTACATATCATTCATCCTCAAGAAAAATTCAAAAAATCTTTTTTTCCGTTTTTTATTCAATCTCCGTTTGAATTTTCAATCAAACAAGTTTAGGTCATTAATGATTATATGCAACCCAGCAGACGCACAGGCAGAGTTTGTCTATGTCTGCTGATTCCACAAGACCATTCAATTATAACTAGCTACACAATTATAAGTTTATTATGTTCGTTTTGCTAGTTTTAGTATAATTCAACATTAAGTTCACAACTTTGTTATTTCTTGTTTTGTTTTTGATTGTTTCATGTTGTAAACTTAATATTATAGTAAAAAGGTAATATTGTACTTTGTAGCAAATTTGACGGAATAAATCATTCATTCATTCATTCATTCAAAAGACAGTTGAAACGCATTTTAAAAAGGTTTAGGTTTGTGTAGGAGGATTAATTAGTCCTCAATTGAAGAGGTGAAACATTTCATTATGAATGAGCTTAACTACTCAGACCTAGGCCTAAATGGATACAGCTGGATGCATTTGAAATGTATCCAATATGGCTTTGTAGTAAAACAAAACACAGTTAGTTCGATTCTTAAAGCACTTGACCCTGTAGGACTTGACCTCAGGACCCGCAAACGTTTACGTCGACGAAAATACAAGAACAAAGGTCCAAAGTATCTTTGGCATTTAGATGCATATGATAAGTTAAAGCCATTATGGCATATGTGTCCATAGTTGTAAAGACTGAGTTTGAAGAGACTATAACTTATTCTACTCATTCACTCAGTCAATACTACTCAACTCAAACTCAAGACAAGACTAGCCTAGCGCTAAAGGGACGGGTAGACAGAGAGCAAAGAGTTAAAATCTGACTTAAATCTCAGAGGGGAACGCCCACTAGATCTAGTTGTAATTTCTGACTTTAAACTCAAACAAAACTCTGACTTTTTTCTCAGACAGGAAGCCTACTTCCCGGACTTTAATCTTAGAATTCTACGTTTTTTCTCAGAGATGAAGAAAATATTTTTTTTATTCAGTTGGTGGCCCTTCAGCGCCGTCGTAATAGTGGCTATAACAACCAGCGACCACAGAATTAAATTTTAATTTTAAATTTTAATTCTGTGGTCGCTGATAACAACCAACAGTACACGCTTGGGTAGTGAATTGGATTGAAGTAGAGCGTAGAGCGACCAGCAGCAGCTGAGCATTTTAGAAGGAAACGAACGGCATAAAAACATGTCAATGTTTGTTTTGTTATGTTTGTGAGTATTTTCTGTCACTGTCAATTCAATTTTCTACATTACAGAAACGTGGTTATCGTTATGTTTAGAGGTTAAGTTGAAAATTGTAACTTTTTTATTTCTGTTTTACTCTGAATTGATTGGTTAAACGTGCTGAACGCCTCTACTAAGTAGTAAAGTGTGATGTGTAGGTTATCCTTGCATCTTTTTCGAAACCCCTAGAACATTTTATAACCTAATCGTAGATACATTTTGTAGTATGGCTCCTGTTAAACAAAAACGATTGAACAATGGTGATAGTTTTGATACGAAAAAGGAAAGAAAGAAATGGAAAGAGCAGAAACTCCTAAAGGCTGCTGGATTCAAAAAAGGTGTCGACCATGTAACAAATTCTGAAGATGTGGTAAGTTCTCCTCCAACATGTTCTTCAGTCGCGGATGCTTCTGAAAACTTTGAATCTACACACACGATTTCGATAGCCGTTCCAGGTTCAATCTTGAGCAATGCTCAGACTGCAGAGTTAAGAGCTTATGTTGCCGGCCAAATTGCTCGTGCAGCTTGCATTTACAGGGTTAGTGAAGTGATAGTATTTGACGATGTAGGAAGCCAAAACAACAATGCGATTCGCAAGCCAGGTGAGGATCGTTGTGCTCAATTCTGTAGACTATTGCAGTACCTGGAATGTCCTCAGTACCTTCGCAAACACTTTTTCCCTCTTCACAAAGACTTGCAATATGCTGGAATTATGAATCCTCTTGATGCCCCTCATCACTTGCGCCAATCCGATGACTTTCCCTTTAGAGAAGGAGTTGTTTCCCATCACTTGTTGAAGCAAGGTAAAGGATCTTTTGTTAATGTGGGTTTAATTAGAGACGTTGGTGTGGACCGTGCATTAGTCCCTGACATTAGAGTAACTGTGAAATTACTGCCTCAAAAGGAAGGTACTAAGAAGAGGTTTGGTGTTATAGTTCCTCCTACTCAACCTACTGAAGAGTTGGGAGTGTACTGGGGCTATAAGGTAAGATTCGCTCCCTCTCTCAGTGACGTATTTACTAAAGCGCCATATGAAGATGGTTATGATTTAACAATAGGAACTTCTGACAAAGGGAAACCCATCGAGGAGTGTGAGGACTCAGAATTCATTGACTTTAAACATATGTTATTAGTTTTTGGTGGTCTCGCTGGATTGGAAGCAGCTTTGGAATGTGATGAAAACCTAGATATAGACGATGTTACTCTGTTGTTTGACAAATACCTAAACACTTGTCCCGACCAAGGATCTCGTACTATTCGTACAGAGGAAGCCGTGTTAATTTCTCTAGCTGAAATAAGGAGATCAATTAAAGCAGCCAAAAAGGTTGTTAATGTTAAGTAAGTTGGTCAAGGTAACTTGTTATGAAAGTAAATACTAACTTACACTAACAAAGTAAACCTTTAATAAAATCAGTTGAGCAAAATTTGTACTTCATATAATCTTTGAATGTTGATGCAAAGAATGATCTGACATGCTTTTTGTCCTTTGGCTAAATATTATTTGTTTCTGTGATTTCATTACCTACTTTTTATGGGCCATAATATCTACTAGTCGTGCGAGATGAGCTACAATGAAGGTTAAGTTAGGTTTAATTGCCTAAAGTAAATGCGGCTTATTCTATAAATTAGTATTTTGGCAAATAATAATAAATGGGAAAGGTTTTTTTTACTCAAAAATAAAGTTGTAAGAATGTTTTTGTATAGTTTGTATTTGATTATAAGAAAAAGAAATGTATGAAAATTATTTAGGCTAGTGTACAAGCTGCTATTTCAATCAAATTCCATGGAAGGACTATTTGTAGGTTTTGTTAAGTAAAATATCCTAAAATGAGTCTAGTAAGCCCTGTTATATGTTAAATGGGTTGTTTTCTGGTTAATAAAAAGGTTTGTTGTTACATTACAATTTTCTACATGGTTTTATTTAGTCCTTTTGGTCTTTGTTTCCGCCAAAGATTGTTAGTACAAACTTATTTAATGATTTATTCTTAACGATTTTGTCTTGCCTTTCAGATTGCAGCAATCAAACATAGTAAAAAAATGTAGGCCTACAAGCTTATTGTTAAATTCAGATTTTTATAACTAATCTATTATTTCTACCATTATCTTGAATTATAATTTAGATTTATTGCTTTAAGTCTACTGATTTGTTGTAAATATTTTGTTATTCTAAAACTCACATACTAAAAGGGAAATATTTTCTTAGTTTTGTCACCATTATTTAAAAACTGTTTCCTATCAATAAAACTTAATAAATGTACAAACATTTTTCTAGGTTGACAATGAATTGTCAGAGAACACATTTTGAATCTTATGTTGTTGTCAAAAATTTTTGCATTTCAACCTCCTACAAATCAATAGGTACTAAACGGAATTCATATTTTGAAAAAATTGGCGATTAAAAACTACTTAGTTGTCTCAAGGTTAAGTAAATAAATGGTCCTGGTTAAAAGAGCTTGTCTTAGGCCCGATTTCACTAAATTCACGCTAACGATGGTTTAGTTAATCTTCGGTTAAAACTAACTGATGATTTAAACCACAGTTAAGGAAATCTGGTTTCACCAACAAAAACGCGTCAAAACTAACGCTGGTTTTATAAACGAGAGTTTAGAGTAATATCCAGGTGGCGGTGGCAGTGAACTGTCATAATACCTGGCTGTTATTGGAGCAATAAGTAAACATAACCTAGAAAATAAATTGGCGTTTGTGAGGTAATGAAAACAAAACTGGAGACAGCAAGATTACAAGTATAGAATAGATATGAATACTAGCAGAATAAACGGTATCAGCATTCTGACACATACTTTCTCCCATAAGATTGTCAACAACCTTTCTCATGAGTAAGCGGTGAGAGTAAATATACGGAAATGGGATTTGTACAATTTTCTTCAGAATTTAAAGGACTATAACATACTAAATTTTTATCAAAATCGTTCTAGCCAATTTTGGGAAAATCCGATTTTCCGTTATTTTATGGGGATTTTTATGGGAAAATAACATAATTTACCATAACTTTTGAACCGTAATTTTTACAGAAATGGGATTTGTACAATTTTGTTTAGAATATAAAGGACTATAACATACAAAATTTTTATCAAAATCGTTCGGGCCATTTTTGAGAAAATCCTATTTTTCCAGTTTTTTATGGGGTTTTATGGGAAAATCTCCATTAAAAATAAAATTTTCTAAAAAATGGCAAAAACTATCAAAATTGTAAGTATCATAACATACTCTGTTAAATCAAAACCGGATTTTTGTCTAAAATCCTATTTTTCGTTATTTTATGGGGGTTTTATGGGAAAATAACATAATTTACCATAACTTTTGAACCGTAATTTTTACAGAAATGGGATTTGTACCATTTTGTTCAGAATTTAAAGGGCTACAACATACTAAATTTTTATTAAAATCGTTCGGGCCATTTTTGAGAAAATCCAATTTTTTCAGTTTTTTATGGGTTTTTATGGGAAAATCCCCATAAAAAATCAAAATTTCAAAAAAATGAAAAAAAAGCCTGGAGATACCACGGATTAGAACCTACATACCAAATTTCATTGAAATCGGACCACAGGTGTAGTCCCTAGCTCTGTACACATCCAGACACACAGACACACACACAGACACACAGACACACAGACACACACACACACACACACACACACAGACATCACTTCGAAAACCACTTTTTTGGGTCCAGGGGGACCCAAAACGAATATATCCACTCAAAACTCAAACTCGAAAATTTTGACGAAAACAATACTTTCTCCATATACTATGGTATAGGGGGAGAAAGTAAAAATTACAGTTTAGGTTTAGTTATTGTCCTTAATGACGCCCGATCGAACTAAATTAATCGTTTGACCGTAGGGTTAGGGTTCCTAACCTAAAAGGAAAAGGAAAAGGGAGCCTATTTTTTTTAACAAAGAAAAAAGGAATTTGATCATGTAGGTAGAAAAACACTTTTTTCAGTCGGGATAAAAGATTGGCTTATAACATACCTAGAAATACGCCTTTACTAAAAACCTTGTTGGATAACTTATAGAAAAATTATAAACGTTTTGATAATTCATATCTAGTAATATAATTAATTTTGTCTTGGTTAAATCATTAACCATTTCTCTTATCCACCTAGTTCAGCGAACAACATAGGAAACTCTTCATCATTATCACTTCAAAAGCTAATTCGTATCGTATGCTCTTCTAGCATTTGGCCTTTCCATATAAACTTAAAGCTTAAAGCCAGCTGATATTTACGTTTGTTTTATCTATGTATTTACTTAACGAAAGATTAAAGAAGTTAACCGGTCAAAATTGGGCAGTTAATTATCTAACGACGGTTTAGTCTAAACTAGCTCTAACGGCGAGTGGTGAAATCCGATGTCGTCAGTTAAGAGCTAACTGCAGTTAGAGCAAGGCTTAACGGCGGTTTAAGTTTTTGGTGAAATTGGGCCTTAGTCAGTAAAAAACTACACAGGTCATATGACTTGCATTCATGTTTGGTTTAAAACAACATCCTGTGCGTCCCTGACTTAATTGGTGATATTACTCTCTTTCAACAGTGTATCATCCTGTTGTTACAAACCTTCTGTGAAGGCAGTAAAGACATTTTGACCAAACTATTGATTGCACAATTTTATCAATATAAGTGGTTTAGATACCTGTATTCATACCGCAACCATTTGGATTCAAAAGAAATACAGGCCTGTATTATATTTAGTAATCTGGAGGATATCCATATAGAAAAACTAATTGTATCAACAATATCATGAATTAAAATTAATAAATCTGATGATAAAAAAATTGACATTTAGACTTGACAACTTGTATTTGAGTCTTACAGTTGTTGGGTCACAACTGAGCTGTTCAAAATTTGATTACTTGTACTTGTGACGCTAACAGAGTAAACAAGCACGGGACAACGGACAACGGTCCGCTTTCAGCCAAGGTATGGTGTACTATATTGTGACATGCAAGGAAAGGCCTCGGCAAGCACTGTACGGACATCGCAGAAGGGTCTTCCTCCATAATGAGCGTTTTAGTACATGGAGGGACTTTGCCCTAACACCAGCGACTAGTGCTAGACACCACACAAATAAGAACACAGCAGCATTTAGTTTAGTTGTATTATCTTGCGTGTTCTGTTTTCCCATATTCGAGCCTTAAAAATCTTTAGGTAACTCTGATATTTGTTTTGATCACTTTTCAACTACGTTCTCCCATCCAGTAACTCGGTATTATTTCATCTTCAACACACATCTCCTACAACCTCTACATTTCAATTTCAACCTCATAGGATTAAACCGGAGAATAATTGCATTCATAAAACTTATAAGTGTAAATCCAAAACCAAAAGACTGACTTATGTTGCATAAATTAATTGGGGTTTTGGGGAATAAAAAAGGAAAGTTTGTATACAAAATATATATAATATTTTTAAAAACTTTTATAACAGTCTGTATACACGTAATAAATCAGTAATAGTAATATCAAAATTAGCATAAGATTTAGTAGATATTTTTAAGAAGAGCTATTTTAAGATTAATCTTCACTTGTAAGATAGTAAACTTGGTCAAGGTCAGTCTTCCGTTTCATGCATCTGAAAAATACAAGATAGATAACATCACCATATTCATTACAATAATTAAACCAGGTGTACAATGCAGTTGTCTGCTTGCAATATTGAGCGGATGAGCTAGCATATTAATCCAATGCTTTTCTAAAGTCAATGCTACATCTGTTTCTCATAAACGTGATGCTGGTCACTTGCAGTATCCAATGTTGATGATATATTTTTTTCACATAAATGGAATGTCTGCATGCAGGAACCAATGTCTATGTTTCATCTGGTTCACATAAATTAAATGCCTACTTGCACACTGGATATGTTCAATGAAATGCAGTTAATATTTTTTAATATTTAGGCTACTTAGGATGGCTTTTACTTATTAGATTTCAACTGGGTCTAGTTTACTAAAATTGCAACTATTAATTAAAATTAATCAATTAAAATTATGAATTAAAATTAAAACTAATGCAGCAATAAATGTTGCCACCATTGAATTTAAAATAAGAAAATCATTTAAAGCATACAAAAAGAATTACTACCGTATTATTTTGTTAGTTTCTTCATAATCTTGCCAAACGGCTAAATCATTATCACACACTTTAAAAAAAAGTTTTTTTTTAAAGTGTGTGATTAGTTTATTTTTTATTATTTTATCAGTTTAGGTTTTAAGAAAACAAACATAATTTTCTTCAAAGGAAAAGTATTTAAAAATCACCTTTAAAGTTTAATCTTACCTCTCTAGCTGTTGGTGAAGTTTGGAGATCGTTTCTCTGTAAATGCTTTCATTCCTTCTTTCTGATCATCCTGAAAAATTACAATTGTGTTTAATTCTTTACAATTGGCTATTGTTTATTCACCAAACTTAGATTACCTTTCAAACCTTTCCTTTCCTCACAAATTTGTTGAAATATGTTTGTGACATATGAAAGTATTAAATACTTCTCATACAATAGCGTATAAAACTCCTCTTCTGATATCTGAACCTATTGGCATGAACAGATCAACACGGATTTTTACAGTTTAACCTATAGATTGTATAAATCACAGAAGGTTCATATTTCAATTAGTAAAACTACAGTCATTAAATATGGTCATCAAATCTATAGCAAAACCTCAACACTAAGCTCTTTATTTCTCCCACCACCTGTGAGTTCTACGCGGCAAATGCCGCTGTCGTGGATCCAATAAATCAGCTGCCAGACAACTACCACCGAGCAAAAAACCAGCCTTAGCTGGGTTCATTGTAGCCCATACTGCAGTGTATTAAGTTTGTGTCAGTTTATTATTTTATTTTTTGGGGTCAACCATGACAAAAATATTCACGGAAGAAACCACTATAATACTATAGAGAGGTCTAAGTGTCTTCAAGAGACTTTAGCTCTTACAAACTGATGGCAGCAACAATTTTAGGATTTTATAAGGTAGGTGAATGATTAGTAAAGATATCAAACTTGTTTTTCATCAACTTACTGTGGCAAAAGTTCCATAAAACAGTTTCTTCTCCACTCTCAAACCCTCTTGGAGAGTCGTTTCAAAAGCTGTGAAACACAGAATTGTTATTAAAACCTTCTCTTAACCTTCTATTAAACCTTCTATTAAACCTTCTATTAAACCTTCTATTTCAACTGTTGAATGTGTTTTTGTTGGTGTGAAGATTTCTGCGAGATCTTACCTAATTTGTTCTGCTTACATTCCGCCAAATGCAAATGTTCTCGATTACGAGGAATTTTCTTTGGCAGTTGAAGAGATCCTTTCTAACCACTTCTTTGAAGGAATAATCATCACTGGTGACTTCAACCAACCTACAACTGACTGGACTTCGTTTGAAGGGGCACGTGTGAATAAATCGTCTCAAGTGTTGATTGACCTTGCTTCAACTTTCAATCTCAACCAACTGAATACCACATCTAACAAACGAGGTGTTACTCTTGATTTGATATTTTCATCTGTATCATACTGGACCGTTGAGCAGGCTCTTGACATTCTAATCCCCCAGGAGGAAGATCATCCGGCACTATCAATGGCTATATCCATCCAAGACCAGACCTCATCTACTGGTATCCAGTTCATCCCTGACACTAAACGCTGTGACCATTTGATGGTATACGATTGGATTTCTAAGCTCTCATATCCTACGACCAACATAGAGTCTGCTGAAGTGGATTTTCAAGCTTTTTGTTCTGATCTTACGAATGCCGTATCTACATGCAGTCCCTTGATGAAGCTTGGTAGATCACCGTTTCCTCGATGGTTCTCAGTGGACTTGAAGCGCCTAATTATCTTGAAGAAAAAAGCCCATAAAAGGTACAAGATAACATCCAGCCAATCCCATTTAAGGAATTTCAATCTACTTCGTGCCCAATGTTCCATTATGGTCGCCCAGTGTCGTCAAAGGCATCTTGATCGAATGGATACTTCCATTAGAAACAACCCTAAATGTTTCTGGAATTTCGTCAATGAACAGAGGAAGACGTCGTCTAGTCCTAATTCAATCCTTGTAAATAATTCTGTTGTTGTGGAGCCAGTCAAAATCTCACACGCCTTTGCTGACTACTTTTCGTCAACTTTTACTGAGTCAGATGAAGATCCTCCAAACCTCGACTTTGTAAATTTCAAGACAATATCATCATGGCGCATCTCTGCCGAAGCAATTGAAGAAAAACTCTCAAAGCTGGATCCTAACAAAGGGGCTGGTCCGGACGGCATCCCCCCATCAATACTGAGGTCTTGCAGCACTGTTATTTCTCCTCATCTCGCCATCTTCTTCAACATTTTCTTCTCTAATGGAATATTTCCCCAGTGCTTAAAATCTGGCTTTATTGTGCCTTTATTCAAATCTGGCAACCGTGCAAAACCAGAAAATTACCGACCGGTCGTCATCTTAAATGCGATAGCTAAGGTATTTGAGAGCTTAGTACTTGATGGCCTCGATTTTGAATTTAAAACACTGATCTCGCCTCGTCAACATGGATTCCGCACTGGGAGATCTACTACAAGCAATTTGGTCGTTTTCCAAAACTATATTACTTCGGCCTTCTCAAGAGGCAACCAAGTCGACTGCATCTATCTGGACTTCGCTAAGGCGTTCGACAGGGTTAGTCACAAGCTTCTCCTCGCCAAACTTGAAGGCCTAGGCTTTGTTGGACCTCTGCTTCAGTTTATCAGATCCTACCTTCAGGGACGCTCTTTAAAAGTTAGATGTGGGACTGCTTACTCTTACCCCATCCACGTACCATCTGGAGTGCCACAAGGATCTCACCTCGGACCCTTTCTATTCAACTTATTTATAAATGACATTGGCGACACCTTGGATTCTGAGTTCCTTCTGTTCGCGGATGATGCAAAACTTTTCTTAGAGATCTCCAGTGCTCAAGACTTCACTCGTCTTCAGTCATCAATAAATGCAGTGATGAATTGGTGCATTGACAATTCAATGAGTCTGAACACCTCTAAATGTGTCGTTATGTCCTTTTCTCGCAGTCAGAACACTCATGAGCATGGCTATTTTCTTGGGGACGACCCTCTGCGTAGAGTTTGGAGGTATAAAGATCTTGGCATAATAACTACTCCAACACTTCATCCAGGAGAGCATATCCAACAAATTTGCCACAAATCAAGTTCCACTCTGGGCTTTCTCTTCCGCTTCACTCGAGGACTCTCCATTAATGCCTTGGTGTTGCTTTTTCGTGCACTGGTTCGTCCCACCCTCGAATACAACTCTCCTGTCTGGGCTCCATATCAGACTGGACTCATATCTTCGCTGGAGAGAGTTCAAGTTCGTTTCATTAGGGTCCTTGGCTGCAGAATGGGATATCGCTACCTTGATGCTCCCGTGAATCTCATCAGATCTCAGTTTAATCTATGCTGCTTGGAAGATCGGAGGAAAATTTCGGACGCTCTGTTTCTCATGAAGATTGTAAGTGGAAATATCGACTGCCCTGAGCTTTTGGGAGGAATACCATTCCACGTTCCTGTCCGCACAAGATCCAAGGATACGTTTGAGCGGAGGCACTACAATACTGTATATTTACAGCGAAGCACTATCCCTCGCCTTTTGCGGGTCGGCAACGAGGTCGGCGCAGTGTTGGATTTTCACCGTTCCAGCGTGGCTGCTTTCCGCTCCAATCTGTGTCGCCTCTTCTCTGTAAATAATTTGTAGTTAATGCTTACATCATGTAACGGCACTGTGTTCAACCTTCGATCAGCTATTTATTTTTGTCACTTTAGTATTTATATCTGTTTTTGTCATGTAAGTCTTGCTTAGAGGATTCCAAACCGTGTATTTATTGTTTTGTTAAGTCTTGTTTTGTTATTGTTTTAAAAAGTTTATCATGGTTTCCATCTTCATTGTTATGTTTTTCTTGTTCTTGTTATTGTAATTTATTCAGAATAGCCTTTATTTGTTGTTAAATTTGAGTTTGATAGCTACTACTTACTGTACCTCTTGTAAAAATGGTGTTACCGTGGAAATAAATGAATTGAATTGAATTGAATTGAATTCTCAGTCGTAACTTTCTAAACTTATTAATCTAAAGTTATTAAAAGATGAGATAACCTATAAAAAATGAAAGACAAAGTTGGTTGACAAAGTTTGTCATTATCTTTACCTTTCACACAAATCTTTAACTCTATTTTTGTTTATATCCTATCCCGTTCCGGTTATCTCTGGGTCTGGGTGTTCACTAGGCCTCACTATCCATTCTTCCGAGACATATTTTTGTTTCTGGTGGCAATTTGGAAATCCGTTGGGTTGCTGGGCCTAACCACAGAAAACATACTACTATAACCCAGAATGCCAACCGCATGGTAAAAAGCATTAAGTGTTTTGAGAGAGCTTTGCCTGTCAATCGTAGGCAGCACCACCAGCGTTGCCATGCACTCAGCATAGCAACGCTGGTGGCGCTGCCTACGATTAACAGGCAAAGCTGTCTCAAAACACTTAATGCTTTTTACCATGCGGTTGGCATTCTGGGTTATAGTAATATGTGTTCTGTGGCCTAACATGGCTTCACCACCCCTTTCATTTCCTACTCAGGTCCTTGCCCGCCTCTCATGACGTGGACAAGAAGTTCAACTCCATAGGTATTACTATAAATACTTTGATTTTGAATGTTATGTAACATTTGACATAGACATTTGAAAAATCACTTTCTAATTTGGGTTTTTAAAATTAAAAGTAAACCGCTACATTATACAATAAGGACCTCTTTTCCAAGCATTCAAAACTGTTGGGTAGGTTTGGTGATTTGATTTGTTTAATGGTTTTTGACTGGGCAAAGTGCTGTTATACCACGAGGCTCTTTTAAAGAGATGAGATTTTTAATATGTAAACTAAAGTAATAAAACAGCTAATAGCAAACAGAACATACATACACAGTACAACCCTTTGATACCTCGGAACCAGACCTCTGTCCAATGTAAATACAATCAGAACTATCATGACTTAGCATAAAATTAATGGATACATTTAAGAAACAGACATTAAGTTTGATGATTAGGAAACTTTATGATTTTACCGAACAATTAAAAATCACACCAATCAACCTGTTAGTACCAAACAGCACTAGACTTACTGGTTGTTACTTGTTTACCTTCCAAACAAATCAAAACAAGTAGTTTGTCCTGCAGTTAAGGGTAAAGTTAAAATGCCAAAACTTACCAACATTAACAGCCTCTTTACACATCTGCACAATGAGTGGCGAGTGAGAACAGATCTTCTCCGCAACCTTGATGGACTCATCCAGTAGTTTGTCTGCAGGGAACACCCGGCTTACGATCCCTTCAACAAAAAGAAAGGTTGCTTTAACAGTTCTCTTATCTAAAACTACAGGAGTGTTGATAGCCTATCTGGTTTCATTTTTTCGAATAGTCTAGACCTAAACTCCCGCCGGTCACATCGTTAAAGCTAGGCCTAGGCATGCACGTTACGTGTTTTAAATGTTTTTTATGTTTTGTAAATATTGTGATCTTTGACGACCTTCAGAAGAAGTGACAATGTCCTTGGGAAAACCTGAAGAAGGCTCCATTGTGAGCCGAAACTAGTTGTTTCACAACCGATTGGATTATCGACATTACAGGTATTTAAACCACTTTAATTCTATCTGGTTAGTTTTTCGAACTTCAGTAAACAAAAGGGACGAGTTCAATCCCCGATATTCTCAAACATTTGAGGATTTTGGAAAGATTGCCCTTGAAAGTTCTTTCATGACAAATACCACTGTAGTGGCACTAACACATTTATGTTTAAAATGCCTTTATTAGTAAATATTTTCATTTAAAAGAAGCACTCATAATAACTTAGTCCAAACCCATTTTGTATGAATAGATATTTTCATTTTAATATTCTTTTTTTTAAGGGGAAAAAAGCAGCTTGGCTTTGGAATAATCAATATTTCTCCTTTCTCCTCATTTTGATATTCAGTAACACTAGGAATGACACTTTTAAATCATCAGGATCTAGGCCTACAAACTTTCCTTTACTTTTTTACTAATATATAAATTTTGGACTACCACTGAAGTAAAAATCAAGAATCCAAATCATACAGTCAAAATAACTTATAAAAAGCATTAGGTTGCAAAATAAGTAACATGTTTTTAATGCCTTCACAAGGGACACTACTTGGAGAGTCGACACAAACCCCATCACAATGAACATTATATTTCCAGCATTGTAAATATCACAAACTATCTCTTCTCAAGACAGGAACTGCACATCGTGAATCTGGAATTGAGGAAAGAAGAAGGTGGATGGATGAGGAATCAAAGGCTGTGGAGAGAAGAGGATCAGAAAGATGTGGGATAATGGAGGAAAACAAAATGAATGTGAATAGATAGAGAACTTTTGACTCCTATTCCTATGAATAACCAAAAGAGGATATACACATTATTACAAGGCTGCTAACTAACCCATCTTCTCAGCCTCCTCAGCAGTAATGGGTGTACCAGTGAGACACATTTCCATTGCCTTAGACTTGCCAGCACTGCGGGCAATTCGCTGTGAACCACCAGCGCCAGGGATCGTTCCGATGGAGATCTCAGGCTGGCCAAACTTGGCTTTATCTCCAGCGTAAATTATGTCGCACATCATTGCCAACTCGCAGCCTCCTCCAAGCTGTACAAATAATATTATAGGTAACACATGCCTATCCTGGTAGGAAAAAACAATTATTTGTGAATAATTTACAGAGAGAAAAATAACAGTAGGGTCTAGTGCATGCTAACATGTATGTATTACCCAGTCCCTACTGTTCTTTATCCGAAATTCAAAATTTTAACAAGCTTAAAATGTGTTAATTAGCAACCTGGTTGCTTTGAGTGTGCAGAGTATACCTCTAGATGAGTAAATTTACCTCTGACAGAGCTTAGAACAAATGGATCATTAAAAATAAACCTTGTAGAGCTCAGGAGAAATTTTATAGGATGGATGGACTTTTTGTGAGCAGCGCCTAAATTCAGACTTTTGTTTCTTTATACCAGATCTTACTGAGTGCATACATAGAGCTTATTTTATAAATATTTGGCTTTTGAATAGGCTTACATAGCATGAGGAAAAACATCAAAAGGTTAGTAATTCAAACATAAGCCACTGAGAGAACTAACCGCGTAACCGTTGACTGCAGCAATGATTGGCTTTTTGCATTTGGTGATCTCATTCCAACCCTGAAGCAGCCCAGTCTTCACATTGGAAGCGTACGTCATATTCATCATTTCTTTGATATCAGCACCTATACAAAATACATTAGTTCACATTTTTAGGGCCGATAAAAGATCTTGAAATATTAGCGTTGAAAAACTTAAATGGCAAGTATTTTTTCTTTAAAATATTTAGAAACCTCGTTTTCGTTGGGAAAATCAACAGGGGTTTCCCCAATTTAGAGAGTTGAAAACCACAACAACCAATGACAAAGCAGCTTGATTTCAATGACTATCTTAAGATTTGCAGGAATATAGTCAATTTTTAGAATAACATTGTGAGCAATATTTTGAATTTTAAAATCTATAGTTTTGAACGTAAAACACTGTTTAAGTAGGCTATGTTTTTTTTTTACTTTATAGGTACAAAGTACCGTTTATTAGACACTATTAAAGTAAATGGGTAGGCCCTAATCTGTTGATAAACAAATTAGGCTATGTACTTTTTAAACATTCTTGCCACCAAAACTGAATGTACGAATATGATAGGTTATGATATACCTTTGCCCGTCGTTAGTCTTTGTAATCCCCACCGGACAAGGGTAGGCCTATGTCAGTAGGCCTATTGCATAAAACAAATGACATGTTAAAGACTAGACAAAATGCCCAAATCTAATATCTTACCTGCAGCAAATGCTTTCTCACTGCCAGTAATGACCACTACACCAACAGATTCGTCTTTATCAAACGCAGTAACTGCTTCGGCCAACTCTGTGACTAGAGCATCACAAAGAGCGTTTAATGCCTTGGGTCTGTTCAGCGTTATCACACCAACATTCTTCTTCTCTCCCCGTTTGTCGGTTAAAATATGTTGATAGGATGCAGCTAGAAAAAATAAAAAATTTTTGAAAACTAGTTACTTTTTGGGTCCAAGCCAATAGGTCTACCATAAAAGGAATCACAAACGGTTTTTAAGATAAACCAGTCCAAACTTTTAAAATATCTTAGGATTAGCCAGGATTAAACCCGTCCGTCTTGGATAAATCCAAGATGCTAACTAAGATAACTAACTAGGTAGGTACCGGTAACTGAGTGGTTTGCTTATAGTGCTCACCTAACAATCAAAAGGTTACCGTTTCGATCATGAGAAAAAGTCAGTAGCTTTTTGATGGTTCGAACTGTACTCAGCCGTTCCTGATCATTGGGTTTTATATAAATGATCCTGGCTAAAGAGACAGCTGATCTTAGTTCTTAGACAGTAAAAAAGCTACACGGATCATCACACTTCATTCTACACTCATCCTTCACTCTTATTTGGGTTCAAATACACACCTAGATGGCATCCCATGATATTTACTCAAATAGGCCTAATTAGCTACCAATTTAAGATAATCATAGTTATGTTAACACTTACATAATGCATTAAATTATTACTAATCAATGAATATTCATACTTACTTGCATATGTGTTAGAAATAATGACTTGCTGATTAAAGGCAGGGGCCAACAACCTTGATTTTGAGTTAGTGATGATCTGTTTTCCAAATAATCTAAGTGATAATGAAGCCATTTTAAAATATTTATGCCCTAGCCTATGTTCTGAATACAGAGAAAGGACTAGTGGATGGTAAAGTAGTTATCAAGGCAGTACACAATCTACTGATAAGAAAACTCAAAGGTTATTTGCTTTTTCTTGGTTATCTCACAAATTACTTTAGAACTTTTGGAGCTGATGTCTTCACTGGTCGGCAGTGGCAGAAATATCCAGCGTAACAAAATGAATAGTAGTAAACAAATTAAATTGTATTATCGAAAAGTCGGGGTAAACAAAAACCGGTTTAGCTAACCTCTTGTTCCTACTCCCTCAGGTAAGGTAAACGGAATCTAGTTTTGACTTTTGAGTTATCTTTTGAGTGTCTGCACTACAGCTGCAGATTGCAGAATGCCCTGCTAGCTCAGCTGTCGTTGTGTATTGGATGGTATTGGTATTGGTGTAGTGTGTACCGAGTGACCGAACCGAGCCGAATACCGGAACCGGACCGGAATACCGAAAAGTGAAAACCGACGTTGACGTTTGGCTTTGTTGACCACAGTTGACCGCACCGTGCCGTGCACAGACACGGCCGCCTTTAACTACGCACAGATGACAGAACCGACACGTAAAACAACATAAATACGGTTTACTATTTAACTCTAGTTGGTCCACTCAGGCCCAGAAGCGCAGTGCTCACGATGTCGCTGTTGTCATTATATTATAATCAATGCATCGGCGTTTAATAGTAGACAATTAGCATTATAATTGAGATGAGGACACCACTCGCCCACGGCCGCCTTTAACTCCAGGCCGTGGCCTTCGAAGTGGCAACGTCGCAAGTGGTATTGTAACAGCTGTTTTGTTTGGAAGCAGCTAATGGAATGGCATTTGTGCAAGGCGTATGTATCTGTGTATCTACGAAAGATTGGTTACTGGACTTTGACAATATTGACTCCGCTTAAAATATACAGATTTAATTTCATTTCAAACAATCTTTATTCTTTTAGTACATATTGACAGTACATTGGACAGTGTCGAAAAGTGATTCTTTATTATAACTTAAAACTGTTTTCTAACTTATTTCTACCATTTTTTACTATAAAAAGAAGGTTATTTATACTATTACAATAGAGATTCTCAACAAAACAAATAACAATCATAAATAAATTAAGAAAGCAGTAAAATAATCTAAACAATCAAAAGCCCTTCTTCAAGTCCCAGAAGGTATTAAATTAAACTCTGGGTCAAGAAATTCTTGTATGTTATATAATGCTTTAGTTGTTATAAGATCTTTAAGTTTCCTTTTTAATATTCTTGGATTCGGCTCTTGTCTTAAGGTTAATGGTAATTTGGAAAAAAATAATGCACCAGCATAAGGTTTCTTTTTAAATAGTTCCAAATTATTTATTGGTATTGCAATATTGTCCCTATTTCTATATTATACTCATGAGTACTTCCTAATGGTTTTAGAGTAAGTTCCCTTTCCTTGAAGTGGATGATAGTTTGATATGCATCCCATAGACTGTCATCATTTTAAGTGAAATAAAATATTCTTTTTCCTACAGTTACCTAACAATGTACATGTTCTCTCACTGATTTGAGAAAGCAAAGTGGCCAATTCGCTCATCAGTGAGACAATGTTAACATTGTCTCACTCTAATTACTTTGTCTCACTCCAGATTTGCAACGTGAAGGCACGAAATAGTGAGCGCGTAGTAAGTGCGTGCATGCAGGCAACGTCGTATGCGCGCGAAATACGTTGGCAGCACTGGCTGTAAATCAGCTGGTCAGCTGTTGTACTGATGTATTTGTCACTTCCACTTCACATTAAATGTTATATTAAAAGTTCACTTCTGTGTAAAATAGGTTATGTTTCTTCACCAATTTATTTGTTTTATGGTAACTGTAGGAAAAGTATAATGTGCAACTCGAGTTCAAAGTGCATTTGCCTCACTCGAGAAACCATTCCTCACTCGCCTACGGCTCGTGAGTAAGGAGTTCTCTCGAGGGAGTCAATTGCTCACTTTTCTCACTAGTTGCACAAATAACTATTTCATGTGTTTTCGTTGAAGTTTCAATATACGCCTCACCGCTTTTTTATATTTAAGAATTGTATCAAGATATGTATATATTTTTAATTCATATTGTTTCAATTTTTAATTCTGTATGTTTTATTTTAAATATTTTCATAAACTTATGTTCATAAATTTCCATTTTAATCAATAAAGTGCGAATTAATGAGCTGATATCCCCTGTCTGCCATGTTATCTTATGGGACATCTCCATCTGACACTAAACAACCCTACTTGCAACGTTGCCAAATTCTACCAGGCCACGGCCTGGAGTTAAAGGTGATGATTTTTTCAGTTCAAGGTATTTTGTGATTTTTGAATAAAGGACTTGACAATGAATTGAATCACAACAAATCTTTTGTTTATAATGTGGTCGTTAAAGATCGTTTTGGTCGTAAGGTAACAGTGGTGATTTAAATAAATTGTTTTCAATCAATGAATTTACACTCCTATATGTGTATAGTCAATTATTTATAGTATAATTTGCTTGAATTTAAAACCAATGCCTTGAAGTTTCGTTTATTTGTTTTTTTCTTTCTTCATGCACTGAACCATATGTTTACAGTTTACTTGTCAAAGCGTCAAAGGTAGCAGCCGTATTTCGTACTCGCAGGAGAAGTGGAAGTAGTTTAGCGTATACTATTTACCATTGATGTTTTCTGAGTCAATTTGTCATTATCTCATTTTATACGCAATTAATTAAAATATTTGTGTTGTGCAATATTAAAAATGACGGCATTTTTTGGAGTTGGCGGGAATCCTTTTGCGACCCCTGTTGGTCAGAGAATAGGTAATTATTTGTTTGGAAGTTATCAGTTGCTTTTTAAAGAGGTGGCCACATATTGGTGGCACTGAAAGATTGACATAATTATATAACTTTGTTATTCCAGCTATTTCGAGACTGTGGCTGAAGTAGGGCTAACTTTTGTTCTTATAGGCCTAGGCTATACGATCTTTAAAAGAACAATTCAAAAATTCCCAAGCATTTGGTTAAGCACCATCTGTCAAGCCCAAATCTAAAATTGCTCTTATCTAACAATGATAAATCGGTCCAACAGATAGTGTAAGTTAGGCCTAGGCCCACACACATTTGAATGGGATGCTAATAGTGTGAGAAAAAAGTTTGTTGCACTCAATTAATGAGTAAATGGCAAAAATCACACCAATTACGTAAAACTACACAAATACTAAGTTTGATATTGGGCCCTATTAGTTCAAATCATGTAATAACATTGTTTTGAATTTATATAGCTCCTCTATTAGGCCTATTGTAGTAACTTAAGTTTAGGTAGTAAATGCAGAATCAAGCTAACTGGTTAGACCACTGGTTCCCAAACTATGGGTCGCGGGAGCAATTTTGATGTGTCGTGGGAGGAGACCAACCATTTTTTTACCGAGACTTTTTATTTTTCATTTTGTCCTGGAACGGTAATGGTAACTTGTTTGAATGTTGGTCTGTAGAGGAAATTGAATTTTTGCATTGAAAGGCTGATAAAGTATCAAATCCAAATTACATTAGGCCTATCACAAACTGGTTTAGACTTAGACATGACAAGAGAATTTAGGCTATTTCACTTTAAATAAATTTCAGCGGTAGCACAAATTCAGTTACTGCATAGGCCCAATCAATTAAAGCCGATATTTGGATTCCTGCATATTTGAAAGATAAACATTAGGAACGTCTAGCTAGAAGTTAGATTAGTTAGCTGATGCAGAGCGCAGACGAAAACTCAAAAAGAAACAGGCCTAACATCGATTAGGCCTATGGATGTTTTTAAATCGATGCAATCGGTACATCGATGGTTTACCGATGTTACCATCGATGGTTGACCTATCATCCAGGAGTCAAAAAGGGAGTCGAAGAGCTTGTCCCAAATTTTTTAAGTTGCTCGTTCAATTCCATGACAATGATTGGTTTCGACCCAGTTGCTATTTTCATTGAGCTCTTTCTTGCTAACTTAACTTAAATAACAGATTGATATGAGACATAATGACAAGACCAGGATTTTTTATTTTCCCCTAAAATAATTAAACATTTAAACTGGTTGAAATAACACAAGCAGCTGTCATATATCAAAGTTACTTTGTTGATTATATTTTAGGACATTTTGTTACGTTAACAAGTTTACCATGAGTTGTTACTTATGTTTCAGAACAAGCCACAGATGCGTCTCTGGCCTCAGAGAACTGGGGACTAAACATGGAGATTTGTGATATCATCAACGAGACGGAAGACGGACCTAAAGACGCTGTGAAAGCTTTGCGGAAGCGTCTACAGCAAAATGCTGGAAAGAACTACATTGTAGTCATGTACACACTTACGGTTAGTCAACTTACGATAGCGACTAATTGTATAGAACTGTGGGTACTTTGGTATTATAAATTACCACAGACATACATAAGACCACATAAGATTTTTGTTGGCGTGGTTAGACTCACTTAGAGCAGACTCAATTCAATAATATCAAGTATTGCCTTATCGTAATAAATACGTTTCCTTGTCTCTGTTCATTTTACCATTGTCACTGTGTAATGCAATAACAGGCAGTGCCTATCGAGACCGCCCTTCGCTACAGCCTGTTGTTTTTTGTTGCAAAAGTGTGTTCCAGTTGTAGGCGATTGAGTAAAAATATGAGAATACCTAGGAAAAAAGATAGGTTCGATTTCAGGCTGAAATTAAAACAGTAGGCTATGCTATGTAAGTGATAGTTGAAATTAATTTCTACACTTTCGATAACGCTCTGTTTTGCAAAACGTACCATTAGAAATAACTTAAAGTAACTAATCCTAACAGAACCTACATGTGTGATCAGTATAATATAAAATGTTTTACAAAATGCATTTTTTATTACATTATTCCCATATCAAACTAACTTTTTTATTTCTGCAGTGGTTTATGTCAATTCTGTTATTGGTCGTGATGTTCTTGTTAAATAAAACACGTACATACATTTTTAAGACTGCAATAAACACAAAGTGGTACAATTGAGACGACTCACTCTGAGTACGATTTGGTGGACGATGGTCAAAGTTTGTAAATGAAAATTGTGTCCAATGAGGGTTTTTTATATTTGGATCACCTTTTATGCCACCATTGCAACCTACGATTCACCTACGGCCTACGATAAAATCAGACAAACTTGGAAATAATGAAAGGTTTATTTAATTTCTTTTTTAATAGATCCCCGCCAAACAGCGTTTTAATTGGCAGTACTTAAAAGCGATTGAATGAGCGGGGGATTTGAATGGGCTGTGCTGGTATTGGTGCAGCCAGAACTTTTTTTTTCTGAAAATCTTAATTTGTGTTACTTGCAACGTTGTTCCGCAGAGCTATTCAATTACTCTTTGTAAGGGTTTGTCGGGATTGCAGGCTTAGTTTGTTGGAGTAGGTTTAATGGTCTAGTCCTGGCACAGACTATACTCAAACACTAGGGTTCGCACGTTCAAATTTTGTTGTCACTGACAATTATTATTATTATCAACCAAAGTAGCTAAGTAATCTTCTGTCGACATTCTTCAAACCTGACAGCAATATTTTTAGAATACTATTTTGTTGCGGTTTTTATGTGCTAAGTTAATAATTTTAAAATTATTGTTTTATCATCCATATTCCTACCTTTTTTATTCCCATTAACATTATTTAAGTGCAATCTACAGTCAGTGTTAAGAATTGTTTCAATTGTTTATTACATTTCAACCAACAGTTTCCAACTTTAAAATAGTTTAAGTTCTACAAATTTTTAAGACGGAGAGATTTGTAATCTGGATTATTCTTAAAATTAGTCTTTAATAATTATTTATATTTGACTACTGGTACTTGTGTAATTAAAACAATTTTTATTGTTATTTTTATCAAATCTTACATTTTCAACAAGGACCAATAAAAAACATTGAAAATAAATTAATATTCCATCATTGCAGTTTATGTAGATAATATAAGAAAGCATTTGAAATTCCATTTTCATAATTTAATAATTGATTACAATGTCAATCAATACTAAAAAGATTATTATACAAGATAATGACAAAATTAGACAACCAATATTTGTACAGTGATATCATATTTTAATACTGTTGTGTTATTTTAATATAGATTAATTGATAAACATATTTTATAATTGGTTTCAAACGCGTTACTTAAATTTCCAGCAAAATTAACTCTCTTAGAAATTGTCTAAGAACAATAATGTTGGTAACCGTTTTTAAATTTACTTTTTTACTTCAGAATTTCTCAACTCAAACAAATATTTTTAATACTCAATTTTAAAATATTACTACTTTAACTACAATTTGATTTATGGAATCTTATTTTCTCTTTAAAAACCCTTCATATTTTTCCACTCAGTAAAATATGGATACATTTTGCCCCTTAAGAGGAGTTATTAACTTCTTTGGGACATCTTCCTACATAATCAACAGAAAAGTATTACTGTACTGCACTTAATCCTTGGGTTTCTTAGAAAAAGTTAGATTATGATGTTACATTCCATCTTTTATAATAAAGAAATTTTTTTATTTTTAATACCGTACTTTATGTTTATTACCGTAGTGAAAATACAAAAAATCCATTAATATTTTTTTACGGTACTGGAAATGAATTCAATTTTAATTCAAACCATTGATCAAACTAAGAGCTATCACTAGGTTAAAAGAACCTTGAACTGTTTTGAGTTTAATTTAATTTTGAATTATGTATCAAGAACATTTATTTTTAGATATTAATTAAGAAAATAATTATTCTATTAGACTATCAATATGCTTAGCAGTATTGTTCAAAGTGTCGATATCAAGACAGTGTTATGTTGCTTTGGAGATAGTTGTTGTAACATGATCTCAGTGTGTTGTTGCACAACACGTTTTGTTTGTCATTTGATGACTCACCGTCTAGTCTAAGTCACATGACCGCCTACTACCTTCAGACTGTTGTCAGCTGTTTTCATTTACTATTCTATTACCGCACAGTATTCATTCACATCGTATGATTTTTGATCTGTTGATTTATTCTCTGAAAAAAACTTTGTTGTGATTTTCCACGACTATTCCTTTTGATTTTCTGGAATAGTTTTTGTGTGTTCCCGGAATTAATTGTTAGCTTTCTGGAATAATTTCTGTAACTTATTATAATTATTTTTGTAATTTCCTAGAATCTTTTTTAAATGTAATTTCCTTGAATTACATTTAGTAATTTCATGTCATCTTGTTTTATATTTTTTTGACAATTTTTCAATTTCCTGGAACAGTTTTTGTAATTTTTCCATTGTGCTATTAAACTGAACTGTTATTTTGTAATATTTATGATTCTTGTTCTCACATTTGGAATACTTTTACTACCGTAGGCTACTTTAATTTTTGTATAGGCCTACTATTTTTTAAACTCACTAGCCGAAAAGTAAAAATATATTAATTTATTTGGAACATAACATAAGGTAAACACTGTTTAATACAGATAAAGGTAATACAATTTTAGGAAACAATATATTATAATAGTACTGTTCTAAAAAAAGACACGTAATAGGTACTTATCAAAATGTTAATCATTGACAATGTAATTTATTTTCTGTCACTACAATCCGCAGTATATGTGATGGATCGTCAGCTCCATAATTCCCAACTCCAAAAGTCATATCTACCATCCTAATCTTAACCATTTTAGACAGCTTTATTTTTAATTAGTGTTTTCAAAGTTACATTTAGCTATTAGTAGTTCTTCTTTATAATCATAGTTTATAGAGTAAAGTTCTTGATCTGCATAATGAATCATTCCTAGCAGTAAATGACCATTAATTCCATTGATCAGAATGGCATTGAACTTTACAATGACTTCTACAAAGTATTAAATATAGGAATACAGTATGTATTAAACTTATTTTATTTTATTTTTCCGTGGGCGTGGGAGGTTAGGACTTAAGATTACTGAATTTTATTTGCCATTAGCAGTTTTTGTAATTTTAGTAGTTCTGTAATTTTTAATTAATCCGCCAACAATTAATTTTGTTCATTAATGTACAAGTTTTTATTGTTTTGTTGGCTGACAATTAATAGTGAATGGTTGTATGATCGTGGTTTGGTCGTGTTATCAGTTCTTGTAAGTGATGTTTTTATTTGTTTTCTGTGTGAAAATTGAGCCGGTGAAGATGAGGGGTTGGATTGGAAATCAAGACTTTGGTTTTGGTAAATCTCTTCAACCAGGAGTCTGTCAAATTATTCTTATTTAAAGTATTGCGAAGGAGTAATTTTTGTAAACCCCAATACTAAAGGTGAAACTTAACATTGTGTCACATTAGTTATTATCTCACAACTGTGATTGAAACATTGTAGTCATTGATAATATTCAGCTCTGATAATTAGTTTTGAATTCTCTATGCTTTTTAGACTCTGTAAATGACTAGAGGAATGACAAGAGGTTTTTAAAAGTAGTTTTGTTGCCAAGCACAAACATTTAGCAATAATATTGGGTTAGAAATAACTGTTCCTGGTTAAAATGGCTGATCTTAGTCCATTACACAATTACACACTGGTATTCTAACCAACCTCGCATTAATACTGTATTCGGTTTCAACATATGTATTCAAAGTGATTCGTTGTCTCAATGACAGTGTTAAAGTGATTAAGTAAGTAACACTCATAAAATCTTTTGTTAACTTTTGTCTTAAAATACTTGACATTCATTTAACTCATTCCAAGTACTGTACAAGTGGTTCTCCTAAAGAAGCATCAGTGAACGGAGAGTGTGTAGACGGTGCTTATTGCATTACTCCTTGTTTCTCTTGTTGTAATGAAAGACTAATGGACTTTTCCTATCCCCCCCTCTATCTCCCCCCCCTTACTTCCCTCTTTCGTCTGCCGTCTTGTAATTCATCTTCTTTGACATTCAAGAACTACTTAGTTTTCACATTTTGGCATAATTGGTTTCCTTTGAGTTGGTTTTTAAAAAGTATTACTCTATTTTTTTCCCTTTGATATAGCCCTACCATCAATTTATTATGTTTAGACAGTCAATGGGGACAGTGTTGTATTTTATCTTGAATCCAAGTGAAAGATGAGTGTATAATTATTTTATTTAAAAAAAAATTTTTGAAGCTCTTTTAATTTTGCACTTGGCTTCCATAGTACCTCAGTACTGTGTGGAACGTAGGGTGATCTGGTACAGTACAAAAGTGAACTGTACTAAAAATTTAGTTTTGGAAATGGGGCGCAAACCCACAATATCGTTGCGTTGAATCCGTTGTCAGTTGCGCTAGTAAATATACTGACTCAATGGGAAATGGAATTAGATCCTTGTGTAGTTTTGTTACTGACTTAATCAGCTGTTTATTTAGTCAATATTATAAAAAACTTATTGTCAACGACAGTCCTGTCCAGTTTCTTAAACAGCCATGAAAAAACTACTGACTTCTCAGAATTCAAAGGGAAGGGGAAGGGGGGGGATCGATCTTCAATTTATAAAAATATAAGCATTAGAACCCTTTGATTTTGGGATTGGCCTGATTCAAAACATTTTTATATTTTATTCTATTTTCATCACTTTAACGCTAATAAAATGTCTTTGATAAGCTAGTGATGTATGTTGCTGGATTTTACGATTTGGATTTAATTACAAATTGATCCAAGTTTAGCTTGTAACTGTGAACGGACATTTTCAGGTGTTGGAGACATGCGTGAAGAACTGCGGTAGGAGATTTCACGTTCTCGTTTGTAACAAGGAGTTTGTTCAGGAACTGGTGAAGCTGATCGGTGAGTATCTGTAGTCAATGTTATATGTTTTACGTAAAGTGGATAAAGAGTTAAAGTCAATTGTGTACACAATGCTAAAGATGATTAAAAAAATTGGGGGTGATTTTTTTCCATTTTTTATGATTTAAAAGACATTCATGTAGAAAATAAATAAATAAAAATATTACTTTAAATATTCATTTGTGTGCATCAGGTATTTGGATCTATTTTTTAACTGCCTTCATCTTAAAATTGTCAGAAACAACTGAACCCAAATTGATATTACTACTTAATTGACTTTTTAAAATCTTGGCCATAAAAAATAATGTTTTATCTCAACCAGGATTTTAGAAGTAAAGGAGAGTCTAAGTCAACCATTTTACCTCCAAGCCTCAGCTGTAGAATTGTAAACGGCTCATTTCACAACTGTATGTGATAGCAGAGAGATAAGATGTCGCTATTTGCACTCAATTAACTCTCACTTGCCTTCGCTTTGGTACTATTTTTGTTTGTTACGACTATTGTTTTTGTTATTCACTTAATTTCGTGATTTCAGAATACGTTGAAATACAGCTACACTACAGCTATACTATTGTGTTGAATAAGTTTTGAAATACAGGGTTTTTGGTAATGGTGGGGTTTGATTATTATCCCTTTGAGCTCCATTTGGACACAATAGTAGCATAACCGAACTTCTACTTAAGTATCGTAAAAACTCAAAATAAACAATATCAGCAAACTGACACATACTTTCTCATTAACATTTCAAAAACCTTTTAAATGGGTAAGCAGTGAGAGCAGCCTAACTATGATAATCTATGGGGAAAATCATAAAAGTCGCAATAACTTTTGATCCATAAATTTTAAAACATTGGTAGTTACACCGTTTTTTTAAAGGACTATAATATACTGTACTAAATTTTGATCAAAATCGCTTGAGCCGTATTTTATAATATTTTTCTGTTGTTGTGTCTAGGTTTTTATAGGGAAATCACAATAAAAATCTAAATTTAAGAAACACGTTCACGCTTGTTGAAATATACACATTCAATCAAAGAGTAGGATAAAAAATAATAAGTTGTAAAATTATATTACATTTTCAAAACTTTTGACATTACAATGATTCAATGAACGCAATTCAAAAAGGCAATTATTTATTGCTCCATGTCCATTTAATCTTATATCTCAGTCCACACACTGTACTACATTTTCTTTTACAACTAACTGTAGATACTTATTATCTGATTCTTACTAAAAGATGAAAGAAATTTTGCGATTTGCCAGAATTGTCTGGTTTTGGATAATCTCAGAAGAAAGAGTGATAAAACAGGAAGTCTGGGATTCTTAGAGTTCATGTAGTAGGGAAACTTCTGCCAATCCCCCAGTTTTATAATTATAAAAAGTTTATTTGAAAAATTAGAATAAAATAAGCTACAAAAATCATCCCGCTTTTTTAAATTGAATTTTAACTAAACTGTCTGAGCTACCGTATTAAGGGCTGTGTGAAATGTTTGATTTTTATCATAAACAGGCTATCAAAACCCCACCATTATTTTCCATCCCCTGTATAAATAAGCATAAAGAATGCCTTTGTTGTATTTATAAAAAAAATAGTTTAGTATTAAAAAGATGAACAAACGAATGGACTACTGTACCAAAAAAGTATTTTTTTAAATTTTAATTTATTTAATTTTTAAATTTAATTTTTGTGTTTATTTATTATATATTGATTTCAGAACCTAGCATTGGCTGCTGATCTGCATGTGGCTTCCTTCTTCTTTTTCATTTTACTCAGTACTATTTTTTTTACTACTTTCATTCTTAAACTTCCTGCTCGTACTTTTAGTTCAGATTGATAGCTTATTGCCGATAAGGAATTCATTCATGTTATAAAATTATAAAATTTCAATATTCTGCAAATACTTTTTCAACACTTTATTGCTAAACTACTTACTGTCTACTTATTTTGTGTTGTTATTCTTTGTGCTCTCAAATATTACTTTAACTTTCAAGAGTAAATAATATAATTGTTGTAATAAATACTCCCAACCTCTTTTGACAGAATTTAACTAAGGGCCTATTTAGTTTATTGTAAATCTGGATGGTGTAGGATTTCAATATGCTCCAATCAATTAACTTGCACTGCTTCTAATCTGGTGAAGGGTATTATATGTTTAAGTTAAAATTTATTGACTTGAAAGTAATAGTACAAGATTCACAGCTCAGATGTAATTATTAGTGTCTCGGTGTTCGGTGCGAAAGTGACAGGTTCTACCCTCGGCTAACTTAAAACATTTTTTTCTTTTCCTTAAAACGTTTGTGATTTATATGTCACTGACATTAAACAAAAATTCCAACTAAAATTATTATCCGGTGTTCCTCAAACAAAACTGTCAACTAATGAGTCCACTGTATTTCTAGCTTTTATACTTGTAGACATCCCATTACTATATAATGTGGCCAGTTTTACAATATAATTTGAGTTTTTAAATGTACGTGGTTGAATTGAGACACTAAAAATGGGCTGTCAATTACTGATTTTGGTTGACCCTGCCAACTTTTTAGCCAAATTAAACTGACAAACCATAGTATCTTTGATGTAAATCAACTATCTCAGTATTAAAAATCTAACGAAGAAAATTTAATTTCTACAGTAGCGCAACATACGAGAGAACTACTAGCAGCTAGGCCCACATAGATATATTTGTTTTCTTATGTCGACACCAGTAAAAATTTTACACAAGAAATTGTATAGTATACTGAAATAATGCTTTTGGGGAAAGTGGTCGAAACCCATACGTGTTGTGGATGTGCCCGGAATTAAACCCGTCATATTGAAGTCTGACACGCTAACCACTTGGCCAGCAACACAACTATTGCAAGATGGCTACTTTCATTATCCAAAAGTCAGTTTCTAGCTACAATCTGAACTAACAGTACTAGACAGAGAGTTGCTTATCAGTGTATGGTTGCAGCCCCCTCACCCCCCCTCTCCTGGCTACAGAACCTCCCCCCCTCCCTGCAGAATCTATCTGCGTTCTCCCTCAGCTCGCAGTACTCTCCCATAGGAAACGGCGGAGGTTAGACATCTTGCTCTTCGTTTACTAACTCTAGGCTAGCCTTGTGCTTCTACTAACACGGTATCTTGCTCTTCGTAAACTAACTTAGGTTAACTACATGCGCTTCTACTAATACTATAGCCCAGGGATTTTCTACATATGGTAGTCAATAGTCTGACTATCTTAGATTTGTTGTCTTCGAGTATGAATGATTGATGTGTGAAAAGATTAATCACTTTTATCCACTGACATTTCGGCCTTAATGTGGAGCGCCTTGTTCAGGGTGACTTGACTTCTGAACAGTTGACGTTTTAAGCTAGTTACGTATCAGTGACTTGACTCCTTACATCAAGACTGAAATCAAGACTGATCGGTGGATTGAAGTGATTCATCTATCTTGAAACGGTCATCATCAAAAACCCTAGGTTTAGTTTGAGACCATGCAAACCTATACATGAAGATCAAAGTAATGACCCGGTTTTGTCTCTAGAGGCTCAGAATTCTTTTGGTTCTGACAGAAATTAATCAGATATAGTTTTAAAAATTTTAATTATTTTTTAGGTAAGTTTAGCGAAAGAAAGGAAATGCAACAAATATTCAGAGTGATTCGTCACACGTTTGTACACAATCGTGGAAGTCCTGAAAAACCTGATACCCTTCAATGTGGTAAATCAATTTTACCTCCCCAACCTCTAACAAATCCTGCAATATAATTCAATTTACAGTAAGAGTTTGACACACCTTATGTACTACACTACTTGTTGATCCATATCAAACCTTTTGGAAGCTTTATTTCCATTTTTTTTGTATCAGTCAATAAATAATTGATGTTATGAAATAATATAGATTTGGAAATTATGGCATCTTAGTGTTTACAAAATAATGAGTAGAATTGAGATTTTTAGTAAATTGGTCAAAGATAAGATACATATCTTTTAGTTGATCTTGTGAGTCAGTAGCTCAGTCGGTAGTGAAACTACTAAGGGCCGTAATGACGAGGGCTTTCAATCTGGTGCCACCACAAAAATGGTATGAGTACAGTGCATTTTTGTACTGTTTCGACTCACCAATTGTTTTGCTGATACGTTCCAGTTAGTGGTCTGCTAATTTATGATATCACACCATTTTAATATTTATTGGTAAAATGGAGGCTATAACACCAACACAAGGCTAATAATCATTGTATTTACTTTTAAGAGGAGTTTGGGTTTCTTAAAAAATTTGCAATCGTAAAAGATAGTTACAGAAATTCCTGGGCTACTATTTCTAACTTTTTATTTTACTGACAAAATACTAATAAACTAACATTTATCTTAGGACTGTCACCTCACTCTTCATAAAATACTAGGTACAGTAGACCCCCTCTTAACCGACCCTAATGGGACCGGACCTAGGTCGGATAATTCAAAAGGTCGGATAAAACGGGCAATCCCTAAAATCATAACATAACGAAGTGCTATTAATTTAGAATTATATAATCATTATTTTGAAGTCATACTTGCATTATTTATAAAATAAACTACTCTTATCTCCTTTTACATATTGATAGAAATGTCACAAATAAACACAAAACACGGTTAAGTCAAATAGGCCTACTTTCAGTGAATATATTATAATACTAGGCAAGAGTCAATAAAATTCCTATTTTAATAACTTTACTACTGTAGTGTATTAATTAATGCTTTCCAAGGTACATCGTAATACAGTACAGAACCTTTTGTCGTCATTAAAGATACAAGCGACCATTTTGTTACAAGACAGGACGTTTATTTATGGCCACTCACTGGAGGTTCCAGGCACAAAAACTATCTTGACCTTGGAGTTGTTAACACCCCTTCCCTGTCCTCCCTACAAGTTGCATTGTTTGTTTACTCCAGCGATGAGATAATCAGTTCTCAAAATCGTAACGCACTTTATGATGTTATAAATTTGCCGCACAGATAACATATCTGATCAGTTGTGCTCGAGCTACGAACGATGATGACAAACTGACAATAGGCTATGCTATATTTTTTGTGATCAACACAAAATAACTTATTGTTAGTCATATCCTGTGGAGATAAGCGTATGGTTCAGTTCTCATCGCCCAGCGTGGGAGCGGAAATGCCGAGATTCCTAGAAAGCGGCGGTTAAACCGAGCTCCTCTCAAAGCAAGGTCGGTTAAAACAAACTGTATTATTTTACGATCAAAGGCGGATAATCCGATTATCGGTTAATACGAGGTCGGTTAAGAGGGGGTCTACTGTATTGAAATTTTAAAATCTTCTCAACATTGAGAATGTGATTAAATTCTGTGCCTAAAATTATTTACCATATCTGATGATCACAAAGTTTAAACATATTTAGTTTCTTGGTCATGTTTATGTTTAAACAAATAGGTAACAGGTTAAAATACCTGCAGAATTGTTAGGCTTGAAAATTAACTCTTAGATTTAAAACCAGGGGTCGTTTGACAGCACTGCTAAGATTTTAACATCCTTAAAAAGGTCATGTTAATAATTAAATCATTTCAAAGTTTACTGCCATAGCCTACTAATGAATTAAATTTCTTATGCGTTTCGGATTTACCTCTAAATTATTGTATGGTAAAAAATAAAAAAATGATAAAATTATCTTATGCCAAATGTTTTTAATTTTAATTGATATCAACAATTATGAGTCATTTTTAGCTTTAATTTTCTCTAGCATATTAAACGTTGTGACGTTGCTTTCTGAAGCATTTCAAGCTAATTAGATGTGTGTAGTTTGCTGATGTCATGTTGTAATACTTTCTGTAACCCTGTATTTATTCAGTTGTGTTGTTTTGAATGTGTGAGAGTGTAAACATAACCTGCAAACATAAACTTATTGTGTCTAAAATGTTTTTAGTTTTATTTTAGGGATGATGCCTTGTGTCTTCTCAAAGAATACATTTACGTTTTGCTAATACATTTTATGAAGGGTTGTCCGTAAATTAAAGGTTCCTTACTTCAAAGTGAAGATGCATTTTTTTCTTAACGTTTTCGAATACTATACCGAGACTAAATGTCTCATAGGGATGGAAGCTGGATAGTCTAGTTTGAATGAGGTGAGGAAATCTGCGTTGGTCTCATATTTGAACTAACCCGCTCGACAGCGATGAGATCTTAACTTACGGACAACTCTCGTACCCTTCTCCTTGTCAAATATAAAAAAATATATTAAATAGTGAGCTTTTCACTTTGATCTTGTTTCATATTGATACTTTGAGCACTAATAAACAGCCCTATACAACTCAAAAGCCCCTTATTGTACTGTTAACTCTCGCCATATTTAAGATATTTGTGGAGATGGGTTACAGAAAGAAAATGTTCTAAGTTCTAAGTGAACACTGTTTTATAAACTGTCAAAGTCAATCAATCAATTTAGCAACCCTTTATGTTAAGAGGTTAAGCATTTTTTACCTATGTTATTTTGTAATAAAACTAATTTTAAGCAAATTTTCTGTGTAACTACTCAAATTGTTTTTAACCTTCTATGTGTACAATTTTTTAAACTGGCCCTGCAAGTTGATAAAAAATCTCATAAACTCATTTATAGAGCCTATAAACTCAAGTAATATGCCAAGTCGAGGAAAAGTCGTACATTCAAACGTACAAGTCAAAGAGTTGCATAAATCTTATTGACTATTTAACAAGGGTTGCTCAACCAATATAACATGGACTACTGTACTAACATGGCATATTGTAATAGAATAAAACCTTTGTTAGATCAACGTGGCTTTTTAACTTGCATACAAAACTAAGGAAGAAGGTATGGATACAGTCAACTTATCAAAGAAATGAATTCCAGGCAGTTGAAAGCATACAGAAATCCTTACGAAGAAATATTGAAGGGGCAAAACATTAAATTAATTGTTTTTTGAACTTTTTGTGTGCTGTCAACTGTCTGGAAATGTTTTCTCGGATATTTCAGTTGTATCTTTTACCTAATGCATTCCTAAGACAAGTTCTTTTTCCTAAAAAAAACAAAGATGCAAAATTGTAATCTTCTAATCAAAAAGCAGTACAGAAGGATTGTTTGACCTTGGTGTGGTTATGTTCGGTTTGCAGGACCCAAGAATGATCCTCCAACAGCCGTGCAGGAGAAGGTCCTGAGTTTAATACAGAGCTGGGCGGACGCCTTCAACACCCAACCAGAGATGAGCGGAGTTGTCCAGGTAGATTAATTAAGAAGAGTAAACTTGAATTAAGAGTGAGTTTTCAAAGTTCCACTAAAATTCACATTGGAAGATTTTGATAAGAAATTGTTCTTAATGTATCACAAAGTAGTCTCGAAAATTAGACATAAATTGGCCTTGGTAAAATTGACTTGAGTAACTCGGAATACAAGAACAACCTTTGTAAACATGTTAGAAGTAATTAAATTAACATCTTAAACCTAATCAAGAAGCAATCGTTGCAAATAACATAAAAATTGCCATCCATACACATATTATTTGCTTTTTTCAACTGTTATTTATGGCAAGGATTGAATTATTCCAAGTAAGTCCAAGTTTTGCACTGCCATTTTAATATCTGACAGTTTTGGTGTATAGCTTATTTGATTTCTAGCAACACTGAAGTATGGCCTATTGTATAACTTGTGTACGTCTTTCTTTTAGCAGTGGATTTTACTGTGTTAAATATTTGTGCTGTTTTCAAAGATGGTTCACAGTAGTGTGTTTGTGTTGTAGATATACCAGGACCTGAAGTCTAAGGGTATTGAGTTCCCAATGACAGATTTGGATGCTATGGCTCCCATCCACACACCTCAGAGGGTGAGTGGCATTCAAGCCTACCATGATCTGATCCAAAGAGTAAGAGCCTTTATGTATGCAATTTTTATTGATAATAAGACAAGTAGTAATATGGGCTAAATAAATTGGATGTTTTACAGATGTAACAAACTGAATTTACATATTTTAATGCACTGTAACAAACAATAGGTTTCAATAAAATAATGGGACGTCACAAGTCGAGTGGTTTAAGTGCAACATTTGTATTCCGGGAGGTCAGGTTCGAACACCGCCAGTCGCAAAAAAGACTTAGTTCTATGATAAAGCTGTGGCTCAGTGGTCAGAGCCCAACTCTTTAGAAAACAAATGAGTTAAGATCAAATTGGTGGATTGACTTTGAAATTAGAAACATCCCCTATACCTATATGCAACCAAATTAAGAGGTCACTTTTAATGAAGTAAAATATTTATGGCTTAGTTATTGTAATTCCCTGCTGCATATATATATACGTATGATCTCGCATCTGGTTATTCCTTGGTCTGGGCAAACTTCCACAGTCCCTTTTCTTTAGCAATCCACCATCATACTCCTGTTATCCATACTCTTTACCTCTTCCTCTTTCAAGTCTTACTCTTATTCCCTCAATCACTACCAACTCCATTTTTCTGTTAATACTCTTTTCTCACTTATCGACCTCCAGTATCCTGTCATATCTATGTGATAATGCCGCAACCCCTAGGTCGAGCTTGAAGTAATGTGAACAAATTTCGGGCTTGTGCCTAGTGTACTAGGACAAAAAAGTATCATAGTTCAAAGGTTCATCTCTTATTGTACTCGTATGTGACAGAGTATACCGGATGGTGAGGTGGCTGTAGGAGTGTCAGCTCTGGCGGCTCAGCAGGCGGGGACACTCGGGGCCACCAAGACCCCCACTAGTCCCCGCCTCACCCCGGACCAGCTGGGCAAGCTGCATGGTGAACTGGACGTGGTGCAGGGCAACATGGCGGTCATGAGCGAGATGTTGAGTGAACTGACTCCGGGCCAGGAGCATCCCAGCGACATACAACTACTCAAGGTAAAGTGTTGTTAACGCAGAACTCTCGTCAAGTTTAACAAAACATAAAATAGTCGGTTCACCTAAGTGTTGACGAGTGAGAAAAATTGTTGTAGTTAAAAACTGGGCCCAGTTGTAAAAATGTTGCTGTTCAATTTTTTTTAAGCCTTGGCTGTTTATCATATGATGGCAGTGAAGTACAGTTAACATTACGGTTATAAGCCCAGTTAAAGGAGGCAAGACATCTGACAAGAGTGATAATACATTACACACAGTCGGTCACAATCATTTCCTACCTTATAAGCCCAAGAGCTTTATCACATCGCTGCCATTTATAGCCATTTTCTGGGAACTAGGAACATGATGAAGTAGAAGGTAATGACAAAAAGTGATATTTTGCTATCTTAGTGGAGGATATTTTAAGGTCTGGTGAAATGAGAAGACATACTTCATTCTTCAGACACAACACAATATATTCCTCAGATATCATAGCCTTGTGTTTTTCCAGGAGCTGCATGAGACGCTGAAGACAATGCAGGCAAGGCTGGTGGAACTGATCAGCAAACTAGCCAATGAGGAGATCACCGAGGAACTGCTGCGCATCAACGACCTTCTCAACAACATTTTCCTCAGGTAGGCTAGAATCTTATTTTCCGATGCTCCGTTATCCAACTCTCTCTGCAGAAGATTGAGCATTGTGAAATTTCAAGTTACAAGCCCGAATACATTACTTCAGCATAGTTACAGAGAGGCATCAAATTGTCACATAGCCAAAGTCATTGGTGTTTGTCAGGATTTGAACCTTGAGGAACAAAGCTCCGCGCTCTACCACTAGACCAGCTCGGTAGCTGGTTTTCAATAGTAACACACTTACATTGTACAAGGCATCTAATCCAATTTTTATGCACCTTTAATTCATATTTGGGTAAAAATGTCTTTAGCTTTGTCTCGGTGAGATATCATGATATATTCTAGCCTGAAAGAGTCATTGTTAATAAATACACCATTGTAGAAATCAAATTAGGTTAACCATGGTTTTCATTTTTCTATTGTTAAAAATTAAATTTATTCTCCAATATATTGGCCACGTACCTATTTAAACAGGCAACCTTAGCTTTTGAAGGTGAACATAATAACCACTTGTTTACCCAGATAATTGTACGCTTAGCCCTATATGATGAACATGATTTTGTGCATCTGTTTCAGATATAGCAGGTTTGAGAACAACAGGGAGATGGCGGCGAGGGCTAGAGAGGGTGTGGGTGCGGCAATGGGCGGGGCTGCAATGGGCGGGGCAGCAATGGGCGGAGCCTCCCTCATAGATCTGAGTGATGAAACCACCTCACAATTGTCTGGACTGTGTGAGTAGATAGTCTTTCCCTTAACGCTTGTTCTGTCCATTGTATTATTACATTTTTTTGTTGATTAGCAGTGATAACACAAGGTTCTATCCTGTAAAGATAAGCAAAGTTTACTGTAGCTTCAATACTCCATTGTGCTTTGATGTCATTTCATCTGAAAGCTTACATTATTTTGTTGTGTTGGCAGCTCTGAAGGCAGCGAGTAGCAGCTCGGCCCACAGCGCAGCAGCGGCCGCTCGCCCTGACAAGGATGATGAATTCGACATGTTCGCTCAGAGCCGAAATGTTACCTATGAAACATCCAAAAATGGGTAAGCACTTAGCTTGTGTTCCTGTTTACTTTGACCTCTTTATCACTTGTAAAAAGTAGTAGCTCACTTCCTCTTGTAAAATTATCACCACATGCTCAACATTCAAATGATCTAAACCCATCAGAATTGTAAAAACCATTCACAAGGTCTTTTGCTTTTGAAATTAATTTAAGCCTGAGATTTAGAAAATAATGCTGGTGACTACCCATCACAATACCTAACAAAATAATTTAATCTGTGGACAAAGCATTGTGTACTTTGTTTATATTATTGGCATGTATAGTTAAAGAATTGTTAGAAGACAATAAATGGTTGTATTTACAATCATAGTGAATAGTTAAGTTGTTAAAGTATAACTAGGATACTGTTACCCTTAAGACATAATTAAGTGAAGCCCTCTTTCAAAATTGTAATGATCGATGAGTACAAGAAAAGTAGTCATTTTAAGAGCTAAAACCTGACCTGTCCCTCATTTGATGTGATGCCATAACCTTTTCTGTTGCCAGCTAATGTGATAACGCATAAGGAATTATTAGTAGTTATGAGAATAATTGTGCTGTTGGTACTTGTTAGAATTTATAAATTTCTCTTGTATCTCAGGGGCAGCAGCACATTCGAGGCTAACCTTAAGCCAGACCAGATCAGTGGGAGCCTGGGAGCTGTGGCCCAAACTAGGTCTCAACCACAGACGCAGGCCAACACGGTAAATATCAAATAGTGTTATGTTGTTATGGGTTGTAGGCTAGATAATTGAACTATTCCCATCTACTCTTCTAAACAATTTCTTATGAATTATAGATTGTCTTAAAAGTTAAGTCTTGATAAAATGTCACAATTACATCCTTGTAAAAAGTGTAAAAAGGTTGAAAGCCAAGTGACTGATTGGGATCTTATTGAAAAAGGATTTGAGAAGGCTAGAGTTAGCAGTCTTACCTGAAAAGATTTTTTTGGATTACAGGTTTACTTGATTAGAAAAAGTTTAGTACAAAAACTGTAAAACGTTACATTAACAGATAGCCTAATTAGAATATTTCACTTTCTCCGTTAATAATACAGTTGTTTATAGTTTTATCATTCAGTGTAGATGTGTTTCTTTTTAGGATAAACCTTTTCACCTTCAGGAAGATCTGTACATATTTTACACAGAGCTATACTTATTGAGGGTTTTAATCAAAACCTCAATATAGTTAATTATTTATTAATTCCACTTTTCAAATAATATTTTATGTTGTAGGTTTTTTTTTGACAAACACACAATGCTTAGCACAGCTTTAGGATACGACACTGCTTTGGGTTGCCACAATTTTGAATTCAAATTATGAAAATCATGTAAAATGTTTGTTAACAATACCAGAAAAGTTTTTGAATGAAGAGATCTAATTTTGAAATATAATAATGTTTTACCTAATTGGTGACTTATGAGATTTGATTGACATAACCATTTCATGAAATAGTTTCTTACATTACATGAAAAAATGTCCATGGCTGTCACTCATATTCATGCAAATGGTTGATATGTCTACAAACCCTAAAATTTGTACTGCTATTAAATATATCAGGAGGTTGTAAAATAACAGCATACTCCAAATAATAAACATATTTTTTCTCCATTTTTTTGTGTGAAGAATAAAAGCTATTTTATTTTAAGTATTTTCCTAAACCTGTGACATATTTTAGCTGCAGAAACGTGTGATAAAAGTAAGTTTGGATTTGTTGCAATTTTTGTTTGTTTTTGTTTTTGGTTTGACACAATCCTAATATTTTGAAACTACTGTATTTTAATTTTTAGAATTCCAAATTAATACAGCAGTTTCACTGTAAACCCCCAAACACGTAGTTTTGAGTTTTTTATACAGTTGATTTTTGTAAGAGTATAACAAGAATTTTAATAGGCCTAAAACGACTACTAGGATTAGACTTTGTTACTAAACATGGATTTGATTTTGACCTTCACTTATGCTTTTGAGGTTTTCTTAAAAGTTTTTGAGTTATTTAACATCGAGTGGCATATACAATATACACTGAGTGACTATACTAGTACGTAGCATAGTACAGTGTTGTGTGTTGCTAATATGTTGTTGTTGTATTGCTGGTGGTCCAGGATTCCATCATAGGGGTAAGCTGCCGGCCGAGATTGCCTGTGCTTGTTTAGATATCACTCATCTCACTCACTAATCATTGTACTCGCAGACCAGACCTAGTGCACAAAAACTGTGGCAGTTTGTTTTAGTGTGTTGTTTTAAGAATTGTTGCAAATATTTCCCACATCGCTGAGTTTAGCATAAATTTTACGATCGATGTGGATTTTGATTCTTGTCTAGAAGAAGAAGAATTGAACATTTATCATTGCGAGGTTGGACAACCACCACAACTATCAAAGGAAAGCTAAATAAATTGCCAATTTGTTCTTGTGCACTAGGTTTAGAATCAGATTTTTTACTCAAATGTGATACTTCTACATGTCTATTTGTTCACTGCATACTTTCTGAGTGTGTCTACCACTGAATTTGTCCCATTGTCTCGTTTTCAATTATTTGCAAATGTTTCTTTTCTGTTTGTTTTTATTGTATCAGAGTTTATAGTTTATTTACACCTAACCTAATAATTAGGTTTGGAGAGAAAGGGCTAACCTAATAATTAATTTACTTTAATAGCAGGATATCTGCCAAAGTTCACTTTCCTTCAGCCTTTTCACTTGGTACTTAAATCAAGAAACATGCCATAAAAAATGCATTTTTAACATATTGTAATACATTTACAAACTAAAACCATTTAAGTAAAAGCTCTCCTTGTAAAATAGAAATATAACTTTCTAGAGTCAATAATTATGACATAAATTAACTACTCGTCACCTTTGGAACTCAAAAGTTTCACCAAATTATGTTATTTTAACCAAACATACTTAGTGCAGCTATCTAAACAATAACACTCTAGTGTTGTCAATAACTCAGAAATTAGTGTAGTGTAGATTAGCAGAATAACAAGTTAATGTTAACACTTTTTCTTTTAGTAAGTGTACACACTTAGTTATTATAAATTTATACTTTCATAGAATATTCTCTGAAATGCTTATCTTTTACATTTAGGAAGCAAACATTATTTACTTTAAACAAAATATTCCAAATAGATATTTTTTTGTTCAATTGAAAAGTTTAATAATATCAAAAGTAAATATTTTTAGGCGCTAAATGAGGACGAATCAAGCTTTTAAATATGGGGGAAATACAATGGTCAGATACATAAAAAATCATCTTGTTGTACCTATAAGGTCGAGGTATGCCATCTGGCTAAAAACATATCTTATTTTAATTGCCAATTTGAACAAATAGTTATAGATAGAGTAATAAATTATTTTATCATCAATGTTTATCAAATAAATTTTTTCTTTTATATTCATTTCTTTTGAACAAATTTAAGTTTAATATAATTACATTATCATTCAATCACAAACATGCATGATGGCATTAGTGTACACAAATGAAAAGACTGAAATTTGCATTTTGAATGCAAAACTGTCATAGTTCGGATTTCCAATGGAGACCAGGCCAAGCCCAACTCGTACTTTAAAGAACAATAAACAGTAAACACATACGTCTTCAAGTCACTGAGTAATTCGATCCATTTTTTAAACTTTCATCTCTAAACATTTTGCGCACACGTTTTATCCAAAATTTTGCACTAAACTTGTAGTAATTACAATTACTTAGCAGGCACACACTATGTTTGCAGCGAAAAAAGTTAATAGGTATGATCACCATTTTTTTACAACATAGTCATATATTTGTATATTCTGCTATGCTTGTATAGTCTTGACTGACATGGGATTCAAACCCTGAATGTACAGTGCTTTACCTGGCAAAAAAAACAACACCTTATAGGCTACCGCTTTGCGGTTTTTATATTTTCATCTTCTTAAAATACATAACAAACCATTTTTCTTACATGTTAAATTCAGATTGTATATTGCATTATACATGCTGTCCTGGTCTCTATTCCGTAGTGTTGTCAGAAATAAATAGTTTACATTCAGATATTCAAACTGCTCCAAGATTTATATTGCAGACAATGAACTGCATGTTACTATGCATTTTGACAGTTTGTAATTTCCATTCCCTATAACTTATAATCTATGAGTTGTGTTTAAGCTGATTTAATTTTACAAGTTGAAAAACTGTCTTGTGTTATGATTCTTCAAACCTTAAAAAAATTTCATAGAAAACATTTTCAATGAAAGTTATAGTCTTCAAATAGTACAAATGTTTCAGCCTTTTTTTATGATTCGTCAAAATAACGAAATATATGAAAAAAATAATTATTCCATTATTTTGTCACTTATACCCATAAAAATGTTGGCGAATCATTTTAAAATTGTTATTATATGATATTTAATTCAAGTTTGTTTTTCCAGATGCATAAAGAAAGCGACTTTGATGAAATGGCCGCATGGCTTGGTGACGAGGTAATAATTCAATTGAGATTTTAAAATTTCAACTCTTTAGTACAACTCTTATTAGTTACTAATATTGTTTGTGGATGAAAAAATACTGTTAAAAATATAGAAAAAAACATGTTTTGTATTGTTAATATTTTTTTTTATAAAGATTCTATTACTATCTTTAGGTGAGACAGTACGTAAAATTTAAAATATCCTTGACACAACAGAATTATTGATTCCTTAGGCCTTCTAGGTTTTGTGGTGTTTTTTGAAGGTAATACGATGTTTGGGTTTGTAGGCTTCACAAGAGTCGCTGACGTCTAGCGAGTTTGAGAGGTTCTTGGCCGAGAGAGCGGCAGCCGCAGACAACCTGCCCACCCCTCCCTCTCACTCTCCCTCCTCACCCTCCCACGCAACTCGACACAGACGCGGCAACAAGGAGCCAGAGGACGCATCACTTTACGCCCTCTGAGACTCAGGTACCTGTTAAATACCTGACATCATAATAGGTTTGATTGGAAAGGTCATATTGTCTTTTTAGGAGACTGAGAATTTAGGGGACAAAGGATAGGATGAGTAGGCTTACCTTAAAAATTGTGGACCATTCCACTTCACAAAAGAAAAAACTGAATATAATTGGTAATGAAATCTTCCAGAATATGGTGACTCTTAATGTTGAAAAAGGGGCGAGTGGCTTTGAAATATTCAGTTTTTCCTTTGTGTTTCCATTTATGAAGTGGGGTGTCCACAATTTTTAAGGTAAGCCTGCCTATCCTGTCCTTTGTCTATCTTAATAGGCAATCTTTTATTTGACAATGCTCTTGATAATAGGATTGAACGTGGATAAAAATCTCCAATCGAGCTAAGCAGACAGATGAAATCTGTCACTACAGTAGGAACCACGAGAGTCTGCAGTTAGTGGCAGCCAATCACAAACAAGGCTAGTACAACGTTGCCATATCGCCCGTTGTTGACACTAATTAAAATACTAAACAATATTTTCAAATCAGCTGATAGTATTAGATTTGGCAACAACGTGCGGTTCTCACTGGCTACCTCGAAGTCATATGGTAAATAGGCTCCTCCCTCAACTGCAGACTCTCGTGGACCGTACTGTAGTGTCATATTCTTTACTTACACTACCATTAAGACCAGTCTCTATGCCATAATTGTTTTCATCTTCGTAGCCAATAACAATGTGAGGAGACATCAAAGCATCTGCCAAATCCACTATTGAAATTTGTTAACAGTTGATGTGTACGAGGAAAGTGTATGGATATAAAAACGTGTGCATAGGTGGTGTAGGAAGACAGCATACTATTGCACCATGGACAGCAAGAAAAGTTCAGCAATCTCTTTTTCAGTCAAGATTTCCCCAACTTTGATTTCTACTTCAAACAAAACTGATGAACGACCACAGCCATGCAAAGTATAGTTGACATCAAACAAATGTTTACAACCGTCTCCAAACTCCCTTCTACTCTTGGTGCACATTTTCTATGTCCAAAAACTTTTCTTTATTCACATACATTAATTAACGATGCATTTAAATACAGGTTGACCCAGAATACAGAACTCAATTAACACTTGGGAGCGATGATTTCCCCCCACATTGTATTGGCTATTACATCAAAACAAAATCGTCAAGGATGACATAATCAAAGTTTGAAAGAAACCACAAAAGTTTTTTTTATTGAGAATACTTTGGGCCACAATTACTTTGCATTTTTAGGGGCTTTGCACCAAATTAAAATTGCTACTTTCTTTACCTGTCGCATAGGGCATACCTTGAAGTACCTGTATTGTTGTTACAGTGTAAGAGAGTGAGGGTGTTTGTGACGTACTTACCTTCTCGGATGTGTTGCTGAGGCTTCTTTCATCCCAACTGCCAGGTGCTGGGGAAATGCCACACGTTCAACACTTCAACATTACCTAACAGTTGATACATGTATGTTTTTATTACTTCATACGAGTATTTTAACCATTTAATGGTTGACATTTTTGCAGCTTTGTCATTTATGTGATTAACCGTTATGTTAATGTATGAATATTTTTGTGATCTAAACTTTCAATATGATGGGTAATATTTTATAGATTTCCCTGCCAATTTTTTTGGGAGTTGAAGCATTGAAGCTGTTTCAACCTATATTTAAGAAGTATTCTAAATTAAATAATGTTTATCATTGTATAAGTTTAACCATAGACTAACCAACACAAGTAGACTTCTCGTCCCATGGTAAATTTTAAAGCATGTTTTTCGTGTCTTGTTCATGTATGGTGACACTGGGCACTAGTGTCGATGAAATTTTGTTTCTATTATTTTAGGGTTAATTTCTTGATTTGTGTTTTACTTTTTAACTAGGGGACGAGTTATTGTTTATGATTATTATTTGGTCAAATGAGGTTTTAAATGACTGAAATAACAAGAAACAAATTGTAAACAAAACGCAACCTTTTACAGTACACCATACAGAACTAACAATAAAATTGTCTTCAGCTGTTCCATAAGGATGAGAAGTCTACTAAGGGACTATGTTTTATCTATGGTTTAACCCTATTCTGAGTTTTGTGAATTAATATTTTCAATTCACGCAAAGAACATAAACTCCAAACATAACTGCCAAATAACATGAAGTTAATGCTGTATCAGGTTCAACTGTTTTCAAATTTGGAAGACGGAAGAAATAAGTTTCATTATGTGTATATTATTAATTTACATTTTTACTGAAACTTCTTTCTTTGTTACTGAAGCAAATTAATTTTGTTGGACAGTTTCTAAACAAATCAAACATCCATTCCTTTCTTCTTTTTTGTAGTTAAAAAGAAATACGTGTTTTGATACTTGCAGTATCACGCAACACATCCGAACATAAAGTACGTATCGCTTTATTTATTGTAGTATTAAACTGTTTGTCCGTGGTTCTGTCAAGGGTTGATAGTTTGCAAACTTTCCTCCGATTGTTTTTATTGCCTCTGTTATAAGTATGAGTTTTCGGTAGGTTAAGTATCAAAATCAGTTTTACACAGAGGTGTTGTGAACTCATGTTTTATCTCTTGATAAATTTTGTGATCAGATTTTCAAATCTGTATACAATAGATTTGTTTATTTATTTTTGGTCAGGTACCTTTTTACTTTTTGTAACAAATATAAACATAGGAATTGCAATTTTCCTAATGAAAATTTACTAAAATTATTTTTTTTAAATTAATTTTCCTCTCATTTTAAGATTTTTAACACCGTTGACTACGGATATAACTAGACATTCGATTCATATATTAAAATTGTGGCCAGTTGTAGAATAATTATAAACATAATTTTATTCGGCCTCTGACACAATATGTTGTTTGTTGTTAATTACTGGTTATCTTGTAAATCTACAACTAATTAACAAAGTAAACTGAAAGGTTGTATTATTGTTAATTATAGCAAATTGTTATACCTTGTTTTTACAACTTGAATAGTTCCTCTTTCATAGTAAAAAGAGGAGCTCATTTAACTTGTTTCAAGAGGTTGGCAGCCTCGTTTATCGCACATTTTCCCGTCCACAAAAAAGTTTGATCAGTATCTCAGTTAACTTTTTTTTAAAGAAGTTGGAGGCCTCTTTTTCCATGCATTTATCCGTTCACATGGGCTACAGAGGCCTGTGCGTGGAATGTATCCAGCAAAGCAAGGGGTGAGCCGGTAAAAAGTGTAAACTGTACTGATAAAAGTAAAAGCAGGTGTCTGGATCCGAACCCGCTGCGTTTGACCCAAAGTCCGTGGTGCTACCGACTTATCTTACTTGCTTAGTTCTATTTGAAAACGAAATTGGCTTCAGCTGATTCATGTAGATGGGATGTCTAAATGGTCAAAGATGGTGGAATCTATATATTATGGAATGCACCATCAAAACTAATCAACATTTAATTTAGTCCTGAACTAGGGAATTGAAAATAAATCGGTATTTGATGCTTCCCAAGCTAAATTCCTATGTTTATATCTACTTACCTAAAACTTAAATAAAAATTTCTGTGTAAAACTGACTTTACATACCTATGTTTGGATGGTGATGTATATATTATATAAATTTATAATATTTAAATACTAAGATATGTTATTATTACGTAGAATTAACTGTGAAACAACTCTCAAATGAAATAGTAAATTTGTACTGATTTGTGTAAATGAATGTTAATCTCTAACATTCTCTTTGAAGGTACATTCTTTTTATCTATTAAGAAATACAAATAAGTGGTTTAAAATAGTTTTATTTTACATTATTTGATTTTTTCTGGCCACCGACCTTTTATTCAGCATGTAATTTAAATTTTGAGTAATTCTAGTCGGAAACAGAGATTGGATTCTGTTTGAAAAGTTTATTTAGTAATTTTATAACCATTGAATGTAACTCAGAAGATCGTAAAAATTTTGAATGGAGTAACTAACGATGGGTGTCTGTTTGAGATTATTTTATTCCATTTTTTAAGTCACAGAACGGAGGAATTCCTTTATTTCACTAAATGTAAGTTAAATGCAATGAAACAATTTGTATTTGAATTTGTGTTGATCACGTTTTTTATGTCACATGACCTTGATGCATTATGTGAAAAGTATTTAAGTTTGAGGTTTAGGTTTTTGGAACAAAACCAGTCTGTGACAGAACAAATTCTATTTTAATTGTTAAGTTGTTATCTTTGTAAATTTAAAAGCAAGTTATTTTTCTTTTTCAGAAGATTTTATGGCTAATAATGAATTAAGTTGCCCAATGTATTCTGTGCAAAGTAGACTATCTCTTGTTTGGAAATGTCGGATTGCCGAGACCGAAATTTTGTTTGAAACTTAAAGTCCAAACTTTCGGAAGATACAAAAATGCCAGGATATGGTTTTTAAACGACACATGCGTGCAAAATTAGTAATCTCCAGGACAAAATCATTACCCTAGGCTAAAGCAATAACATCTATAATTGACACGTTGCTTAACGGACAACGGACAGGCTTTGACTTCATTTTTCATGGCTATGGACAATTCGGCAGCTCTGGGTACGAGTCATTGTGAGAAGCATCCAATTCTAATGGTTCTGAACCAGAGGTAGTCTACCGCATTTGTAACTTTTATGTGCATGTACTAAATTACTCTACAAACAAATTTCGAGACTTTTTTTATTTCTGAAGCTGGGCTCAGAAATTGTATCACTGTAAAATATGTTTTGTTTAAGTTTGATTTTAATTCACGCTGGCTGCTTATTGAGCCGTAATAAGGTTTGTCTGTTACATATTGTATACTAAACATATTTTATTTATCTACTTGATTAATCAGATTATCTTATTTTTTATCAATACGTTTTTTAACCTTGAGATTAACTTTGGTTTTGTGTTTGTGACTTTAACATTGCACTTAATAAAAGTTTTTTACATCCACTTTTTATTATTGTTGATGGGATTAGTTTAGTTTTGACTTTGAATCAATTCGTTAAAGATCATTCCGTTGTCATTACCTGTGATAATGCTTGTTTTTTTATTGCAATGCTGCAAGTTTATTTGAAATGTTTTTTTCATAAATAAATTGTGTAAAGTGGTAACGATTAATGTATCGCTACACAGGACCATGAGGTTGGTATGTAAACGCCTTACATCGTCGTCACATTCGTGTTATCAAATGTGTAACTATATTGTGTAAGTATAAAAATAAATACCTAAGTTATTGTTTGAATTACCTATGTCTTTATTTTTCCATTCAACTTTTAAATGTTAACTCCAAGTATCTTTATCAATTGGGACCAGACAATCAAAAAGCCACATAATTGATTTCCTAAGATAATAGTGTCATAAACAAAAATTAGTGTTAAAACAGTTGATCTAATGTACATTTTGACACTACAATAGACTCGTCACAAAGTGCGACAGATTTGGTATCCTGTAAAATATGTCACAAAGTACCGCAAACTGATATAAACTTAGTTTTTCTGGCAGTTTTTTTTTCTTTCTGATGCGATTTGGATAATGGACGATTCAGATGATTGCAGTTCAAATAGTTCTCTAATGTATGAACAGTAAATTAAAAATCATTGGACTGTCGTCACTGTCGATTCTAGATTCAATAGCATTAGTAGTGTAAATCGCCTATAGTAGTGTCTAGGACTACGACTTCAGATTAGAGAAGTTTTGTAGTAATTAAACAAGTTGTGGCTTTAAGTGGAGTAAGATCTCCAATACAGAAATAGTTGCATGTATTTTATAATCAGATTTTTTTGCATAATACATTATGTAAAAAAATCTGATTGGCTCCAACCAAAGAGTAATAACGACACTGTCACAAGCAAATTATGTTTGGTGAGATTTGAACCTGTGCTACAGGAGTGACAAGTCCTAAAACAGCTGAGTCTTTCTTTCAATATGGAGTAAACATACTGAGTTTAAGAGGCCCCCAACCTTTTTTAAAAAAAGAAAAAAAGTTGAAGAACAACTTGACTAATGAAGGAGCTAGTAGCCAACAATCACATCTCAATATCGTTATTAAGAACGTTTGATTGAACATTAGGTAAAGGTAAAGTATAAAAAAATATATGTATTTGTAAGATTTTTATATTAAAAAAATTAAGATTGGAAATTATACAAATGGTTAAAATCTATTTACACTAGAAGCCTCTCGATTTCATGTTGAATGGCTTGAATCTGAGGCTTGAGTTGTGAGCCCTCGTTCATTGTTACTGAGCAAGCCACGACAGGACGAGACACTCCACAAGCCCGCCCCAGCGCTGCAACATGTTAAGTTCAGCATTAGCAAAATCCAGAGGTGACCATTTCAACAGTTTGTAGAGATAAAGCCTATTAGGCCTACTCCTAGCATTTATTTAGTTGACAGTTGACACATTGTCAGGGAGGACCCTTTACCAGTGATGTAGGCCTGATACCCTAACAAATACCACAAAGAATATTTTAACGAAGCATTGGATCTGTACGGGTTGGACGCAAATGTTATTACCTATTTGAGAATGGTTTATTGGTTTATTCAAACTTGGCACAAGAGCTTAAGACAAAGATGAATCAAGGATGTGTATAGAAAGAATTACTAATGATTCCTTAGCAGCGAACTTGCAGTTGAATCAAAGTAAAAATCACCAACTGTAAAAATACATCAATAAGCTGGGCTATAACAAGTAACATAAGTGCATTATCTAGTTATATATTTGTGGCATGTAGGCCTAATAATAAAGCTTGACATCTTGCCAACCAGAAATATTGGGCTTTTACAGTTCCAAAAGGGCCCAACCAATTGGAAAAGAGTTTATCCAAACCTTTCACAACTAATCAATCCAACACAAAAAAACCTAAATTTTCCTTGATGGAAAAATAACACTCCTTAACTTTCTGGGGTCTGCAGAAAAACTCAATGATGTAGACCTACCTCGTATGCATGCGATAGGCCTATCTTAATCATAAACTCTACAGTGGAAATAGGCCTAATCTAGAATAGTGCATCGACATACCTTGCTTTGATCGCACAAAGACGTACGGAACGTTCTTGTCTTCACACAACAGTGGGAGATGCAGTAAAATCTCCAATGGGACAGCATCAGCCGCCATGACGATGAATTCTGACTGACCTCTGTTGAGGGTTTTGGTGGCTGGATTAAAAAAAAAGTAAGTTAACATTCAAGTAATTTGCAGCTACTCAGATAAAAGCTAAATGCTATATGATAAAGCTAAACTAATTGGATATAGGTCCAATCCTTATTGTAGAATTATTAAGCATCACATTAAAAGGATCATGGCTAGTTTAATTTTTAAAGAATTAGAGGTAGGACATAGACTGCATATAAAACACACAATATTTTCTTTTCTGGGAGACTTGTTCAAGTGTGGCTGGAGAGTTCACAAAGAATTTAACTTATTTTTTTTGTTAAATCTCTGTCTACATTTGAGAAGTCCCCTGGGGCATAATAAAGGGTCTCCGAAAAAAAATAGGCCCTAACAGGATTTTGAACGGCCATTGCTTGGGGGACATAATAAAATCAAAGGAAAAAGAACAAAGTTTTTCCCATAACTTTAATACATTCTAACAATTTTATAAAACTCTAATTGTCATCAATCTTATATACCGATATATATAGCATATTTCTGGCAAAGTCTACGATGTGGGATGAGTCAAAACGGTTTCCTGCCACCACCGACCTATTTTGTACATGCCAAGGTAATATTTTTTCCCCTACTACTTGGAAAACAAAACTTAGTTATTTGAACTCCAAAATGACATTCAAATCGTTTAGTTAAGCCTATCATAAAAACATGCCCAAGCAATCACTGTATACATACAATCTAGGCATTCTTTTTTGGATGTACCCTATATTGTGTTTTATATGTCTTCAGTGTGTTCCATGACCTCTGTACTTCTAGGTAAACTAGCTACGGTACTACAGTATCTCTTCATTATACAAATCAAAACTCTTATCTAGAGCTTTTCCTGGATAAAACTTATTATCACATTGGGAATTTTTACTGAGAACTCCCGACTATCCAACTTCGATTAGCCTGTTTACAGTATTTACACATTTTGTTAGTCCTAATAAAATATTTGGTTGGTTTGATTTTACCAACGTTTGGGGTATTTTACAGAAACTTACATATTCCTTCTGTTTTAATATCTTCAGAACGCATTTAACATATTGACAACTGATCTTGTTTAGGCAAAATAATAAGTTAAAAAGGATTAGGCCTAAGAAATGAAACTGTTCTATAGGGAACCTAACCTATCAAACCAAACTTACTGTAACATTTCAAAATTCCGTTTGATTATCTCCACATGCCTTTTCTATTATCAAATGGAATTTTGAAATATTATTACAGCTTGTTTAGGTTAGTTTAGAACAGTTTCATTTCAATACAATATTTTTTTTTTAATTATTTGTTGATACTGAACAATATTTATTTATCGTTGTTGTCAGCTCATTTGATGAATGTTCACTTCAACAGGAAAGTACCTAACACTCAGGGTTTGTTTATTGTTTACCTTCATTAGCTCCTTTCCTAAGCTGGGTATAGTTCATTGCTTGCTGAATCAAAGCTAGGATTTTGGAAGTCAACGCAGCATCAGCCAAAGGGTAAGCTTTTGGATTCACTTCTTCAGTCTGAAAAAACCCTTAAGTTAATGAAATAAAAAATCATGATTTAAATTAATAGGCCTAACTTTTTACTTTCAGGTAAGTTACAACTAAACAGAAAATTATGTAAAGCATAAATTAAGTTAGACTGGGAGTTAGCATAGACAAATAGAATAAATATAGACGGTCAAAGGAAGGTTCTAAGTTACCTGTTAGAAAACCCCCGAAATATTATTTTACGGAAAATGACATTGTCGGTAACTTACTCAAACTAACCGGTAGAGCAAGATGAACAAGAATAGGGCCAAGTAAGATCCGATGAATATTAACAGAGATACAGCCGGAAAAGCGTCAGAAAATCTAGTTAGCGCCAAAATGACCCAAACTAGGTTGGATTAGGTTGAGTTAGGTTAGGTTATTAAAAACATGGGTATTGTTAGTGACCTAACCTAACCTAAACTATCCCAACTCAGCGTAACCTAACCTAACTTAACCTAGTTTTGGTAATTTTGGCGCTAACTTGATTTTCCGTCGCTTTTACGCCCGTATCTCGGTTAATATCCATTTGATCTTTAAAATTCTTGCATTTCATTGTTCAACTCGTTTTTCCCATTAATTTGAATAACTTACCTAGGGACATAAACAATTTACGTGGATTTCTTTTTGTCGTTTGCCGGCGATTTTCTGGCCGTTTCTCGATAACTAATGGGATCCTGAAAACTCTTAGATATTCTTGTTAAGCTCGCTCTACCGGTTAATTTGAGTACCCACAATGTCATTTTCTGTAAAACAAATGTTTTCAAGGCTTTCCCGATTTTCCGGGTAAACACCTGGACCTTTCACAAAATATTAAAACAGTACAGTGTGGATGTGAAAGGGTCGTTTCCGAGAAAAACGACAACCTTTTTTTCAAAAAGAGTAAAATTTCGGACATTTAAAAAAAAATGTTAGTTTCGGGTGAGGTCTGGAGGTCAATAATTAGGCCTACCGTCTTTTCCTGCACGGAAGCTCCAACTTAATTGCTTACCAAGTTAGTTTCATTAATATGGACCGACGTTGCCTTTTTTGCCTTGGTGTTCCAATGTTATCAATGGAACACCAATCCTTCTTTGTAACGGTCTATTTAAAGGCACTGAATTCTCTGCAGTGGTACAGGAATGACTGTCGCACAACTGTGTCGCTTGGTCAGTCGGTATGATGGTTGGTGACGTAATATGATTATTGGAAAAACTGTTCTTTACTTTGTGGCATCACTGTAAGTTATGCACCCTATGCCTACGTATTATCCATTATGCATTATCCTATTAGCTTTTATATTTGTTCAATTATAAACAATTATTGAAAAATCTGTTTTTTACTTAACTTACTTTCACCTACAATCATAAGAAAATTTAACTGTCGCATTTATGTTTAGGCTATTTCAAGACAAATATACCGGTAATAATTTTAACTATTGTCTTCGCTATAGACCGGTGCGACATTACAAAAGGTGGAGTTAAATATTATAAAACAAGAATAGGCTAATGTCTTTATTATTTACAAACAAGATTGAAGAGTATTAAGTTACAAAGTAAATGATCACTGTTTAACAGGTTTGTTTCTGTGGTCTGCGCGTACTGTTAACCAAGTGACAGCCAGTCTATAAGATTAAATTGTATAGGCTACTTTAGCCCGTGGCAATAATCGCGGCGTCACATATTATAGGCTATGCGACGCTCGTTAGTGAACGTGTTATTGGCACTCGTGAGCCAGTGATGGTGACATGCTGGCTGGGTTAACTAATTTAAAACGTATAGCTGATGAGAATCTAAGTCTTCCTAAATACGCCATTTCTATTATTATCATACATGGGCAATCTGTAAGCTTATTATAGCCTAATTTTAATATAGGAATTCCACACAACACCATCTGTTGAGCTTTACCACTGTCCAGTCCACAGTAGGCCTAGGCCTAGTAGGTATAAGTGACGAGATGCCTTCACCAGTTTGGCAATCGCTCACAATATCTCGAATTGTCCCATAATTTGATCCAGAATTAATAAATTAATGGCCGAGTATCCCACCTTGCCCTTGGGTGGCAAAGTCTAAAACCACGTGTTTCGTTTTAGACAATGCTACGAAGAATGTCCACCTAATAAATTTTGTTTGTTGGACAATCTAAAATTTGTTGGACGTTCTAATCTCGTCAAAATTATTATCTCAGACTTACCATTGTGTGGAGCAGCAAGTTAAGTTCACAGAAAAGACTAATTCAATCTGAAAAGATATCTAGATTATTACAAACTCTCGGCGACTCAGGTCGCTTCACTGAGTTATATTTTCAAGTTATTTCTTGCAACAGAAAAAGGCAAAAATTAAACTGCAATGTTAAACGACAACGACACACTAATGGTAAACAAAAACAGGCACCAAATAGACGCGAACTTGAGGCCGTAATAAAATCGTAGATACGGACGATAAAGGAAGGGTACGTACAGCCGGCAGCGTGGGTACTTTGAGGTTATGTCAGTTTCTGTTCTGTTTACATGCTAAAAATAGCTTCCGGGAAAAACTCAAGAATCGAATGCCGTATTGACCATATCCCATAGCATCGACATAAATTCGACCTTGTAGGATATAGCGACCATCTTGGATCCCACCCCACGACAAAAAATTTGGAGAATGGGCAGAAAAAGAACATGATTCCCCAAAAATGTGGTGTGGTATTGTTAGTGTCTCCGGCTTTCAACTTCCATGCAGAAGGGACGATTTCGATTCAAGGCTCACTCACATCACGGGGTTGGCTTGTTTGGACTTCTTTCGCCAAGAGTCTAAGCATTGACTAAGCATAGATAAAACATACTCCCTTAGAGATTTCTCATCCTTATGGAACAGCTGAAGACAATTTTATTGTTAGTTCTGTACGGTTTATGTAGAGGTCGTGTTTTGTTTACAATTTGTTTCCCGTTATTACAGCCATTTAAAACCTCGTTTAGCCAAATAATACGATCTAATCATAAACAATAACTTGTCCCCTAGTTATATAACCAAACGAAACAGTAAAGCACAAATCGAGAAATTAACCCTAAAATAATAGAAACAAAGTTTCGTCGACACTAGCGCCCATGTGTCACGTACATGAACAAGACACGAAAAACGTGCTTCAAAATTTACAATGGAATGAGAAGTCTACTTGTGTTGGTTAGTCTATGATAAAACAACATGCTAACTTAACCCCCCTCAAGGATTATGTTTTATCTATGCTATAATTAATGAAATATCACTCTTTTAAAAAATACTAGTCTACTACTTTAATGTGGGTGTAGAGAGGTCGTTAGAAAATGGCAAGTATTTACCAGTTTAATTTACAAGAGTAAAACTTTATGAAACACACTTGCTGTCTACACTAGTAAAAACCACTATTAATACTAGTCCCTACACTAGTAACTAGTATTTTACTTTAGTAGGTTTTTGAAACGTAGACTTGTAAAATACACTAGTATTACTAGTCCATGGACTAGTTAATACTACTGGTATTTTTATGAAACAGGGCCCAGTAGTTAATGCGTGATTGAACTTCAAACAAACAAACATACAAACTTTCACATTTATAATACATAAATAGGCGCATATTGAGCTGTGCGGCACGGTCCCGGCAGTGCAGCACAGCACAGGGCAGTATTGGGTAAAAAGTCTGCGTTGCACGGTGGACATCGCATATTGGGAAGCATTGTGTCGTACAGTTCTCGTATCTGAGTGATACAGTTTCTTAATGTGAGCATGTTGTTAAATATTAGGATTTGAGTTCTGAGTCAGATTCGGATGCTGATCTAAATTTATTGTTACTTCTTCAACAGAGAACAAGAAAGAAAGGGCGAAAAAATGTGCAAAGTTTAGTGATTTTCGTATTTTCTCCCAGATTTAATTCTTGTAATTAATCTGTATGTACTTACATGACTGGTAACGCAAAAACTGGATGAAAACGCATAATTTCTATAAATTATCGCCTAGATCCACCAAATCTGCTGGTAAAAAAATACGAAAATCACTAAACATAGCAATTTTTTTCGCTCTTTCTTTCCTCTTATTTGGAGAAGAAGTAACAATATTATCATGCTACTCACATGCGATAACGGTACGACACTGCTTCCCAATTTGCGATGTCAACTGTGCAACACAGACTTTTTCCCCAACGACTGGGACGGGTGGCGTCGTCCTGTAATCCAGCTACTAGGAGGTCACGAATTGTGGATAGGCATGCATTGTCATAGGCATGCACTGTGGATGCGATACTCCCAGGTGTGGATTAACGTCCGCACAAGTGAGTACTACGACTATCCGCAGTACTGTCCTGTAAATGGGAGGTTGGGGTTCACCCCGTCAGCGTGCTGACGGTCCCCTTCCTCCTGGCTATTGATGGCGGGTTCTGCCTGTCAGGGATTAGATAGGTCCTGAGTGTTGCTTGCACTAAATGCGTCGGGGCGCTCTACCATGGACCTCTAGGTTCCGACCTAGTGGAACCCAGGTGGAGTGACGCTTAAACAAGCAGCCGGAATCCCTGGTTAGGATTGAGGGGCAACCCTCCTTCCGAAGGGTCTGCTTCGGCAGCCGGCGAGCCTGATGACCTTAAGTCATCCGCCCATGATGTGCTAAAGGTTGATGCGTAAGCTTCGGCCTACATCATGGGGCCCGGGTAAGTCTCACGATAGGTACCGGGTATGCAGTCAGGGGGCTTCGGCTCTCATGACAAATAATGTAATGTAATGTAGTACTGTCCTGATAATTAGCCTAATTCGTATATACCAAGGCGAAAAATGTTGTTCGGATTCCACTATAAACTGTAGGTCCCTTAGTTGCCATTAGCTGTATGGGCTATTAATTAACAGCTGTGTCTAAGGAATGTCGGCCTTAGTCACTAACAAGACTACAAGATCGTGCCACTCATCCTACACTCATCCCCATTCATACTTGGCTTAAAATACCTACGGTACTATGTATGGTTGCCATTTCATAAAAAAGTATTAAAGTATTAATGCTGCCCTGTGCTGTGCTGCACAGCTCAATATGCGCCTGGGCTGACTCGGACACAAGTGCGCGCAGTCCACGTGCGGGACTGCACTACCCTACCCTGCACTGTGTCACAATATGCGCGTACCCTAGCGAAAACGTGGTTTACAAAAAACTGCTCTGCCTTGTGCTGCGCTGCGCTGCTCTGACTGCGTCTCATGAGCCAGGCGTTGGGCCGGCACAGATTGAGACGTACAAGCGTATACATCCTGACAATCGCTTTCTCACAATATCGCAGCAGAAAACGTTACCTAAAGAAAGTAAGAAGAAATAAGAACTTTTAGAATGGAATGGAATAGGAATTCCGAATCGTTTAATTTCTAATTTCAATGTTCATGCTGCATATTTATGCCTTTCATCTGGTAACACTAAGCTCTTAGTCTTGTGTAGGGCTTATTGTAATTATTTACGAAGTCAATGAAATGTTATAGCAGCATAAATAAAATGTAGGTCTTCTCTGTATATCTTACTTTTCTGCCTGCTTAATAACGGGTGGGTCCCATATGACTGACATGACCTCCCATCTCTAGTAATCCGTGTCAGGTAACCTGCTCGCCAACTGCCTTGTGCAGCTTGAAGCGCGATGTGTTGGCATAAAATAGGTCGGGTGAAGACTGAAGAGCTGAGCTCCCAGCTTCATGAGGCGTGGAATCATGCTACTCTAATGGTAAAGAGTTGGTTACTGTTATCCTGATTCCTGAGTAATCATACGGTGCATGTAGGGAGGGACGTGAAATCGAAACTGGTGCAGTTACGGTCAGTTCACATCCCCAGTTCCCACCACCATGGTAGAAGGAGAGTCCCCACTAATTAATTATGGGTTAAAATACTCACTTAGGTGGCGTACCCATCTCATTTGTTTGTAATTTGGTTAAATTGTAAATTATCGGCCGATAATTTTTGATGATTCTAAATAATAGAGAAAGAACCAAAATCCCCCTGCTTCCAGTCAGTGAAACCAATGATGCCTTCATCAGTCTCTTTCCTTAGTTTCATTTTATTTATTTATTTATTTATTTATTTATTTATTTATTTATTTACAGACGGAAAACTCCATTTTCATACATACAATCATGGCAAGAAGTTTCATATTCAACTTACATAGAACAATTCATACATCACATCAAGATGACCTGACTAAAGAACCCTAATAAATAAGAATGTATCAAAATATATCAATATATATAACAATAAGATAACAAAAAATAACAATGAATAGCGATGAATAACAATAAATAACAATAAAAAACAATAAATAACAATAAATACAATAAATAACAACAATAATTAACAATCAACATGGGGAACAACAAATTTGGTAATTAGCTAACAAGATAAAAAATCAAAAAACAAGTAACAGTAAACAACAACTACAGAAACAAAATACCCCCGCCGCAGCAAACCTGCCGTCTAAGCGAATTTCCATTTGGCCGAATTGATTTTCAATGGATCTATTTAAATAACATTAGGTTTAACGAGTACCTAGGTTTGCTGCTACAAGGAAACTAATAAAGTAGTGTGTTTTTTATTAAATACTGATAGCTTACTATAAAATAAATAAATTTGCCAAGTTTGATCAAAATATATCCATAAACAAGCAAACTACAACATTTTACAATATTCTCCATAAGAATAACATGGGAATTTTAAATTTACAATTTTTTTAGTTTTCTCCGTAACCAATAACCGTACAAAAACACTTAGATATACTGAATTGTTTGTTTTTTTAAGCTCTTTAAGAAGGTTTAGAGAAAAATTGGGAAATTTTGTGTTTTGAGGGTAAGAAGTGAGAAAAACCAATTTTTACCCCATAAAACCCCCCATAAAACCCTGTTCCCATGGTCCGATCATGCTGGATCGCGAACTCATTCAAGTTTATCCCGCCTTACACCTTCAAACCAAATTTCATCAAAATCGGATCAAAATTACTCAAGTTATCGTGTTCACGGACACATATATATATATATAAATCTATATATATATATATATATATATATATATATACATATATAAAAATTTGAACGAATGGTGTTTTTGGCCTCTGGGGACATTAAAATGAAAAAGTAAATCGGTCCCGGGCCTAAGTCTTACCATGAGACCTACGGTAATAGCTACTTCCCTATAGGGAAATTCGCTAAAAGAAGGTAACAGTATAATGATCAACAGCAGCTAAGCGAAGAAACTCTTCAGCCCATTTCTAAAGACTTCATCGGACATGGAGAAGAAGTCCAGGTGTTCTGGAAGACAGTTTCCAAGGCGATGGAGACGTGGCATAGTGCTGTGGTACGCATATTGTGTAGAGCAATATCTCCTCTCAAACAGTTGTTTTGATCTTGTCGATTTCAACGCTCGAAGGTCGATTCTTCCCAACAATTCAGGTGAGTCCACTGAAGCTGAGATTATCTTCCTCAGAAACATTAAATCGGAGATTCTACGCCTGACTGACAAGGGTTGAAGAGTCAATTAATTATTTTAGATGTCATGCGACAATATCAACTTACTTGTCGAGCTAATGAGATGTCGACATAGACAATCGGCTCTTAAGAGCACACCTTTTTCTTTTTACTCTTTCCTATTCTTTACATTCAGCGTCGTTGCCGGTGTGTCGTTGCTGTTTCTGCCATCTTTCTTTCTTTCTCTTCCGCACCACCACTGGAAACAGTTCAACGTGATGGTCCTGCAAATCTTTTCTTGTTAAAATGTAATCTCTGAGTTATTAGTGAATTTAAGTGATGTACTGAGGACTTGTTTCAAATGGACACTTGTGTTCTGACCCTGCAGCTATTACCATTTCAAGGTAAATATTGACAATATAACTCTTAGTAATCAAAATGGCGTCCAAGCTAGGCCTAGGGCCCGAGACCGATGACCAAACTCGATTAAGATTTCAAGTGGAACTTGAATTTGTTCAGTGCTTAGCTAATCCAAACTACTTGAACTTTCTTGCGCAGCGTGGTTATTTTAAAGATCAATCGTTTATTAATTATTTGAACTATTTAACCTATTGGAAACAAGCAGAGTATGCCAAGTTTTTGAAGTACCCCATGTGCTTGTACTTTTTGGATTTACTTCAGTATGAACATTTTCGGCGTGAGTTGGTCAATTCACAGTGTGCTAAATTCATTGATGATCAACAAGTTTTATTGTGGCAACACTACACCAGGAGAAGAATGAGACTTCTTCAAAACCAGTCTGATGCGGTGGCGAATCTTCAAGCGACAAGTAATGTTTCTTCAGGTCCAGGATCGAACAATGTTAACAACATCACTAATGGAACCGGCCAGCCTTCAATGAAGAATGCGTAGACCACTCTAATGTATTTCTGTATATATGTCCATTTAATTACAAGCTTGTAAGTTAACTTAACTTTAATCCTAACTTAGCCTATTTAGGCTACCTAAGTTACTTGTGTTTTTTCCGTTAAAATTAATGTTTTGTCTTAAAGATGAGAAACCTGAAAACTGTTTTTGATTTGTTTATAACTGTCCCACCTAAGTTAATATATTTATCAAAGTTTTAACTAATATAAGTTAAAGGAAACTCAAATGATACACGTACGGTAACCGAACGTGGATTAGGCGTCCGGCAGTGACGTCACGTTGTGGGTGCCTGGCAAAACATTAACACAAAGATACGGTGGAATGCTGTCGGTGTTCGTGGTGTAGAGTACTCGGCTGATGTTCATGAGGTATAGGCCTACTTAGATCGAATCCCATCGGTGTCACTAACTTTTTGTCAAAGATTTTGCTTCACTTAACTTACGTTAGAATGCCATTTCTCCTTAACTGTAGGTACATCTTTTGTTAACAGCAAGTTTGGTTAGTTAGGCTAGGTTAGGTTATGACAGTAATTGCCGGACGCCTAATCTACGTCCAGTTACCGGACAGGTATCCTCTGTCAAAAGGAAAAAAGCTACTAAGTGAAATTAGGCTTACCTTAAACTCAACTTACGGAGATAAACTCACCTTTAACTTATTATTATGAAGATAAAAACAAAAAAGAGTTAGTCCTATTTAAGTTTAATTAGGTCCAGTAACCATAACTTAGTTAGGTGTATAATTTGAGTTAGGCCTAGGATCCCTTAAAATATGTTAGGCCTGTTGGACTGACTTAACAATTTTCACATTTTACTTTAAAGATAGGCTAAGTTAAGCCTACTTACAGTAACTTATATAATTCCAATTATTAAATCAATTGATACAGTAACTTAACCCTCCGAGTGTCACGCGTCATAAAAACGACGCACAACACACTTTGTGTAGGGTCACGCGTCGCTTTTAAGACGCACAAACATCGTTTACGGCGAAGGCTCTATGACTGACTGAATCGGATTGAACTGGATCGAGTTAGGTATCGTTCTTTCCGTAATATTCTAAGCTTTCTCCAGAGGTCTGTCTCTAAGCGCTATTCATTTTAGTTCCGAAAATATTGTAGCAGACAGCTGACGTGCGTGTATTTGTAAACAGCTAGGTTCCCCCGGACCGATGACTGATGTGTTTTATTACGTTTATCATTGTTTTAGTGTTAAAAATCAAAAGTAGTGATATACGTGGTGCATTATAAGAAGATTTAAGTGGTTTTGAAGTGCTGGTTGATGATCCTGAAGAAGTAGGTAGTGATATTGATGTAAATTATCAGCCAGATTCCTAGCTATGGTTAGGCTATGCATTCTTAGCTAAACGCTATGTACTGAAATCCGTTTTTCGCTCATAACTTTTTTATTTGATAACTTACCTCGCTATATGATTATATATTTGTAATCCTCATTAAATTTAGAACAAAGTGGCAATTTTCAAATATTTAAAGGCCTATAATTTATACAATTTCATTGAGCGCGAACTTATTTTTTTTTTTGAAAATTTTCGAAATTATATTTTTTTTTACCTAAAAATTTTTTTTTGGAAAAAATGTTCCTTATGTTTTATATATAACATTGAAGCCCATGATTTTCCAAACAAAATGGTATATAGAACATTAGAATTAACATTGTTTTAAGCTTCTCAGATCCGTTTTAATAAAACCTTGCAAAGGGGCCAAAAATAGGTGGACATTAAGGCCTAAACTATGGACACTCGGAGGGTTAAATCCCATTTGGGTAACATAGGCCTAAATTTTGAATAGCTTATTTTAAAGGCCTATACAGAAAATAAGCAGAGAAATGCTAAGCTTTTACTTACTATCTGCGAATGCAGAACATGTCTATGAAGATAAGTCATCTCGATCCAAAAATTTATGCTTTGTTGTGATTATGGAGGACGATTGTGATTTTACGTGACCTCAGGAGACAATAATCATGTCTTCTTAGCCTAACCGCGGGAAATAAGTAGCCTATGCCATTCAAGATTTGGCCGCAATCAGGCAAAACTTAAATGACGAGTTTCCATGATAACGGGGTCTACTTGACCCAGGAAGATATTCAAGATTTGGTCGTGATTAAGGAAAAACGGTGACGATGTGTCCTTGACCGCAGCAGAAGATTGATGTTTATTGTCCACAGGACTGTGAGAAAGATTTTTGAAGTTTGCTGTGATCACGGCTTCTGCCTTCTTTTAGGCATGTGAAGTTACAGTAGAACCCCGGTTAACAAAATTCGGGTTAACCGAAACGGTTCCATAAAAATAATGCATGGCCAAAATATAAGGTATCTAATGTTAAATGCTTAATAGTACCTAACTACAGTTGTTTAGGCCTAGTTTAAAGTATTTTCTATTTTAACCCATTGTAACATTTCTATAGCTGAAATAAAATACTGAATTATTTAAAGACATTGTTTTAAATTCAATATTTTTCCAACTCACTGGTAAAGTTTAGGCTATTTTTAGCATATGACGGGTTAACCGAAAAATTGGTTACCGTACCAGAAACTGCTGTTTCCCCTTTATGTCGTTTAACCGGGGTTCTACTGTACTGTGATTTTATTATTTCAATTAAATTTTTAACATGATTTCTCTAAGCAGTTGGGATAGTCTGTGATTCGTATAGTAAGTTACAGGTAGTTAAGTTGGATTCCCTTGTAGTTTTACTGTTCTATACAACTTATTTCTTATCTTCAAGATCTCATTTTATCCTACAAAATTTTAAAGCAAATTTATGAATTGCATTGGACGCCGATTAAGATTAATGTAAATAATGTAATATAGTCTAACTTATGCTAAATATTAAATTTATTATTTTTTTTATTTATTTAGCCTACTATAAAGTTAAAGTTGTACCTATATAACTTAAGTTAAGGTATGAAGGTGTTTTAACAATTATGGAAGAAAATACACTAAGATAAAGAATGTTGATACTTGTGTAAATCTTCACAATTAAAGTATTTGAAAAATAAAATTCTTTAATAATATTCCCTTACAAAGCTGTAGGCCTAAGTTTAGTTAAGGTATCCACCTTTGGAATTTCTATATTTTTTAATTAGGGTATTTTGAAATAATTTTAGTTAGATTTTAGCCTAGATTCCATAAAGAGTCTACTTAGTGGCACGTTTTTCATAAAATCGCTCTACAGACAGAAGGAAATTCCAACTTAAAATCTTACATGAGTATTCCCTTGTTTGGAATAAAAACAACTTTTAATATAAAATAAAAATGAAACTTGAATAATATTTTGTTATAAAATTTAAATAAATTTTTACTGAATAATGGTCCATTTAGAATGAATAACAATTTAACTTAACTTATTGCTAAGTTGAAGCAAATGTCAACGCCTGGCTACCATCAAGTTTGTACTTGGAAGTTCACAACAAGTCAAAGGTAAAATAATCTGTTCTTAACTAAGTAATTTTGGTACACACTGATAACCTATGGTACAAAAGGTCTGCTTGGTAAAAAGGCAATGTTCTAATTTTTTTTATATTTGATACAAGTTTCAGCAGAATTTGAAATGATGCATTATTACATGTTAGACTTATGAGTCTCAATGATTATACATTTTGGTCCGTGTTTCTGATCAAATTCTGCAACCAACTTTGTCTTGTAAGAACTTAAGGTTTTTAAGATTGAAGAGAGATAACAATACCGTAACTTAGGCTAATTAAGGCCTTTTCATCTGAGAGATTATGGTTACTAATGAATAAAGTCCAGCCTAATTCAACTAGTCCAATCCAAATAATTTTGAACACAATTTAAGTTTGACATAGCCTACTTAGCATTTTATTTGTTAAGTATTTTGCGAAATAAATATTTATATCGTTGATAAATAGGCTACTGTGACCAACTAATGTAGGTAATCATGTTCGGGCTGATTGTGGGATTCCTTTAAAATAAGTCTCAGGTTTTAGGCCTCTATCCAAATTTGGGCTGAACAACTACAGTACCTAATAAAAATCTGTGTTAGAAATAATGACAGTGTAAGTTAAGTTATAAATTGATGTTTCCTGTGATGATAAGAGTGTCTGAATATTTTGATGATCAAACACCCTTCATAACCCTTTAAGAAGATCTGAGGAATCATCAAATCGTCGTAAAGGAGCTTGAAGGCTGATTCTGCCTGAATGAAATGGCTATGTGATTTAAATCATAGATTCAATCAAATTGAGCCATAAACCTAACTAACAGCTTTTCTAGTTATTCATTATTGATTTATTTCTTATGGAGTTATCTCTTATCAGCAAGACTTGCGTATAGGGCTGTTTGATTCAATTTTTGTTTAATTTATTCTTTTGTTAATAATTCAAGAGAGCCTTTTAAAATTTTAGGGTTTTTTTATCACAGAGTTAATATATATAATACGTATAATGTAGGTACTTGAACGATCAGTAACAATATTTCTCAAAATAACTTCAAATTTGGCTGGGATGTTCATTTCCAAAATCTAAAAAAATGTGTCTACAAAATTAATCTGAGAGAGTAACCTTAATTATTTTTTAAGAAGAGTTTATTAGGCTATTTAAATTTTTCCCCCTTAAATTTGAATTTCTCTTACGATTCTGAAGAGAATGTTTTAGTAGACAGAACAATCTCAGAGTCTCATTGAAGTTAAAGCATCGAACGTATTAATTGCAAGGACAAGATATGAATCCAAATTTTAAAACGTTAAATACAAATAGAGGCCTGTGCTATTGTGCTATTAATTTATAAATTAAAGTTTCCTGTGATGATAAAATGTCTGAATATTATGATGATCAACACCCAAAATCCTCTAAGAAGATCTGAGGAAACATTGATTTTTTTTAGTTATTCAATGGACATCTTTTGTATACCGTAGCCTACTTGTTAAGGATTGTGAAAAATCAACCTCAATATTATCTCTGGGAAATCTTAAGAATTCACCATATTAAGGAAGTTAAACATAATTATAAACTACATCACACCAGGGTACTGCTTATCTCAACTCTGCTAATCCGACCCACCTGTTACTGTTAGGGTTGGCCTAAACAAAGCTACATGTTGTTAAATACCAGCCAGGGTCTAGGCCTACAGGGAAGCAGGAATTGTATGTAAACTTTAGTGTTCAGGAAATCGTGAATTTTGTTTAGAAACGTGATACTGAATAATCGCCAGTAACCTGTTCAATCGTTAAGGGTGTTTTGTTGAAGTAGAATGTGTTGTGTAAAGATAGTGGGGTCTTGGTCATCGTGGGAGCAGTATATGGATGTTACAGTTATGAAATACATTTTTAATGCATTTTACAGCATATCCAGCTAATCAAAATAATTTAGTACAATCCTAACAGGGTTCAATTAGTTTTAGGACCCTTGTGTATTGGGAAATAAATATGGTTCTAGTTAAAATCTGATGTTTCCTGTGATGATAAAAGTGTCTGAACATTCTGATGATCAACACCCTTCATTACCCTCTAAGAAGATCTGAGGAATCATCAATTCATTGGCAAGGGAGTTGTTTGATAATCATATTTCTGTATGCCTATTTGTTTATTAATCCTTATAATTACTTTAAAGTGACTCTTACAACCCTTTCCAGTTCCAGCATTGCCAATTAATGCAAAGGGAACAGTTAACTTAACCATTTTGAATAACTAGCTTACATTAAATTTCAGTGAAGATGGAGGTTCCTTTAAAATTTTGTTATTTTGAAGCGTTAAAGAAGAAAAGAATTTATTTTATAAAAAGAAAAAGACGAGCATATTTAGAAGGATTGATCATTCTAGAACAGTCGATGAGCGTGAAAGCCATTTTGAAATGTTACATATAGTTATAACAGTTTCATTTCAGAATTCGGCTATCAAACGGGATTTTGAAATATAACAGCAAGTTTGGTTAGGTTAGTTAAGAAAAGATTCATTTTATAATCAATATGGCGGATAACGTGAAGTTGATTCCATCCATTTCGGCTACTAAGGTACTACTAATACTAAATGCTAGGTAATACTAATAGGTAATAGGTGTATAGGTAAAAGGTTCCTAATACTAGGTTTTCTTTTGTTCCCAAATATTATAAAAGTAACTGGATTAGGAATGTAATGTGACGTAATTTGGAACAGACGTGTGCGGTAGCGGCTCCTGATAACTTTCACCAAATCCTGTGAAACTTAAAAGGAGGAATCACTAATCATCAATTAAAATTTGAGTTACATAAATCTATGCTATTCTCTTATTTGATTAAATATCAAATTAGGTACTTTGTTAGGTTGACGCTTGGTAAGTGTAGGCCTATTAAAATTTTGTGGGGTTTTCTGACTATTTTAAAGGCAATTGTGATGTACCAAAATACAAGGGAAATTTAGTTAAAGGCTACCCTATAAAAATAATTGCGTGAATAAAATATTATTTTGTAATCTTGCTTCAGTTACATGGCCGAGCTAGTTTTTCACTTGTACAACAAACTGTTATAAGGCCTGGGTTGTCAAATGTTAATTTTTGGTTAATGGATAGTAATATTTAGTAATTTTAAAACCTGTCTTAGAAATTAAACCTTGAGGCTTAAACAAGTACTTAGCCTATCAGATTTGAAGGGGAGCACTAAAACCACTCTACCACCCAGACAATTGAAGCACATTCAAATTCAACCCAAATTACTAATTTATGCTGTGCAATTATAATCTACAATTTATAAAATATTTTACAGGTTGACAAAGCAAAATGTATCTATACAACTTGACACTTCAGAGAGCCACAGGGATCACTCATGCCGTCCATGGAAACTTTTCCGGCAGCAAGGTAAAATCTTGTTCCTTAACCTAAATGTATCCAATAGCATATCATAAGTAATTAGGTTTTAACCATAAAGATCAAAAGAGGTTAGAAATTATTTTTATGCCCTTTAAAACCAGTTACCGTGAACTACTTTTTTATGCAATGTGCTCAGGAAGACTAGGATTGTGTTTAGATGTTAGGCATTACTATTACCCAACTAGTAATTGCACTTTGCATTCAAATAAATTTGTCATAGAATGTTTATGATATTATCAAGTATATCGTCTAATAAAGTTATTTCTGTCGTAGACCCAGGAGGTGCTTGTCTCTCGAGGCAAGATCCTGGAGCTTCTGCGGCCAGACCCCAACACTGGCAAGGTGCACACGCTGCTCACTGTCGAGATATTTGGCATCGTACGCTCCCTCATGGCCTTCAGGCTCACTGGCGGCAATAAAGGTAGGTTCGACTGGATGAAGTACTTGACAATTTGTGCTGTTTTCTAGATTTTTGGGAAATAAAACCCCTAGGTTGAACATGTTTTCCTTATTCCAAAACCAGTTAATAAATATTGTGAAAATAATATTCAACACTGTTGGTTAGTTGGTAAAATATTTATTAATAATAATTAGGATTTCTTATTTTTGGCTCTGAAGCGAGGCTAGTTAAAAAAAATTTCCTCCAAAAATGGTCATCCAAAAGTTACATTACAGTAGGCCTATGATTTTTTTCTAATTTAACATGCACTCGGGTATCTCCAGCCTGTCTTGTGACATGTTGGTCGTAGTAGTGCTACAGTAATGTAGAACAGCATCGTTGGTGGTGAACATGTGTTCATCTCCTGGTTATATGTCTACTACATTTAATCACTAAATTGTGCTTATAACGCTCCATATCTTGTAGACTTGATGATTAACTGACATAGGCTAGATCTTAAAATAGTGTCATGTTGACCCTTTCTGTGGGTGTGTAGAAAATGTTGATGACATTAGATAGGTAAAAATAACCCTATTTTATTATCAAGTGTTGATCAATCTAAAATGTTGTAATTATTGACCCTCATTTAAACAGGGTGGTCTTGGTTTCAGACTACATCGTAGTGGGCTCGGACTCCGGCAGGATAGTGATCTTGGAGTATCTGCCCAACAAGAACATCCTGGAGAAGGTACATCAAGAGACCTTTGGCAAGTCTGGGTGTAGAAGAATTGTCCCTGGACAATACTTGGCTATTGATCCCAAGGGCAGAGCTGTCATGATCGGTGAGTGTCCGTGGAGGACGTATTTAGAAATATACAAGGGCCTAGAAAACTAGTTAATGTAGAGGTCATTCCAGTGGAACGAGGTGAAGTTCTAAGTATGGGTCAGGTTTTCAATTTTATAAGTGGCGGAAGTTAAATTGTTGTTACAAACAGAATTTGAAGTGATGAAATTTACATGTTAGACTTATGAGTTATCCATGATTTCAACTATTTGGTCCGTGTTTCTGATCAAATTCTGTGGCAACACTCAATTTCAGTGGTAGAACAAACTATTTACTTCCGTATTATTTATTTAGAAAACTATTTTATCCTAATCAAGGTGTCCCAATATTTATTTTGTTTCCAATTCAGGTTTGGCATTCTAGCCATTGGTCTACTTGTCTTTGGTAGTCAGCAATGTTGCAGGGTGTCCACATTCTGGAAAGTCAGGGATAGTCATGGAAAGTCATGGAAAAAAATTATGGTCATTGAAAGTCATGGAAATAGGCAAAAAGTCATGGAAAGTCATGGAAATCCCCAATGATGGATGGATTTCAGGGGACCTTTCAATGCTCTAGTCGGCCGTAACAGCGACTATTGTAGCATTTTCCGATTTTTTAACAAATGTACGACAATTTCAATTAATGCAGTTGTCTTAGTTTATAGGTTTTGAGTTTGTATTAGTTCATTGTTATACCTATTGTACTCCATTGTTATCTGATAATACATATTTCAATATTTTCTGTGAAATAACTTGTCTAGGCAGTATTATTCGTGTGTGTACGGTATATTATAATTTTTGAGTTTAGTTCGTGAGTCATGGAAATCAATGGTTAATGGTCATGGATAGTCATGGAAAGTCAGGGAAATTGATGACAAAATTTCTGTGGACACCCTGTGTTGGTTTCAAATTCAAAACACAGAGTTCTAAATTTATTGATATTTGAAATAAGCAGAATTTGAGATGATGTGTTATTACATGTTAGACTTATGAGTATCTATGATTATACATTTTGGTCCGTGTTTCTGATTGAATTCTGCAATCTTTTGTAAGAACCTTTTTTTGCAAAGGGTTCTCTGGTTCTCAATCAGTCATTATATTTTTTACTCTGTTTTTTGGGCATTTTGAGGCAAATGAGTATATCATAGCTATTCTGAAAACTATATTTTCATTCAAATTCTATATCATTAAAGGTGCACCAACTTCTAATACATTCAAGGCTTTTGCCATGAATGCTTCGCTAGTTGGTAAAGAAACACCATATTATTATCCTTCTGGCTGATTTTTTAATTTGACAGAGTGGAATTGATATGGGACATATAATATAATTTTAACTTGATGAGTTTGCAGGGTTGCCACCAGCCATGAAAACCTTGAAAAGCGTGAATTATGCGTGAATTTAGGTGACCATGAAAAAGTGCGTGAATTATGCGTGAATTTCGCCATTGGACCATGAATTCTCAAAACCATTATTAATAATTCAGCCAAAACCCCTAAATGTGCTGAATCAAATACTCCGTATTAAAACCATTCTCGAAATGAACACCGAGATAAAACGTCAAAGTGGGAGTGTCAAGATAAAAAGTTTTGTTGCCATGCCACGAACAGAAACGATTGCGTAGTTTATTCAAGGTCAAATCCGATCGTAACCGACGTCAGCCGAGTAGTCTAGAGATGAGAATTATCGTTGTTTTCCGGCAACGGTTATAACGATAACGCAGCTGCCCAATAACGTGTTCCGGCGTTCAGTTATCGTTGTCGGTTGATCAGTTCAGTTTTCAGTTGTAGTCGGGAGTCGGGCGTGGCCCAGACAGGATGCGTTATTCTCACTGAGCTAAAATTATAACTGGAGGTAGCACTGCCATGGCAGAAGTCTGTCAAAAGCGTGTCGCTAATTTTGTTAGGTTGGTATAGCAGTGAGTTTTTTTCATCCAATGACATGGCTTCTATAACTAGGTTTGTATGGCAGTGAGTTTTTTCATCCAATAACATGGCTTCTTTATAACTCACACCTCACGCAAACATGGCGGCTGGCGACACGCATCTTTGACATTCAGTGCTACCATTGACTAATGGTGCTACCTCCAGTTAGAATTATAGCTCAGTGGTTATTCTAGTTCGTTTCAGAAGTTATCGTTGCTCTGGTAGCGTTACGGCAACGGCACTAATGGCAATGCATGTTTTCGTTTTCGTTGTCCGCGCGGCTTTCCTGCAACATTGTGTAGATAGATACGTTATTATAATAACAGGGAGTTCTCCGCAACGTGTTGCCGCGATAACGTTGCCGTGGCCGCAACACTGTTATTCATCCTGTTATGTTATAACGCCCATCTCTACCGAGTACCGATCTACCGATAAAATCGATGCTTTCGGAGCCAAAACATCGATCACATCGATGTTTGTTCCGAGTTTCTCGTCTGTTCTCTGCACTGTAACAGCCAATTAACCTAAAACCAATACAATTCAGTTACGGAAAACATCAATACTGTATTTCATTACTTTTTTTGGCCTAAAAGACCGATGTAACAAACCAAATCATCGGTTCGGTAATCTACCATCGATGTAAACAAACAACTTCGAACATCGATAGAAAAGACATCGATGTTTCGAAAACATCGACAATCGGAATTGATGCTCGCTAGTCGCTCTCACTCATTCTCTACTCTCTACTCTAGTGTTCGTGTGGAAGGAAATACAGAATAACCATAACCTAAAAGTTTTAAACTGATCTGAAACTTGTCAAACGTTTGAAGTAGTGGTGGACACTGGACAGTAAGATCACTTTTTGCACTCGTGATTCCGTTTTGTGCTTCTTATAATTGATTACCCAACACTCAGTGGAACAAGTGTTCAGATTAAATATTTTTTATTACTGATATATCATACTTCCGATACTTTACAACGTTAAAATAAGAAGTACCTTGCCTTGCCATAAAGGTCAAAATGGCTTGCTCCGGCTGGAACTTAATCGTCTTCTGTGTTTGTTTGGTCAAATATGTCGTATTTCAAACTACTGTCAGTGTTGAGTAAATGTGTTTACAACGTGAGTTTAAGTTTATTTATTTAGGCCTAAGTTGCAAGAAGTCAATGTTGTGCTGAAAAATGGTGATTTCGTTCTGAGGCTGGTAAATGTAAATGTTTTGTTAGAAGCATAGGTGTTTTCAGTCAATACGAATCTAACTAATGAGATGTAAATTTAATTAAATAATTGTTTTAACTGTGATTTAAACCTGTGTAGGCAAATGATAATATATAAACTGATCCAATCGGAAGAAACATCCTTCTAAACTAAGTTTATTTTAACCTTTTCTGTAATGTAATTAATTATTTTTTTATTACTTAAAAGTTAGCCTATGTTTAAACTTACATTTAACTAATCCACTAATATTTAACTATTTAACTAAATATTTATTTACATAATATTACCTTTTTAGAGTGTTTTTATCAGTCAGTCGGTAACCTTTAATCTTCTCAATAAATAAAAGTTGGTTCAGGCCTAACTTAGCCTAGATTCAGCTTTGGATTACAATGTAGGCTAGCCTACTGTGTTACAGTAGTAATAGATTGCATGTGCGTTTTAGTAGGCCTAGATATGGCCCATTACTAAGTTAACCGTTTCTTGATCATGTTCTTAACATTTGTTTTTATTATGCCTATTATCTTAATTACCGGTATGCGTTATGCCTATTATCTTAATTTGATATTTAGACAGTAAAGTTCTAGGCCATTGCTGGATTAACTAAGTTAAACCTTTTATGTTTGGATGCAATGTTTTTTAGGTTAGGCCTATACCTAACTACCAATCCGACTTATTATTTATTTATTATTTCTTCTAACGTTTGAATTTATCATTAGGCCTAAGTTATGATGTTGTTAAATCAGATGTTTCAATTTTTTTTAAGAATTACATTGTATTATCACACACAAGATTTTTATTAAATATCCTTTTTCATCTGTGATTTTACTTTTTTTAGACTGGATAAATTTTATTAAATTCTTATTTTTCACTCTAAAATAATTGCATGAAATGTGTTTTATTTTATAGTAGCACACAAAACTATATATTGTCGATAAATTAATGTACAATTCTGAACTAGGCAATACTCTTTTATGGTGAAATTGTGCGAGCATATACCCCATGAATTTTTCAAAACTACCAATGAAAACCTTGAATTATGCATGAATTTTTTTATCTCACTTTGGTGGCAACCCTGGTTTGGCTCGAAGCTGAAGATGTCTATTAAAGGTGCCTCAGTCACCCTTACCGATTAAAAAGCTTAGTGTTAAGTTTCGATTGTGAATGCAAGGAATTCTAGTTTGAAAATTTCAAGTAGCCTACTAGCATGTAGGCGTTTTAAAAACTTCTTTTGTTTGCTGTTTGATGTTTCCTGTGATGATAAAAAAGTCTGAACATTCTGATGATCAACACCCTTTATTAACCTCTAAGAAGATCTGAGGAAGCATCAATTCACTGACAAAGAAGTCATGTTAGTAGCTCTTTTTCTGTAGGCTAATTTTTATAATTTCTCTTAAATAAGGAGCCAGTCACTTAAGGTCGCTTCTAACATCATATTGGACCCTAAACACTATTTTTTAGAAAATATAAAAAAATCTAATAGACATTGATAGTTTTTTTGACATTTTCTGTTCCTGCATATTAGTAAAAACCTAATTTGTTGTTCGTTATAAATTTTTTATAAAATAGTGAGCCATTTGCTTGTTTTATTTTGAAACTACATATACCACATAATGATGCTATTTTATGTCCGTGTTTCAACTGAGATCATATGATTATAATACAACATAAACTGAATGTGGTTTTATGCATTTTTGTTCCAAAGCAAGGAAATGTTACAGATATAAAGGTAGCCTTGAAACATATATGAAATATCTAGTTTGGAAACTGTAGGCTAGGACAATGACTTTAAATTTAGGGTGTTTATATATCAATATTTCTAATAAAGTAATATAAAAAAAATGTTTTTAGGGTACTGTGGTATTTTGATGTACTTAGTACCAATATTTCTATATAATCCCTTGAGTTTGTGCCTCTCCATAGCTTAAAAGATAAGCTTAATTAGTTATTTTTAAAACTCAACCACATAATGATGCTATTTTATGTCCGTGTTTCAACTGAGATCACATGATTATAATTCAACATAAACTGAATGTGGTTTGAAAAATCCTGCCTGAGTAAGAACAAAGAAAGTTTTTGATATCAACTGTTCAATCATTTTTTACTTTAATACTCTCTATGATGACTAAATAATCTGAAAATTGTGATGTCTCACACCCTATTTTACCTCTAAGAAGATCTGAGAGAGTAATATTCATTAGTATGTAATATTTTCATACTATCTTCATTAATACATCAGTAGCTTTAGGATATAGAGGGATATTGATGACATTTGTTGTATCGAAGTTGTGAGTTTATATTTGTACTTGTTTGTACACAGGTGCTATAGAGAAGCAGAAGCTGGTGTATATATTGAACAGAGATGCCGAGGCCAGATTGACCATCTCCTCACCCCTTGAGGCCCACAAGAGCAACACTCTGGTCTATCACATGGTGGGCGTTGACGTCGGCTTTGAAAACCCCCTCTTTGCCTGTCTGGAGATAGACTATGAGGTACGTTCATCGTTGATAAGTCTTTATTCATTGAGGTCAGAAATATGGGGAGAGAGCTGGTCTGGTTAGAGTGTGGGGCTTTGGTCCCTGAGATATCCCGGGTTTTAAATCCCGCCAAGTTACCGATGGATTTTATCCAAGTGATATTGCCGCAACCCCTAGGTCTAGCCTGAAGTAATGTGAAAAATTAATATCGAATCACACAAGTTTGCCTCAAAATGTCGTTATTGACATTTATGATTTCCACGTGTGTATATCAACTGGTGTAAAGCAATACAGTTGGATCATTATTTGTGATTTAACTCGCTCTTATGCCGTACATTCTATTTGATATTATTTAGGTTAACCGATGTAATTGTTTTAAATTAAATAGTTGGATTTAACACACACATTTCACCAAAAAAATTGGTCAAAATGGTCCCCTGAAACACCTGTCTGCCTTTTCAGGCCTTGGCGCTATCACTTGCTGTGATTATTTGTAGTTCATGTATTGATTTAACAATTTGATCATAGCTTTCAGTGATGATTAAAGTTACTGAGTAATTTTTGATGTTAAACACCCTTAACAATCCTCTAAGAAGATCTGAGAAAGCATTTGACTTATTTTTTCCTGTCTAATAAACGCTGAGCAATTTGCTAGTTTAAAGAACAAAGCAGAATTTTATTTTTATGAATTTAGAAGATTTTGATGTGGGAGAAGCTGGAGTAACTAGGTAAGCTTCTAGGAAGCACTGAGGTTTATAGACCATTAGATTACTGTTTTTCAATATCATAACCAAAAAATTTAGTGTTACAAAATTGACATAAACATCTAGTTTATGCCAACAGCTGATTAGTTACTGGGTGTACATAATGTACAACTTGACAAAACTAGTTTTAAAGTCTTCTTGCAGCATGCAAAGTAAGTGATGAAACACAAAACTATTATCAAATATAATTTTAATTAACTAAATTAAAAGCTGTTGCACATTGACGTTATTTTCACATGAATACAAAAATATCACACAAGTTTGCCTCAAAATGTTATTGACATTTATGATTTCCACGTGTGTATATAAACTGGTGTAAAAAGCAATACGGTTGAATCATTATATTTGATTTAACTAGCTCTTTGCCTTACATTCTATTTTATAGGTTAAATGTTACAATTAATTTTAAACGTAGTTAAGACATAATAAGAAATTATATTATTATTAAAATTTTATTAGTAATCGGTTTGTGGTTGTTGAATTTCCCTTAAAAAAAATGAAACATGCATTTCACAGGTAGCCGAATTGTTTTTGGCCAAATGTCACAAAAAGTTACTGTTTTATATTTAGAGGAAAAAGTACTTAGCTATAATTTGCTGTTCTTATTTCAATTAAAGTGACCTTAGCTCTCAGTGATGATTAAGATTTCTGAGTAATTTTTGATGTTTAACACCCTTAACAATCCTCTAAGAAGATCTGAGAAAGCATTTCATGTTTTAAGTCCGATAAGCAATTTGCTAGTTGTTTAAATAACAAATCTACCACTTGTTTGAATATTCTACTTGAAGTTTTACAATAAATGTTTCGGCTAACCTTTTATTTTTTTCTTGAAATGTGCTGTATTTGGGTGGCAAGGAGTCGTTAATTTATAGGTACCTTATTGTAGTAGTTCGGTTCCCAAATTTTGGTTTGGCGACTCACCTTAATTTTATATAATCCACTTGGGCTATCAAACCAATTGGTATTAATTATATATCAGTTCACACAAGTTTGCCTCAAAATGTCATTATTGGCATTTATGATTTCCACGTGTGTATATCAACTGGTGTAAAGCAATGCAGTTGGATCATTATTTGTGATTTAACTCGCTCTTTATGCCTTACATTCTATTTCATAGTAGGAATAAAATATAATTGAAAATTTCATATTGATTATCTTATATTAACTAAAAACCTGAATGATAAAAAAGTTTTGTTTCATTATGATATAAGTTTTGATCATCATATTGTTACTGTAATCATAATGTTAACAACATTTTAACCTAATCGTGAAAGGAAGAATTTTAGGTAACATTCGTTGTAAGGATCACAATAATGGTTGTAGAAGGGAAAAATATTTCAGGACCTGTCCATCGTTATTTTAAATTTCTTATTGCTTGTGTGCTCAAAGCTCTATAAATAATGTGATTGTTTGCAGGAGGCAGATACAGACGTTACGGGTGAAGCTGTACACAAGACACAACAGACGCTAACATTCTACGAGCTGGACCTGGGTTTGAACCACGTGGTGCGCAAGTACTCCGAGCCACTTGAGGAACACGCCAACTTTCTGGTGTCCGTGCCCGGTGGCAACGACGGCCCCAGCGGAGTGCTCATCTGCTCAGAGAACTATCTGACTTACAAGAACTTGGGCGACCAGCACGATATTCGATGTCCTATACCCAGGAGACGAGTAAGTGGATGTGAATCAGTTTGATAACCTATGCCACTCGTCCTTGCTTACAGCTTTGGTACAACCAAAATTTGAATGTTTTTAGATCATTGCGGTTTAAGGTGGCAGTAGTCTTCTGCTTTGCGGACTATCTTCTGCACCATTCTTAGTATTACCGGAAGAGCTCAACAGACCTAAATGTTATACGAATAAAAATTGTTTTAAATCCATGTCTGTGTAAAAGAATTTTCACAATAATATTTCATTCTCAGTAACTTCAAACTACATAATGATGTTTTTAATATCCGTGTTTCAACTGAGATTCATGATTATTAAACCTTTCTGAATGTAGTTTGTTATCAACTGTGAAATCATATTTTTACAGCATCGTTGGTGGTGAACATGTGTTCATCTCCTGGTTATATGTCTACTACATTGTTTTGGGCATTGATCAGGCTGCAATAATTTGTTTTGTATAAAATTGAATAAAACCGATTTGTTCATGAACTAACAATCAAACTGTTTCCGCAGAATGACTTGGATGATCCGGAGAGAGGAATGATCTTTGTCTGCTCTGCGACTCACAAGACCAAGTCCATGTTCTTCTTCTTGGCTCAGACTGAACAAGGCGATATCTTCAAGGTACATTTCATGTCATATTTTGCTAATTTTGATTTGAATTTTTTTTTTATTCCATAAACTTTGCATGGGAATTTAAATAGTTAACAGGGATCTTTGTCATTGACCGAAATCTAACGATGTTTTCCCAATCGTGGGAAATGATAATTATAAACCCATGACTAGGTGAGTCTGTCACATAATGTTAATGCGATTTAGGATTAAAGAGTTTTGAAAAATAATTGAAAGTTTGAGAATTTTTGAAAATTAAGCAGTCTTAAGATAAGAATTTATCGTCACAGTTAGTTTTACATTGTACTTTGTGAAGACTTTGCAGCTATTTATTTTCTAAATAGGTTACGCTGGAAATGGATGAAGACATGGTGACAGAGATCAAACTCAAGTACTTTGACACAGTTCCTGTAGCCACGGCCATGTGTGTTATGAAGACTGGGTTCCTGTTTGTGGCTGCGGAGTTTGGCAACCAGTAAGTATATATTGTAGATTGTAGGGCAAAAACCCAATTATTTAGTGACATTCATAGGCTTTTGTGATGTGACATTTTACTCTAAATCAGTCCATGGATTCAATATTCCCAGAGTAGCGTAGTAGGGATAATCAGATTTTAGTGGGATGATGCACAAATGCTTGACCTTACTGTAATTCAGGATCGTTCAAAAGAAAACTAGATTTTAATTTGTTTGTAAACTTGTTGATTTTCATCTTTATTAGGAAATATATTTATAATTTTTCTATCATTGTTCCTTGCATGCCCAGATAAGTTTTTACATTTCAACCAAAGGTTTACAAAAGCAATATTTGCCAGTTTCTGAACATGATTTGCAATGTTCATCACACCAGTTTGCCTCGAGATGTAAATTTTGACATTTCTGATTTCCAGGTGTGTATATAAACAAGTGTAGATCAGTTTGGTTGAATTTTGACACTTTAACCTCATCTTCTTACCTTACATGCATTAACACAAAGAACATTTAAGATATATCAGCTTAGCTATTCGTTAAAGATTATATTTACATTCAATTGGTAAACCTAACAATTAAACTATTTCTGGCACATTCAATTAGTTACGAAGGATTAGTTTGCTCGGTAAAACTATGCAGACTTATATGATGAGCAAGCGCTTTGAAGTGATGCTGTCTCCCTAACGGTTGAGACCTCACTACTGTGATTCTTCTTAAGTTTTCAATCTGATAAGTCTAAAAATTTTAAAAGACTTAGAGATTACATCACCTCTGGTCCATATATGAAGAACATGTTTCTGTATTTTAAACACCCTTGGTTAAAAATAGTTTTTTTAATACTTAGATGCTTTCTATGATGATCAAACCTTCTGAATTGTGATGATCAACACCCATTCATACCTCTAAGAAGATCTGAGAAGGCTTGGTCATTTTGTAGCAGTACCAAATTAGTCACTGAAAGGAATAGAAATGTTGTCTTTTAAGGACTGTAAAAGTTAAGACTCGTCTAAAACACCCTCTGCGTAAATTTAAGTGTTTTTTTCCATTGAGTCAAAACTCAAAACTATTAGACGAGTTGGCATTTAAAATTTGATATATGTTGATGTTACTCCTTAAACCCAACTAATGATGAGTTACTTGCGCTTGCTTGCATGAAATTCTGATTAGAAATTCTTCTCTGAAGTTGGAAATCATAAAAATGAATTCACAATAACACTTTAGTTTTATCTTTTAAAAGTTTCTATTTAACAAGCACTTCTTGGTTAAGGTTTTGCCACAGTACCTCACTTTACAGCTTGCTCAATGTATCTGTGAGATTCTAAATATCCTCAATAAGTAGGTCATGGGCATAGCACGTAGTATAATTGTTTGTTTGTGTGATGGAAACACTTGATTTGTTGTTAAACTTCCCATAGCTGTTGTAACTGCTAAGATTTGATGGCCTCTTACATTCTTCGATTTGAGGGCAAATAATTTTTTTTCAAATTCAAGTCTACTGTAATTTTGTTTGAGACGGGCAATTCAAACTACTTCAACCCAACTAATGATTTTATGTATAATAATGATTAATGAGTTAATTGCGCTTGCTTGTATGAAATTCTGATTAGAAATTCTTCGTTGAAGTTGGGAATCACAGATTGAAACAAATTATATAAAGTAATACTAAAAATCTTAAATATCTTCCTGTGATTGCAAACATTTGTCTCTCTCAACAGCAGCAAAATTGATAAATAAAAAAAACAACCAACAATTTTCCGTTGATCCACTTTAATTTTTTTTTTTTTCTCAAACCCAACTAATCGCTAAAATAATTCAGGAAAATATCTATACATTTCTTTATTGTAAAAACACATATTTTACAACATATTTCACAAGTTACATAACTTTAAAATGGACTAATTGAATTCATTGGCAAAATTTGAAATGATGTAACATTACATGTTAGACTAATGAGTAACTATGATTTAAAACTTTTGGTCCGTGTTTCTGATCAAATTTTGCCTTTTTTGTGTTGGTAAAATGATGTCTTCCTTGTTGAAATATTAATGTACTGATAAAGATAGCCTGGTGATATAGCATCTTGGGTTTCTAAGCTTTCACTATAGCCTTGAAGCAGATATTCCTTGTTCAAGGTCACTTAACTTTTGCTACTACAGCCACAGGCTTGTCCTAATGACACTAATGTATTTACTTTTAATAGGCTATGTTACAAACTTTTAAGCAAATCAGGTAATGTTGGGTTAAAAATTATTAATAAACATAGATAGATGATACAGAAGTGCATTAGGGAACAATATTGGGCAATCTTAATTAAATTAGTTTCTTACCAACTTCTAATGCATTCAAGGTCCTTGCTTGAATAGTTTCGCTAGTTGGAAAAGAAACACCATATTATTATCCTTCTGGTCGATTTTATAGTTGGACAGAGTGGAATTGATATGGGACATTTTATTAAAAAAATTAGTTTATCTAGTATTATTTTTATAATAGTAGAGTATGGAATTAAATCAAGGATTAATATACAGGGCTTTAAAAGTAGTAAAGATGAAAAGCCCAATACAATGCTGTAATTTATTTTTATACTCCAATAAAGCATTGGTGTTGGAGTGATTAATTTTACTTTATGCTTTCTATGATGAGTAAAATATCTGAATCGTGATGATCCACACCCTAATTAATCCTCTAAGAAGATCTGAGAATGCATAAAGTAAAACAACAAAAGTGAAGTGAATACTGGTTAATTGTTTAGTATTATTATTGAAGGTTTACGGCCTTAAAACTGACGACTTACTTAAAAAATCGACCCATCCCTAACCTAACTAACACAGATACAGCTATGTTAAGGTACAATGTAAGGCTATCCTCTTGCCAATGTCTTATGCATTAAAGGTCACGGGAGTCAATAATGATGTCTACACAACAGCGGGAGATGAACTGAGAATTTTTCCACAATCACTTCACTGCTTCTGCCTTCCTTAGTAACTCTAATTACTAATTTTTGGGTTTTTTAATTATTCCTGGAATTGATTCGGATGATTGGTGATAAGTAATTTTATAGTTACTTGCTAGCGTAACTGAGAAGGTGTCGAGCCAGGGACTTAACAATGGTTGCACAGCATAAAATGATTCTCGTCCTATGGTCGGACTACTCCAGAGAGTTGATTTATTGATGAGAAATTTCAAGTTCTTATCCGGAAAATAAGTAATATAAAAAAATTTAAACCCCCGACACGGCTTCTTCCTAAAATATAACCTAAATATCCTCAAAACACACCTAAAAATACTCAGAAACAATAAGTAGGCCATGTGCATAGCACGTAGTATAATTGTTTGTGTGCTTGAAACACCTGATTCTTTCTTTAACTTCCCATAGCTGTTGTAACTACTAAGTTTTGATGACCGAGCATTCTTCGATTTGAGGGCAAATATTTTTTTTCAAATTCAAGTCCACTGTAATTTTGTTTGAGTTGGGATCTAAAGTTTAATCTCTTTTCAATTCAAACTACTTCAACCCAACTAATGATGAGTTAATTGCGCTTGCTTGTATGAAATGCTGATTAGAAATTCTTCGCTGAAGTTGGGAATCATAGATTGAACAAATTATATAAAGTAGAATGCTATAAATCTAAAACATCTTCCCGTGATTGCAAACACGGTTCAGTGGTGGATCTCTCTTAATAACAGCAAAATTGTAAAAAAAATCCCAAAAATTTTCCATTGATCCACTTGCTATATATTTGTTTTTTTCTTCTTTTAAACCCAACTAATTGCTAAAATAATTAAGGAAGATTATCTTTAAATTTATTTATTGTAAAACCACATATTTCACTAGTTGCATAACTTTTAAATAGATTAATTGAACTCATTGGCAAAATTTGAAATGATGTAACATTACATGTTAGACTAATGAGTATCTATGATTTAAAACTTTTGGTCCGTGTTTCTGATCAAATTTTGCCTTTATTGTGTTGGTAAAATGACGTCTTGCTTGTTGAAATATTAATGTACTGATCAAGATAGCCTAGTGATATAGCGTCTTGGGTTTCTAAGCTTTCACTATAGCCTTGAAGCAGATATTCCTTGTTCAAGGTCATCTAATTTTTATCACTAGAGCCACAGGCTTGTCCTAATGACTTTAACGTAATACTTATTAATAGGCTATGTTACAAATTTTTAAACAAATCAGATAATGTTGAGTTAAAAATTATTAATAAACATAGATAGATACAGAAGTGCATTATGGAACAATATTGAGCTATCTTAATTAAATTAGTTCCTTACCAACTTCTAATGCATTCAAGGTTCTTGCTTGAATAGTTTCGCTAGTTGGAATAGAAATACCATATTATTATCCTTCTGTTCGATTTTATAGTTGGACAGAGTGGAATTGATATGGGACATTTTATTTAAAAAAATAGTTTTATCTAGTATTATTTTTATAATAGTAGAGTATAGAATTAAATCAAGGATAAATATACAGGGATTTAGAAGTAGTGTAAAGATGAAAAGGCCAATCCTTTAATCTATTTTTATACTCCAGCAAAGCAATGGTGTTGGAGTGATTGATTTTACTTTATGCTTTCTATGATGAGTAAAATATCTGAATCGTGATGATCCACACCCTAATTAATCCTCTAAGAAGATCTGAGAATGCATAAAGTAAAACAACAAAAGTGAAGTTTGGTATTATTATTGAAGGTTTATGGCCTTAAAACTGACGACTGCTTTAACAATCGACCCATCCCTAACCTAACTAACATAGATACAGCCAAGTTGAATTGAGGTACAATTAAAGGCTATCCTCTTGCCAACTTCTTGTGCATTCAAGGTCACGGGTGACAATAATGACTACACTACGGCAGGAGGTGAACTGAACATTTTTCCACAATCACTGCTTCTGCCAGTTCCAAGTTTTAGGTTTTTTAAATTATTTCTGGAATGTATTAGGATGATTGGCAATTAGTATCAAATGTGAGGTTGAATTTTTTTATATTATCAAGTTGCT